TCAAACTATGAAACTTGTTTGACGATTATTATCGATTGGTCTGTTTTTTCGCGATCTTTTACCTCGTTCCGTCTTTCTTTAATGTGTGTGCTAAGTGTTGTGCGAGGCGGGCTATTCCAGGTGGCCTATACTTGAACTTTGTTTGGCTTTAACCCGCACAACAACCTACCAATTCGATTTGGGTTGGGCAAATGAATTGCAAACTGCTTAGAAACTTGCTGATAATGTTCACAAATCGCTTGACAAGCCACAAAGCAAGCTGTAGTAAATTTCATGATTATTTAAAAAATCAAATTTTTATATTTCTATCATTTGCGCCTTTCTATGCAGTTCTCATTGTCTATTTTGTGCTGCATAGACAACATTTCAGTCCTGAATGTGTTCTTTTTTGCGCTGAAATAAATAAAAGAACACACATAATGCATTTCTGCTGCCATAAAGCAATCTTTTTGTACAGCTATAGAACTTGACTTTATGGTGATTTGTTCCTAGGCAGTTGCTGCTCCTTAAGTTTCTTGTCTCATAAGTTTTGCAGCAACAGTGGCCAGCATCAACGCCACATGGGACCAGTCTAGACCACTGGACCCGACAAGACCAGGCCAGGCCAAGCTGAGCCAGTGTTTTGTCTTGTGGTTTTTTGTCGCTATCAGGATTCACATTTTATGCAATTGTTTCCATAGAAAGAATGCCATGTCTAAATACATACAACACACAGCAGCAGCCGCAACGGCAGCAGCCACCGACCAGCAGCGCCAAGTAGCTCTCAACTTGACTTGGACTCGAACTTGTAGACGGTCGATGCACAGGTCTGTGCTGTCTATCTGGCCAGTCGTGATCAATGTTGGCCCATGCAGAGCACACTAGAGCAAAACAAACTAGCAATGCTTTTATTGAAATTGATAAGCTAGGAAATACCCTGTATCAGGGTCTGACATACGCGACACATCTTTTAATCTTTATCAGCGTAATGCGATTTATATAATATTATGAAAATTGTTGAAACAATTTGTAAACAGTGACTAGTTTCCATTACTAAGTGCATGAAGAATATTGATTATAGCAGCCACGTTTTCATTACAAAACGATTTTTACCATTCCCAAGCAGTGAAAAAGTAATGCATACTTTTTGTCGTGACGAAGTGTTCTACTATTTTAAGCGATTGTTCCCAATAGGAAAATTGTAGTTTTAAGGAGTTAATCAAAAACTTTTAGTTAAGCTTAAATTTTTCCACAAGATTCATTTGCTTGACGACAGCGACCACCGAAAATGCAAACTTGGCAAACTGTAGAATGAAATAAAAATATTATAATGTTTAGATCACACAGCATTATCATTGGCTTACCGTAATATTGGTTTTCATGTTGATAGGAAACATGCCGCCGGCAATAAAGGTAATCGGCTTCTGAGCTGTTTGCAAGAAGAAAAAAACCGTCGATTTATAGCGCCGACTCGCACCGATCCATTCTGAATAAAATATGGCCAAGTTCAACTTGTAGCAATCGTCATTGATTAACTCGCAGACATAACAAAAAGGAAATGTCTGAATCAGTAAGACAAAAATATATAAAACTATGGTCAGGCCAGTCAATAGGGATGAAAAGAATAATAGATGCACTAGCGACAGGCCCAGGCTCAGGCCAATCACCAGTAACTGGGCGAATAGGGTGCGTGATATGACAGGTCGAAAAAGTTCACAACATCTGAAATCTCAAGTTCTTAGCACTTTCAATAACCTTTAAGGACTTGAATTAAACTTACTGAAGCACGAGTTTGTGATCCTTAATGCAGTTAACCAGTTCCTCATAGCTCTGCCTCTCCGTTTGCGCGGGATCTGTGCGTAGTTTTTGAACGCGACGTGTCAACAATTCTATATGGGTTCGCAAAATCAAGCCGAATATAACCGGATAGACGTCTGCAATTAGTTCTGTATAGACGGCACTCGAGCCTACGATATAATCATATGTGGCCGCTATCCAGAGACTTTTCTTACTTTCTCGATAATCCACAAACGGATTGTAGGATACCCACGATGTTTTTCCCGAGAGTGCGGAAATCAAAAAGTTCATTATAGGATATACTGTGTAGGCCGTTAGATACAACATAAAGACAAAATTGCATCGGACAACACAGCGATGTATTTCGACGCGGTGCTCATATGTAACACATCCTTCATCCAGATTATCAAGCAGTTCCTTAGCTCTTTGGAAACGCCACATATTGGTAAAAATAATTGCGACCTTTAAGGTGAGGCTGAGTAGATTAAAAAAAATTTGCACTGAGGATAGAAATTCCTCTGGCGTATATCTATTTAAATCGATCAAATAGCCCGCTATAAACACAAGTGGCAAGTAGATTTCTGCAGTAGCATTTACATATAGCGCCCAGATAATATAGATCCAGTAAAAGCGATTGCTCCTTTCAGGTGGCATCCAACCTACGCATTTCATGGCCCTTTCCAAATACTTGAAGGCATCTCGACCGGGAAACAAATCTCCCATAGATGGCTCTCTCAAATATTTAAATATCATCTTGTGACACTTGTAAGCACTGCAGGAGATAAGTAGCTTGTTGACCTCTTGAAACTTGAACTAAAACTGCAAATTCCCGTTAAATGCTCAACCTTTTATATAATTCCAACGAGTGCATTCTGCTTATTGAGTGCGCTTTGAGTTGGTCTAAGCTATAATCATCTTCCAGATGCTTCAATTCTCAACATGCTTATAAAAAAATGAAGAACAAATTGCATAAGGGCATTTTTTGCTGGCATTTGTTTTGTTTATATATTAAAAAAGCCAAGCCATTGCCACGAGCTCGTGGATTTTCTTTTTTCGAGATAGGAATGGAGGTTTTGACCGGGAACAACCATTTCCTACATTCGGTTATATACGTTGGGCAGGTTAACAAGTATTTACTCAATTTTAAATATTTTCAAATGACCAAATTGGATTTTGCTTTATAGCCTCAACAATTGGCATTATGGGCTCATTAGTAATACTTTTGCCATGTACATGCCCATTGTGCACATTATTATACCCTTTTCAATTATTTCTTGTTAGTGCAGGGTATAAAAAAATGCAAGATACCTGTTAATTAAATACTAACTGCCAAGTAGGCGTAACTTGCGGTTGAACTGACGGCGGTGTAATTTACTTACAGAATTGTTAGGAAATATTTGACTTAGAGGGAAGTGTCATTAATTAGTAATATTATATTGACTTTTTTGACTTATGATCCCAAAAAACTCGAAGGTTTTTGCATAAAACATATTCAGCACATGCAGATTTCTCATTGTCTAATATTGATGCATGGAATATTCGATTTTTTTTTTAACATCCCATCTTATTTCCAATCGACATTTCACAGATCACGTAATTTAAAGAGTTTTCAAAGCCATTTCATGTCGGTTTTCTTCGAGTGCTAGCTTTTATTCCTCGAGCTTAAATTCAAAATTCATAAGAAAAAATCTTGCGTACTTTAGAGTTCGCAATGAATGAATGCATTATATGAAATTAAGCTTTCAAAAAAATAATAGATTTTCTTATTGTTGTTGTTTAAAGTACGAAACCAATTCCTTTAACATAACACAACCATTCACAGGTTAAGAAACCCCAACTGTGTTATATACTCGATTGTTTAAAAATGTATCTGTAGAACAAAAATCTACCTAGTCTTAGTTTTGTCTGTTTTAATGACGTTTTGCACACCCAACTTGTGCACTCTAACTCCCGAAATCTCTAGAGGGCTGACAAACTATTGGCGACTGTCATTTTGATCTTTATCAAGAAGAATTTATTAGAGGCATTTAAACTGCCTCCCTCTATGCCTTGCATGCATTTGCAAACATTATGCCCGCCCGTTTGCCCAGTTTACAGGGTATAGAAATGCGACGCCAATGTAAAGCAGCAGCAAAACGTTGAAATGTTGACAAGGCGCTCGGCGACAACGATTAAAATCTCTGGGGAGCCCAAAAGAACGCGAAGAACGAGCAGAGCGAAAAACCGGCGAGAGATACTCCGGAGTCTCACAGATAGATGTAGGAAAAACAGAAACATTCGCATTTGCGCTGCAACTGGAAATATATATATATATTTATTTTTTTCATTATTTGCCGTCGTCTGCGTTTTGTTGTTTTTGTAAATTACAATGCAATTTTATGCCACACAAAGGTTCCTACCACTTGGCCATTAAGCACTTTACATTCAATGTGGCAAGATCAAAGTGGGCGCAATTTATGGCCGCAGATACAAAGATACGCAACAGAGCCAGGCTTCGATGGGGGACGAGGCGGGGCTAAGCAAAGTTTTTCTTTTTTGTAGAGATGCGTTTGTCTAAGCTAAATACACATACATAAATAATGCAAATTTCGTAATTTATAAATAGTTTCCAGTTTTATTTTAAGCCTGGATTTTAAAATTGAAAGAACTGTTAAAATTACTGAAAGTTTCACAGCAATTGCATAATGTGAAGCCTCTCTAGATATTTACATATGCTTAAGACTGGTTTGTTGTTATGAAAGTTGTATTAAATATTCTGCCTGTCAAAGTTATTTGCATACTGACGTTTGGGATAAATTATTAGTTGTACGTTCAGTGCTTTAATCGATAATTATCGATTATAATCGATCAATATTACTTTTGTATATAATAAAGTATGATAAAGAAAATAATTCTTTAAAAATAAACCCTGATAGCCTTTTTACCTATATTGGTTCAGGTACCCAAGTTATTAGTTCTTTGCCAAAAAAATGAAAATCTATTTCTAGAAGCTAATTCTATAACGATCTTAATTGAAGGAAATACCCTGTATCAGGGTCTGACATTGGCGACATATCTTTTAATCTTTATCAGCGTAATGCGATTTATTTAATATTATGAAAATTGTTGAAACAATTTGTAAACAGTGACTAGATATCCATTTCTAAGTGCATGAAGTGTTCTACTATTTTAAGCGATTGTTCCCAATAGGAAAATTGTAGTTTTAAGGAGTTAATCAAAAACTTTTAGTTAAGCTTAAATTTTTCCACAAGATTCATTTGCTTGACGACAGCGACCACCGAAAATGCAAACTTGGCAAACTGTAGAATGAAATAAAAATATTATAATGTTTAGATCACACAGCATTATCATTGGCTTACCGTAATATTGGTTTTCATGTTGATAGGAAACATGCCGCCGGCAATAAAGGTAATCGGCTTCTGAGCTGTTTGCAAGAAGAAGAAAACCGTCGATTTATAGCGCCGACTCGCACCGATCCATTCTGAATAAAATATGGCCAAGTTCAACTTGTAGCAATCGTCATTGATTAACTCGCAGACATAACAAAAAGGAAATGTCTGAATCAGTAAGACAAAAATATATAAAACTGTGGTCAGGGCAGTCAATAGGGATGAAAAGAATAATAGATGCACAAGCGACAGGCCCAGGCTCAGGCCAATCACCAGTAACTGGGCGAATAGGGTGCGTGATATGACAGGTCGAAAAAGTTCACAATATCTGAAATCTCAAGTTCTTAGCACTTTCAATAACCTTTAATGACTTTAATTGAACTTACTGAAGCACAAGTTTGTGATCCTTAATGCAGTTAACCAGTTCCTCATAGCTCTGCCTCTCCGTTTGCGCGGGATCTGTGCGTAGTTTTTGAACGCGACGTGTCAACAATTCTATATGGGTTCGCAAAATCAAGCCGAATATAACCGGAAAGACGTCTGCATTTAGATCTGTATAGACGGCACTCGAGCCTATGATAAACTCGTATGTGGCCGCTATCCAGAGACTTTTCTTACTTTCTCGATAATCCACAAACGGATTGTAGGATACCCACGATGTTTTTCCCGAGAGTGCGGAAATCAAAAAGATCATTGTAGAGTATACTGTGTAGGCCGTTAGATACAACATAAAGACAAAATTGCATCGGACAACACAGCGATGTATTTCGACGCGGTGCTCATATGTAACACATCCTTCATCCAGATTATCAAGCAGTTCCTTAGCTCTTTGGAAACGCCACATATTGGTAAAAATAATTGCGACCTTTAAGGTGAGGCTGAGTAGATTAAAAAAGTTTTCCACTGAGGATAGAAATTCCTCTGGCGTATATCTATTTAAATCGATCAAATAGCCCGCTATAAACACAAGTGGCAAGTAGATTTCTGCAGTAGCATTTACATATAGCGCCCAGATAATATAGATCCAGTAAAAGCGATTGCTCCTTTCAGGTGGCATCCAACCTACGCATTTCATGGCCCTTTCCAAATACTTGAAGGCATCTCGACCGGGAAACAAATCTCCCATAGATGGCTCTCTCAAATATTTAAATATCATATTGTGACACTTGTAAGCACTGCAGGAGATAAGTAGCTTGTTGACCTCTTGAAACTTGAACTAAAACTGCAAATTCGCGTTAAATGCTCAACCTTTTATATAATTCCAACCAGTGCATTCTGCTTATTGAGTGCGCTTTGAGTTGGTCTAAGCTATAATCATCTTCCAGATGCTTCAATTCTCAACATGCTTATAAAAAAATGAAGAAGAAATTGCATAAGGGCATTTTTTGCTGGCATTTGTTTAGTTTATAAATTAAAAAAGCCAAGCCATTGCCACGAGCTCGTGGATTTTCTTTTTTCGAGATAGGAATGGAGGTTTTGACCGGGAACAACCATTTCCTACATTCGGTTATATACGTTGGACAGGTTAACAAGTATTTACTCAATTTTAAATATTTTCAAATGACCAAATTGGATTTTGCTTTATAGCCTCAACAATTGGCATTATGGGCTCATTAGTAATACTTTTGCCATGTACATGCCCATTGTGCACATTATTATACCCTTTTCAATTATTTCTTGTTAGTGCAGGGTATAAAAAAAATTCAAGGTCCCTGTTAATTAAATACTAACTGCCAAATAGGCGTAACTTGCGGTTGAACTGACGGCGGTGTAATTTAATTACAGAATTGTTAGGAAATGTTTGACTTAGAGGGAAGTGTCATTAATTAGTAATATTATATTGACTTTTTTGACTTATGATCCCAAAAAACTTATCATATAGTCTAATATTGATGCATGGAATATTCAATTTTTTATTCGAAAAAATCTTGCGTACTTTAGAGTTCGCAATGATTGAATGCATTAATAGATTTTCTTATTGTTGTTGTTTAAAGTACGAAACCAATTCATTTAACATAACACAATCATTCACAGGTTAAGAAACCCCAACTGTGTTATATACTCGATTGTTTAAAAATGTATCAGTAGAACAAAAATCTACCTAGTCTTAGTTTTGTCTGTTTTAATGACGTTTTGCACACCCAACTTGTGCACTCTAGCTCCCGAAATCTCTAGAGGGCTGACAAACTATTGGCGATTGTCATTTTGATCTTTATCAAGAAGAATTTATTAGGGGCATTTAAACTGCCTCCCTCTATGCCTTGCATGCATTTGCAAACATTATGCCCGTCCGTTTGCCCAGTTTACAGGGTATAGAAATGCGACGCCAATGTAAAGCAGCAGCAAAACGTTGAAATGTTGACAAGGCGCTCGGCGACAACGATTAAAATCTCTGGGGAGCCCAAAAGAACGTGAAGAACGAGCAGAGCGAAAAACCGGCGAGAGATACTCCGGAGTCTCACAGATAGATGTAGGAAAAACAGAAACATGCTCTATTCGCATTTGCACTGCAACTGGAAATATATATATATATTTATTTTTTTCATTATTTAATTATTAAATTATTAAATTACAATGCAATTTTATGCCACACAAAGGTTCCTACCATTTGGCCATTAAGCACTTTACATTCAATGTGGCAAGATCAAAGTGGGCGCAATTTATGGTGATTATGATAAATTATTAGTTATATGCTCAGTGTTCCAATCGATAATTATCGATTATAATCGATCAATATTACTTTTGTATACAATAAAGTATGATAAAGAAAATAATTCTTTAAAATGAAACCCTGATCGCCTTTTTACCTATATTGGTTCAGGTACCCAAGTTATTAGTTCTTTGCCAAAAATGGAAAATCTATTTCTGGAAACTAATTGTATAACGATCTTAATTGAATATTTACGATAATAACTTTCCGATTATTATCGAAGTATCGATCATGTGCTCATCATTTTTATTTATTTTGTGTTATAGTAATTAGTTGGGAAACATCTTGTAAATAATTGGATTTTAATTCGCATTGGTAGATAGGTTTTTGGGTAAATGGGATTATTTGCACAATTAAAATCGATATTTGAACGTGTTAGCTTACCACAAAACGATCACGCGCCCATCTCTAGAGGCTGCAGCGGTTGATGCCGCCTGTTGCCGAAGCAGGTTATACAATTTTAGATTTGCGCTTTTCCAGTTTGGCAGCGACGAGTCTGCGAGTCTCAGACTCAATGAGTTTGCATGTTTGACCCAAATACGCGACGCAAGAGCAGAGGGCGAGAGGGCGGCAGATAAGAGAGACGAGTATGGGAATAGATGGAGTTGCAAAAATTATGAATTTTAGATGCACGCTAGAAGTACGAGTTTTGGGCCGCATGTCGTATCCATAACATGCACAGGTTCTCAGCTTATCAGCCGCAGGTGAAAGTGAATGTGAGCGAGTGTTTGTGAATATGAATATGAATATGAGTGTGAATGAGTGCGTGGCCTTTTTGTCTGACTATCTGTAGCTGTAACTGCGGCATTTCAAATAATAGTATTTGCACATTCTGCCGCATACGCCCGCAATTAGCCCTCTTACAATGCCGCACCCACGCCCACTTCCACTCCAACCCCTGCCTCTGCCTCTGGGCACTTTAGACCTTTCTGTCTGTCTATAGGTACTTATCTATGGCTATGCTATGCACCTTACTGTGCGGGTTTTGCCTTTTCATAGTTTGTTTTCTTCTGCGTTTGCTTTTGTGTGTTTGTTTTGGCATCGACGTGCGAACTGGGTTAATTTTCTATATATACACATATCTATATGTACTCAGGTATGTACAACTACTTAGGTATTACAAGTCTAAAATTATTGTTTGTACATACATAAAACAAAAGATTCGCACGATTTGCGACGCGCTTGCCAAAGAGACAACGACAACGAAATGTGTATAACAATTATAATTTCACATTTTTTTCCTTATGAATGAACTGAGTTTTGAATGAGCCACGGCTTGCTGTCAGATAGACACCAATCTCTGATAATGGGAAAACACTGAGACAGCTTATGAGCAGCTACTGTTGAGATAAGTCCGAGAGCAGAGCCATTTGAGACAAGCAGAGATTTTACTTGCTCTTCTTCAGAGCGTCTTCTGCTCAAAACATCTGTCAACCTGGCAACAGTGCAAATAGCGATAAGAATCTGCGAGATAACACACTGAGTGCTTACACCTAAATCTAAATAAGTCAGACTTATAATGTTTATAAATCTAAAAGTAGTTGACAGTGTGGACAGCTCTCTAGAAGTCGAACTTTCGACATCGCAATATTCTGGGAATTTTACAAGCGCGCAAAAACCCTTTGGGAATTTGAAATATTGAACTTTACTTTTATTAGATTGAGTTTCACCTTGATAATTATTTAAAAAACGTTTGTTTTATAGTACATAGTCATATTTTAATAGTAGTTTTGTTAAATTATTTAAGTCTTATTAAGAACCCGAAGAGCATATCAGTGTGCGTGTGCTCTAACCGGTTGGGAATTTTAATCTCATATCGTATATTTATAGCTTCGAGCGTTATTCATTGCTGGTAACATCGTTTCTCGCTTTATTGTTAGGTTATTATATTTTAGCCGAACTAACCTACCATAATAAATATTACAAACCCTTTCTTAGCTAGCTTCCTTGAGCTCCCATGATTTTGCACATATAACAGCCCCTAATTGCACACATTTAAGAACATAAAAGTAATCTATATAGCAGACACGCCCACTCGCTTCCTGTCACCTCTGCCGCCTTAGCTGTGGGCACTGAATCAGCAGAAATGTGTTTGCTACTTGGTTTATTTTTTGTTGGCTTATTAAAGAAACTAAAATAAGACAAGCTAAAACACAGTCAAAGCCAAAGAATCGTCGAAAGAGCAGCAAGAAAAAACAATAACAATAGCAACAAACCGAACTAAAAAGTAAACATGGAGGTCACTCAAAAGGTTAAACTGACAAGATTGACAAGCGGCACGCCAAATGGCGGTGACGACAACATGAACGGGAGGGCCTACAAAAAGAGCAGACCTCTCAGCGCTGTGCACTTTAAGGTAACGGCCCGTCCCCGGCGTCCCCTCTTACATAGCTCCTCTGGATTTTGGATTTTGGGGCGTGTTGGGAACCTTTTTGGCCGCTTTGTTGGCCAAACAAATGTTGGTGCTGGGGCAACTGGAAACTCGGTCTAATAATTGCCGCGTTGCATGTTTGCGCTTTGGATTTCAACTTTGATATTATTGGAACGGAGCACTACTTAAAGTGTGGTGAGAACACGAATTAGTTGTTTTGGGCCGCGACTCTTGAGGGTGTGTTTTCGTCTATAGCATACACCCGCTCCGTATACTTATTTAATAGATATGCAAACTAGCTGCAAAAAAGTTAAAAAAAAACCCCCTTTGGTATTTCAGCTAGAAAAAGATCTCTGCCACTATGCACTTGTTCCCAGTCATCCAGTTTGTTGTTCTCCGCTTTGCTAATTGCATGAGAAACTTCACAGGCCCACCTGATGGACGGCCCCTCCTTAGAAGTGTCTCGGGGTCGTTATATATTTTTTTTATTTCCCTTACTTTGTCCTCACATAATTAGAGCCTTGCTAAAAGGCATTACGGGTTTGTCACAATGTTTAAATAACCCGCTTGCAGCTACTTGTAGCTTGTGTTTGAATAGCCTTAAATGGGCGCTAGCAGGTAGCTTGCACTTGGAAATCTGACTAACTTAAGCATTCCATAAGCTTTTACTAGGTTATTTGAAAACGTCCTAATTAATCGATGTAGTCAAAAGAAATTTTTTAAAAATTTGGTATATATGGATACCTGGAAACCCTTTATTTATATACAAATCTCCTTTCTTATACATACCCAGAACTATGCAAATCCTTTATTTACATACATATATAAAACTTACTTGGCCAAAAAAATCCTAATTCTCTGCTAGAAATATGCAAAAATAACGTTCTATTTACCATGTCAGATTTACACTTGTTGATAATTAAAAACCCAAACGCATTATAACTTTATCTCAGTCATTCGCTGGGTAAAGATCAGATCCATTCCAATGATCCAAATATTGAGCCTTTGACTTTTTTTTTAGATTTTTGACCCTGTTGACCCTGCTATTGTACTTTTAGACTGTCGTAATCGATTAATTTTACTATCGACAACATATTTTCAAAGTATCTTTGTTATATTAAACTATTTTCTAAGTTTTTATTTATCAATATAATTACAAATTTTCTAAACAAAAAAAGAATATCTCGTTAGGCAAAATAACCGCTTGTCAAGAGCATAAGGAAAGCTCGTGTTATCTAAATAAATATGAAAATGATTTTGATTATTGCGCGCAAAACATTCTAACTATGTCAAGTAGTTGTTTAATAGGGTATGCACACTTTTAGCAGCTCTTTGTGAATATATCAGTTTATTTTTTTCACATTAATTATGCGCTGTCGCTGCTGCCCTTCTTGAGAATGATGTAAGCGCTCCTGGTGCCCCTGCCCGCTGTTTAGCTGCCATTAGTTACCACATGCCACATGTGTCAAGCTTTGAAAATGCCAGTCAGTCCCGCAGTGGGCAACAGACGGTGGTACCATCGAATGCGCAGCTGTCACAATGTTTTATCATTTAATTTTCATAATAATAACGAAATCAAGTGGAACAATGCCAACTGGCGTAGACCTAGGCCAGAGAGCCAAGATTTTGTTTTATAATCCCCCCCATCCAAAGGTTTGGCTAACGAGAAGAGACTTTTCGCGTGGGCGATCAGCTTTGGTGATCGAGTTTTTATTTTTCTCTGCTTTTTTTTTTGTTTTTTGTGGAGCGGGGAATTTGAAGCTTTGAGGTTCACGAACGCAATCTGGCGGCAGCTGCAAATTATTATTTAACGGCTTCTTCAGTTTTAGTGTTTTAACACTTTTGGCAAGTGCCCAACACCAAAGTGAAAGTGAACAATAGCAACTAAAACAAACAACAAACAACAACAATAACAATAACAACGTGTTGCCACTGCACTTTGGCGTTTGATGTTGTCATCGTTGTTGTGTCTTGTTGCCATCAAGTTAAAGTTGAAGTTGAAGCTGCCGCCTGCTGCTGCTGCTGCTGTTGCACCTGAACTCGAACTTCAGCAGGCAAAAACTGTAGCGCCCAAGCAACAACAATAACAACAAACAATTAGTGTTTATTTGCGCGTTGTTGTTTCAGTTTCTACGAAGCGTCAACTTCAGCTCCAATTAGAGTGCCAGTTTAATGAACTGACAGCGAAACCCCCCCTTGGGGCAGACCAACGGGCTGAGACAAATTGCTGATCATAGTAACCCTAGCAATAGAAAGGTCCAGAGAGTAGATAACATTGGCACTGCGTAAAGCGTATCCAGTTTTATGATCTCATGAGCATCGTACTGCGTCCTTAACCTTTGAATTTCTTAATAACTATATCGGGCTCACACGCCAGTGTTAATTAAAGTCTAGGTTGTAAACTTTTAACTATAATATATAAAAAGAATTATAGTAATATTAACATTCGTTTTCTTTATCATTACAGATTATAAGTGAACTGGCAGAAGTTGTTTATGCCGCTTTAGATTACAATTTTCCAGAGGACGAAGAATGCCAAATGTCGCAGGAACTTGAAAATCTGTTCCACTTTATGACAGCAGATGGTAAGTATTATTATATATTTCTTATTAAAGCGCACAAAATCAATTTAACAATAAAGCTAAAGACAAAAATATTATAGGAAATAATATTGAAGAAACATTAAAAACAAAATGAAAGAAACAAGCTTAAAGACAATTGATTTTAGGATTAGAATAATATATTGATAGAGAGGTACACAAATAGATAGATAGATATATAGAGGAAAATCTTTGTAAACTATTTTGCAACAATCTTTGCATTTGCGATAGAATATATGGGTAAACAGAAGTTCTTCGTATTAGATAGAAAATACACGTCAGCTTTAATTAAAATCTAGAAAATCTACAAAATTTCAAAAATTAAAAGTTTGTAGTTAAAATAAAATAAATAATCCTCAGCTTTGTATAAAGAGATTGTAACAATAAGATGTTCGATAACTATAGTAAACTCTGTAAAATTTTAATTCAAATGAATCAATGTCTCGTAACATAAATATATTAGTTTCATCAATTAAAAAATAAACAGCTTGTAATCAAGAAACACATGTCTATGGGTCATAGAGAATGCAAAAGTACTTGGAGTTCAGCCAAGCTTAATGCTTGAATCATCCATCAGCTGTACTACAATAATAACATTTACTCACTGGGCGCAACAAAGAAGTACAAAAAAAGTACAAATAAAGTCGTCAATCGCTCAGCTTCCATAAATAAAACTACTCTCACCCAAGGCCTTTCAAATGCGACAATCGCCAAATGAATCACTTAGGAACCCCCATATCATGGGTCGTACTTGGATATTGTACAATGCAACGTTATTTACTTGAGAAAATTAAAATAATATTGCAAATATCAAGGCTAAGGCTTAGATAACCAAATTCGTCACACTATGAATAACTCGCGAAACGATATTCCATTCATCCCAATTTAATTTCTTATTGCAGAAAACGACGATGACTGCATTGATGAGGGCATTGAGGAGGGGGATAAGCGCTGGGAGGACGAGTCCGAGGAGGAGCGCAACAATACCAAAGAACTGGAGCATATAATCGAGGTAAGTTAAAAAAAAACTCTTGACATTTCGACATTTTGGTAGGCGGCAGTTGATAAATTGCCAAAAAAAAAAAAAACCAAATCGAAAAAAAACACGAATGCAAATTGAATCAAATCAAAGTTTTGCCAGTTGAATTGAACTTTTAGCGCCGTGAGTCAGTTCCCATTACGTGTATACCCTGTTAAAACATGTTATTCAATTGTGGTGTGTTTAGTTATAGGTGGGAAGTAGGAAGGATGAGAGAATCTTTAATTTAATTTTAATGATAGCCCCCTTTATCCCCTTATCCCAGATACAATCCTTACAAATTGATTTGTCTAGCAATTTAAATCGTTTAGAAATTAGAAACGCAATTTTCTAATCATTTTAATTAAAATATTACTATTATTAGAAATACATTTTCAATTGTTAAGTTTACTGTTTAGGATAAAATATCGAAGAAGTTAGCAATATCGTACAGGGTGTTTTTCAGTCGTTCACACTTGAGCTTTCCTGCAGCCATTGGAGGTGCGCCGTCATTTGGGTAACCTTTTGACCAGGCTTTGACTGCTCCATTTGGCTTATATACATAGACATACATATCTGAGAGATATGGATATCCAGTTGCTGGCAGTGTGGGAAAACTAGTTTGGCGCACGTTGCATGGACGCAACAGCAATTGCACTTACAGTTAACCAAGTGAGGCGCACACTCTCAGATACTTGTTACCTGTATCTATGCGTTTGTATCTGTATCTGTAGCTGTATCTATATCGCGGCTAACCGCAAAACAACAAGCGCTCAGTTGGCTAGCTCAATTGCCCGGGTTCTAGATTACCCAGTCCAGACCAGACCAGACCAGATCTCTGCCAGGCAATTTCATATTGCGGCAGTATGGCAGATATTAAATAACCAAATAGCCATCACGTTGCGGCCATTTCGTAATAGGAAATCGCTCTGCACTTGATTTCACAGCTTAATGCGTTGTAGGAATTCACGTTGCACTGCATCCGCATCCATGCCATGCCAATCCATAACCAAAAGATCACGATCATTTGGTAATTTGGCATTCAGGCGTGTGATAAACAGCATTGCATTGCTGATTGAGCCCCCCCGGCTAGCATAATAGCCAAGAGACCCCCGGACCGCCGCTTCACTATGTTCCAGCTCAATGCGCATTTGCTCATCACATGGATCGATTGCAGTGGCAACAGCAACAGCAGCGCCACCTGTCGGCGCGTTCTACCCTCTCTAATGAGCCACTTTATAGAATTGACACATTACTGTCAGGCAACATTGAGCAGTGGGTTTCGAGTCGTTCCACCAAGTCAGCCAGTCGGTGGCATGCAATATTTTCCACTTGCCTGACTTTTCTAACACATTTGCGCCAAATGTTAAGTTTGGAGCATCTGCTATAAGCCTGGCAAAAGAAAAAAAAGCACTGTATGCACTGGCTATGCGATTCTTTCGACTGCTAGCAGGGCTTAGCATGGGTTATGGCCCAGTTAGACACGTTGTTAGCCCAGCTGGCAAGCTAATTAGAAAAGAACCTGCAGCTGTTGAAAATTTGCAATGGATTATTGTTAAGTAGATTAGTAAGCAAAAAATTCGAAAGGTGTATCGATAGATAGTTAAAGAAGACAATAGGCGCCAAGGGGCTTCAATTTTTTCACGATAGTTTCCTTTTTTGACAGAAGAGCATATTTTAAACGATCAACCATGAGATAAACCAGTAAACAGATTTAGTCGGCAGTTTCCGATACCCTGAACACTCTTCGATAGCTATAAAATTGAAGATAATTATCTATATATTCTCTTCAAGAAGCTACATATCAAATTTAGTGACTCTAGCTCTGCAAACCTAAGAACACGATTTCGATATCGATTTTTATCGATTAATTGAAAATATGGCAAGTTATCGAGCCCTAGGAGACCCTACGTTTAAAATTTCAAGTATCTAGCTCTTATTGGTTCTGTGATCGACGCGATCTAAATATTTTCAGAAAAAAATTACAATATTCCGGCAAATCATATGACAGGCATATATATTTTGGGTTTTAAAAAAATGAAAATTAATTGGGAAAAGATTATGTATTTCAAAGTAACATTTTAATATAAGTAGTTGAACATTTTTTAAAGGTAAACATGCCTATATAAAGTCACATTAATACATGGAACACAAAACGAATATAATTCCATTTAAGAATTTTTTAAATATGAGTAAGTATATATAGGTACAGGTAAAAAAACAAATTAATTATTTCCTAAACGGAGTTTTGTCATCTTCAGATAAATACAAAGTACTGCATCTATCAATCTACCGATCTATTGCAAAGTGCGTTTCCTCGTATTCAAAAATATTTGATAATATACACAACCTAACTAAAAAATCTCAAAAACAGATTAAATCTTATCCAGGTGATTGGATGGCACAGCTCAGAAAGTGTTCCTAAGTTCTTAACCCCCCTCTCTCTCTCTCTCTCTCTCTTTCATATACATACTATATTTAAATTGTTATTAAAAGCTATTTCCCTGGTTACTCAACTTTGATTAATTTTGATTACAGACCTGTAGAAACCATATAAAGCCCGCATTACCAGAGAACCATTACAAAGCCGTTTGTCGCGCCTTAGTAACGGAAACAATAGAGCTTCGAATATTTCTGCAACAAATCCTAAACAATGGTAGGTTACAAGACAACAAAAACTCGACTATCCCAACTTTGTATGTCCCTAATTATTTGTCTAAATATTTCTTTTTAGATACCGAAAAACTAATAAAGGCATCAGAAACATCTCAAAGCACGCAGTATGAGCTAGCGAAGCTGGGCTTCAACGACTGGGTAAGTCCCCTTCCAATCTTAAGCACACGGGCTATATCTTACATTCGATTCGATATGTTATGCAATATTTGAGGAAAAACCACTAATGGTCTTTAAAGTGGGCTACACAGCGAATCACGACCGACTCTTTGGCTGCTATTTTGGCGCACCTCTTCGAATCCACCGGCAGGCACCCATCATCATTATCATTACCATTATCATAGAGATCACGCGCAATGTTTCGGCTTTTACAGATGCATGACGGTAGGGGGGGAGGGGCGTCTTCCGTTTTAACCTCAACACGGGGCCAGGCGAAAAAGACAATACAAAAAAAAAAGTGAACCATTTCACAAAATTCACTTTTAATTTTAATAATCGACTCGCAGCGGTTTGACAGCTCCCATTATCCTAATGAGTTCGACTATGCGAGATACATTTAATGTGCGACACATTAGCGCCAAATATTTGGATTCAAATGCATATATATATATATATTTGTAATCGTGTTTTTTGTGTGACCTTTAAATAAAAAATAAAAATGTCGAGGCCGGCTCAGGAATTCGCTTGTGGTTGCTATTGGGCCTCCAAATCCATTGAGACCAACACGCAAATTGGCCAAGCACGCAAGCCAAATAGGTTTGTGGCAAAAAAAGAAGATGAAAAACATGGACAATCTTCAATGTGTTTTGTCAGTTTACAATTCAAGGTCTGTGGGTTTTTTGAGGCAGCTTGCTTGCTTTTTTCATATTAAAAGAGAAAAGAAGAGCAATGTTCAAAGACGATTATACCACATTTCTCTAAACATTCGACAATCTTAAGCATCTATGAAAATTTGCAGTTATAATTCCCAAATAGTTACAGCGTCGACTTTTGAAATTGCCCATAGACTGGAAACTCGCTAGAGAAATCGCTGACACAAAGTAAATGGAAAAGTATCTTATTTTGTATAATTATTGCTTACAACAATGACAGTTCCCAAACCTATCTAGCTAGTAGCATCAGTAAACGATCATGATTTGTATGTTTTTTCATTCTGCCTTAAAGCGTATCCAATATCCTGTTATGCCCGACCCGACAAAGTTACCTTGGGCACACGCCCCACACATCATTTTGCATGTTGATAAAACAGGAAAGAAAAACCGCAAAAAATAGGTTCGCGTGCGCTAGACTACATACGAGTCGATATCATATATCATAAATACAGCCAACCCATCCTAACTCTCAGGCCCGTATCAACGCCGTATTCGTAATTAAATCAACAAAAATTTGCATTTCGTTGAATGGCGCTGATTAAAAATCAGAAAAAGAAATATTATTATTATAATAAAATGAGGCGCAGTCCAATTGGCCAATTAATACCCATGACTTGTTGCGCAAAGACTGTATACAGTCCATTCATGGCACCCATAAAGAAGGTAAAGCTCCCAATTGCAGGCGAAATAAGTATTTATTTTACAGCGACTGCCTTTTGATGATATTTGTGTAATTCTTAACAATTGTAGAGTTTGATTAAAAACTGTGCCTGTTCTTATCAGGCAAAGCGAATGACTGACTGACGGTTTGTACCCATTGAAATTGATAAGGTTTCACCTCCTCTCTAGACTCTCTCTGTGTCTCTTCACCTGTCTATTGTTTATATGTCAACTCTTTTTCTTCAATTTTTATTCCCTGTACCCTATGAAAATGGCTTAAAGGGGTGTTTTAGTTTTGCGGCTTGTATGTAACAGGCAAAAGGAGGCCTCTTCAAGCGATGTCGACCCGCCTGTCTGTCTGACTGTATAAACGTCTCGACCTCGGGAACTATAACAACGAGAGATGTGATCTTTTGAATGTAGCTCTTCCTAGTTCACACACAGATTATGTTTATTTCAAATTATTAAATGTAAATATGTATTAAGGAAGTGCGAAGGTTTGTGATGACCCCTGAATGCTGGCTATAGGGTATTTACAAGTCGTACACTCCGGACTCTTGTTTTATTTTGAATTTTTTGGTAGAATTCAAACGCAACAAACTTTATATAGTCAGCGCTTTATCAGTTTCTCGGAAGCCAAACAGCCTTCAGAATGTCACACAATAAGTAGTTGATGCCTCTTGTCCCCCTCTCCCTACAGCCCGTCTGTTAGTTAAGACCGGAACGACAAACCCACGCGATATGCAGACCATAAGAAACGGTTTTCCGATCTGTTTGGCTCTTTTTTGATTGTTGCCCCGTTTTTGGATAGAGCTTAACGCTGGAATTACTGAAATTCTTTTGTTTGTTGCATTATTATATACATATTTCTTTGTGCTTCATGCTTTGCTGGACTTTTAGCCGAAACAGTTGCTTTGGAGCGGGTAACTCCCTGTTGTCTAGCTTGGGATTTCTGGAATAGGAGTGAGGTAATTACTTGGAAGAAATTAGATGGGATTACAGCATACGGTAAACTCTAGTGGAAGATTTGTACCTTAAATTCTTTTTAGAAATAACTTAGCTTGGCTCAAACGTCACATTAAAGAGTCATAGGTGCAATGCGCTAACCTAATTTTAATTAACGTGGCTTAAAAATCAAATAAAATGCATTGTACTTAATGAATTTAGTTGACTCTTAAGCTCATGGAAATCCCAATAGGACAGCTCTTCAATGGGTTTGTTGGATTAAGTGTTGAATAGAATTGGAACTTAACGCTGGCCTGGGGTACTCTTCGTATAAGAATTATATTAACTTCTTAGTCAAAAAGGTTTCTAGACCTCCTTTAAGCTATCACTGGCAACAATTGGACAGCTTGCTGATTCAACATTCAACTTTTGCCCCTCTTTCTGGTGCGTATAGTTTGTTAGATTGCGGGAATCTCTTTCACCTTTTAGCCGATGCTATCGAGCATATCAACATAAACTGCATTTTCCTAGGCACAGCCCTACATGTGTTTCGCTTTGCTGCTTAACATGCTAATGATGATGATAATGATAATGATGAGCTGCTGTTTTTATGCTAATATTCGTTGATGATGCTGCTGGAAACTCCAGCTACCCAAAAACCAAAACAAAAAAATTGAAACAAAATTTGAATTTTGCAAGCGCTACGCACATGTGCGATATTTCATGCAACATGGCAGCTTAACAACAAACAACAAACTGTTGCAAGCGCTTCCGGAAGCTGCCACACGTTGCCCATGATGCGCTGTTGTTGTTTATGCCATGGCTATTGTTGTTGCATTTATTGAAGCGCAACAACTACAGCCTAGCGCTGAATGCAACATTTGTCGACTTTTTTGCTGCCTTGTGTCGATTATGCGATTGTGTCCAAAAAACGAGAAAACATGTGCCGCGCAGCCTCTCAGCTTTGTGGGTGTAAATTAGCAGCCCAACCCCTCCCCCCCTTTCGGCACGATTATTTTGCATGTTTAATGAGCTGCTACAAAATTTATTGCCGCAAATTGACGCACTCGTTGACAGGAACAGGAAAAGCGACGCCGCCACCATGAAAAGTGAAAATGCGAATTACTGTTACATCTAGTTTAATCAGTTGCACCCAAACCCCGCTCTTCCCCCCCCCCCTCCCCCACCTTTGCCATTGTGTGCTGAATACGCTTCCTGCCATCGCACACACATCGAACACATTACTCATACGCACTGTTAACCTGCCAACTGCCAGGTGCAACTGCCACAACTTCCATCTGAAGTGTCAAGTGTGTGTGTGTGTATGTGTGTGTGTTCGTGTAATGAGCGGCGATTGGTTTTGAAGCGCTTGACTTGATCACAGCAGGTCTAAATTGTGGCTAAATTAATTTAAATATATTCACAACGGCGGAAAAAGTGAAAAGCCAACGAAGCTAAGTAGCTGCAACCCGCTGTGCGCCGCTGATTAAAGTGAGTGGCGATTGCAATTTCTAAGCCTAAACCCCTCCACACTTCTTGTCTCTGTCTTACCTGCTGCCTATCCAGCACGAGCTGGAACTCTGGAGAACGTTGCAAGTACGTCCACTAAACAAGCTGCAAATGCTTTCAATATGCATGAGTCCTAAGCTTAGTGCATGTCTGTCAATATGCTTAGAAATAACTGCATACATAAACAACTATAACCGACTTATTAATCTCTTTCTCTTTTCCATAGGCACGCTTCTGGGTGCAGGTTATCGATGAACTGCGACGCGGTGTTCGCCTGAAGAAGCGCAACTACGAGCGCACGCCCATCGAATACGAGCTGACGCCCTATGAGATACTTATGGGCGATATACGCGCCAAGTAAGTAGACACCTATGAAAATGAGTATAAGTGCTCTTGTCGGGTGTGCACGACTAGTAGATACTCTGTAGCTTAAATTGTACATATGCTTGTGTATAGAACGGAACCTACAAACCAAATTGGGTGTATCTTGCTCTCATAATTCCCGAACTATGTCTATGATAAATCGATATATATGGAAAATCAATATTTATGGATACTATGGAAATGTAATATTTATCGACATTATTGAAAATCGATATTTTAGAAAATCGATATTTATTGATATTAAGGAAAATCGATATTTATGTGGTATGCCATCCTCAGTGCAATTGTTTTTTTCCACGTTTTTTAAGGATATTATCTGCCATCTTTAACAAAACAATCTATTGAATTTACTAATTCGCCAGATGGGGAAATTTATATATTGGCCTTTTTTGGAAGTCAAGATATGTGGAATATATGTACAAATTCTTTCCGGATCCTTATTGATTCTATTTAAGTAGTCACATACATCAGTGTTCAGTAGATAACTATAACCTGTAACTTACTCAAAGAACACAAATAGCACGATCATTTATATACTCTTCAAAGAGAGTATCAAACCACAAAGCAGACAACTCTAATCAAATATAAATATTTGAAATTTCTCTTTTTTTCTTCTTACCACAGAAAGTACCAATTGCGCAAGGTGATGGTCAACGGTGATATACCGCCGCGCGTGAAGAAGGATGCCCACGCGATGATCTTGGAGTTCATTAGGTCACGGCCGCCATTAAAGAAGGTGTGTGTTGCGTTCCCAATGCCCATTTCCAATAGTCAAACAAATGCTTAATATGATCGTCCAATACTCCTATGTTCAACTATATTAACTGTCTCCTTCTATCGCGCTCTTTCGCTTTCAATTTGTGAATTTTTATGTTATAACACATATATATATATATATATATATATACATATATATATTTTGCTAAAATAAACCCATTCGTTTACTCTTTAATTTATGGCTTATGGATTTTAATTAAAGGCCTCGGAACGCCAACTGGGCCCACCATTGAAATGCACGCCCTCGCCCCGGGAGCAGCTGATGGAGTCAATTCGCCAGGGCAAGGAGCTTAAGCAAATAACGCCGCCCGAGACGCCACCACTTAAGGAAAAATGTAAGTGCAAATTTCCATTTAAATAAAACAGTTTAATTAATATATAAAGCCTGTAACAGAGTTCACTATGGCAACCCAAGATTTAAGAGTCTCTTTTAAAAAATCATAAAATGTAATTCAACTTGGAATTTTAACAAAAAAATCAAGAAATGCTGGCGGTGCAATATACATGGTTACATGGTTGTTTATACTGTTCACACTTCAAAATGCAGTCAATTGTTTGCTCTACTTAAATTTTCTTGACAAAAATTAAGTCAGTTATAGCTTGCGTTTATTTGTAAATTGGTATGCAGAATGAAAGTATATATTAATAAATCAATATCCGGCAGAAAACACGGCTGTTGAATTACAAAGATAAAGATAAGATATCTAAGATTAAATATTTGCTGCGCTGACTGTCAGCAAGTATTTGCTTAAACTTAATTTTAAGCCACAAAACCCTTCTTTTTTTGCCAGCGAACTCTGCACAGCTGAAAAAAAGAAGTCTTTTGATAAAAACCCGCCTCTTATGCATATTTGGTGTGTGGCAGAGTCAATCCCCTTCTTCTTGTGTTGTCATCAACCTTTTCCAAAAATTTTCCACGCCAACCGTTCATAAATTGTTGTCATACACATGCTGCTGCCTGTCAGCTCCTCTGCTGCTGTCCCTGTCTTCTGGGCAAAAGAAAAGAAAAAAAAAGAGAAAAACTTGTTAGCCACGAAAAGTTTTCACTGCACTTGTCGGTGCCCCATTGTCCGCCCCTGTCTAACTCGTAACTATGTCTGTCTGTCTGCCTTTCTGTCTATGTTTGTGTTTGCTTGGCCAATTGCCGTTGCTGGCATGCGCATGCCAGCATAGATCAAAAACGGCAACATTTTCCAATCGCCTCTGCTGAAGGAAGCGTGCAAAATTGTGACACACAAAGATAGCGACAACGTTGCAGCGATGGCAGCAACAACAACAACAACACGACAACCTCAAAGACGACGACAACGGCAACGATGACGATGAAGATGATGATGACAACAACTCTGCCTGTGGCTGCCGCTGCGGCTGTGTCTGTGGCTGCGGCACCGGCGCTATGTTTGTTTGTCTGCAGTGAACTTTTGTTTGTTTGGCTCTGCTGCAATCGCTGCATTCGTGCAACAGAGGCCGAGTGAAAGACGGTTGCGCGTTTGGTTAGATTTTCGAAAACCAGTGTTGCATACCCCTTTGAGCTGGCTAGTAAATGGCGATGTTAATGAATCAGCCTAAAAGCATGCAGCGATTTTTGTTTATTTTCTGTTGCCTAGTTTTTTTACACAATGTTGGCAGTTGAGGTATTATTTTAGTGTCGAGTTCCACTGGAAGTACATTGTGGTAAATTAATCAGTTAAGCTAAGTCCTGAGCATTTCGCCGCCTGGCTAACATGGTAGTACGTAGATGCTCCTGGTATCTTGGCATATTAGCTGTTTGATCATATACCAACGAGCAATACAGATCTCTACCTGATTATTATGACCTGTTCCTTTTATTCACCTACTGAGCAGCACAAACTGTTGCTGCCGACCTTGTTTTGTAAAGATAGCTTGTTTTTAACCATGTGAACGATATCTTTTACCATTTTACCCGTGTATCTGTACAAATCAATTAACATTGAACCCCAATAAATTTGAGCCAATTACACTGTTTAAGCTTAAAATAGCGCATAAAAAAATACGGCTTAAAAATAGCTTTAACGTACCTTAGCGCAGCCCATTCACTTTCATTAGCTTTAAACATAATCTAACGCACAGCTTTACGCATTATTCTTTAATGTGTTCTCTTTCTGCGCGCTCCCTTAAGCGACGTCACCAAAAGTAGCCGCTCATCAAAACTAATGACGTAACAAAGACAAACAGCGATAAATGTTAAATGTCAAAACAAAACAAAGCGTGCGCTCTCTCTGTCTCTTAATCTGTCACCCACTCTCTTTGCGCGACGCATGCGCTTGGTGTATAAAGCTTTTCGAGCTCAAGTAAATGCGTTGCTGAGAGACAGTCGACAGTTTCGTGTTAAGCTTCGGCGGTGTCGCTACGTGTGTTGTGGCTGGCCGCAGGCGACGCGTGGCGCGGGTAAAAATGAAAACGACCTGATTAAGCAGTTTAATTGAAAACTACTTGTAACAAAAAGTATTAAAAACGCGCGTCGCGCTGCCAAACGACTATCAACCAGTCAGTCAGTCATTCAGTCAATTAACCAGACAAGCACAAGCACAAACACACGCACACGCACACACCCCCAAAAATGGGACAACAACTGTTAGCCCTACGGTAGTGGGGTTGGTTGCCTGTCGGATCGATAGCCCGAATGCAACCGTGCAAGAGTGAAAAAAGAAAGAAAACACAAATCAGGAGAAAACAACAAACGTGTTGTGCAAAGTGAAGTGCCCTGAAAGTAGAGCAACAGCTCTGACAGGCGGGGCGGCAATTTCCTCCACATGCAATGCAAAGTTTAAGCCAACTTTCTTAGCCAAAAACAAAAAAAAACGAAACCAACACTCGAAATCGCTCGCTGCGCACAAATGGCTGCCAAACAACAAACGACGCCCAGTGCCAAGCGCTCAACAGCCGCTGCAGTGTTCAGATCGCATCACGTCGTACGCAACGCGGATGTCGTTGATGTTGCCAGCGATGCGTCGCTCTATTGCGGCCCCGAAACGGAAACCGAGACAGTTGCTGCCACACAGTTTCAGTCGCAGTCGCCGTTGCAGTCACAGCCGCAGTCGCAGTCGCAACCACAGCCAACGCCACGTGCTGCGCCGCGTGCTGCCGCCACTGCAACCGCTGTCAATCCGCCAACACCAAAGCCCCGTCAGGCTGTCAGGATATCAAAAGGTAGCAGCCAAGTCATTATCGATGCCACTTTTTGCGTTGACCTGGTTTCAATTTCCAGCCAGTTGGCTGGGTGTGGGGTTGGGGGTAGGGGGCAGTAACAGTTCCGTCCTTCGAGCAAGAACTTTGCATGCGGCACTCCTCAAGTATATCGAAATGAAAGTCGCAGGCGTAATTCCACCTGAAAATTGGACAGCAGAGGATGGTGAAATAACCTAGAGGGGAAGAGACCAGTTTAAATAAAAAAAGTAGCTAATTTTCAAATAAAGTAGATTTGTTTAACAATATTCAAATTAATACAGTCCCCCTAGTTACCCTTTTTTCTGTAAATACATACATACCTAAAGAAGATATGTTACAAAAATTGCGTTCAAACTTAATTTCTTAATTATTTTATAAACAGAACTTTTTGTTACTTTTGAATAACAAAAAGTAAAACTAAATTCCCCTCGCCCAGTTCAGAAGTTCAAACATTTTAACTGGTTTATTTGACTAAAATTTGTTCATGCAATCATGCAGAACATTTTCTTCCTTTCTTAAGTGGACAATAGCAAAAAACGAATGAAAACTGTGCGGAATCCATCTAGAAACTAAATTTGTTCATGGCTTAAAAAACTGACTTAACTAAAAGCTACCAATATATATTCTCCTTTCAAATTTGTTGTAAATAAAACTTTTTATTATTTTAAATAAATAACATGCCGACCCCGCTTGAAGCTGAAACATGCTCTTCGGGTTAATTTCCCAAGCACTTTTACGAGCATTGCACAAGCGGAAGAAAAAACTTGACGGGTAGAACCATTAAAGGCGTTGACTTAACGGTTAGTTGAATGCCCAGACGAGGTACTAAAAAAAAAACAACAACTAAAGAAACAAACCGACAATAAGATGACAAAGTAAAAGAGCAAAGCTCAAGACGTTGTCTAATTGCCGGGCGAGGGGCGAGTCCATGGAGCTGGTTACGCTCTAGACCCCTTCGTGGGCAGGGATGGGGAGGGTTAGTCTCTGCTTGTGCAACTTACCAAGCATGTAATCTAATCAAAGCAGCTGTGAGTGCACTCAGTCACACACACACACACACACATACTCACACACTGACAAGGCAGCATACACATCCATTTTCCCATAGCATTAATTTAGTCTACTTCACTTTCGCTCTGGGTCTAAGAGTTACGTTTCGTCATTTGTTTTTGCAGTGCTTCCAAATTCGACAAACGCGACGCTGTCGCGCTCCCGGCAGCGGCTCATCAAAGTGGATTTCTCAAAGTTGCAGGTGAGTTGTCAGGCGGTGCCACATGCCACACCACACGATTATTCAATATGCGACAAATATTCATCTGGCCAGGACGACGAGCAAATCTTCGATGACTCCAGCATCAGCAGCGGCAACGCCTCCACAGCAGCTGCCGCCGCCCATCTCGCCGAGCTGCATCGTTATTCCCAGCCCAAAATGCCGCCATATCCAATCGGCGGCTACATATTGGGCGGTCAGATGAGGCACGAGTCGCCGGCCTTGCTGATGCGACCGAGACGCACAAGTAAGTATCGATGTCAAACGATATCTATATAGAATATACAACAGATGTTACGAAATGTGCACAAAGTATAAAGGAACAAGTTTTCTGTAATCCAAGCTGATTTCAACTAGAAATACTCGGCTTACTTGGGTTACAACCAGCTTCAGATGAAACAAGTTAAAATCAACTAGTTTGATTAAGTCTAGAAAACACCCTACATGACGAGGAACTAGCTCCGATTGCGATGCTATAAACAAATTTTAATCTACGTTTCTTATATGAGTAACAATATACCAAGTTTTAGCTGGTTCGGAAATACATAGTTTATGGAATCTGATAATCTAATTTTCACTAAATGTTTACTCATAAATAAAACAGAGGAAAAAGAGGAAAGCAAGTTAATAAAAATAGGAATAAGTACTTCACATAAAGAACTCCCTATTTTGATAAAAAATAACTTAAAAAAAACGGGCTACAAACTTTACACAATGAGCTATTTTTAAATACCATATTTTATTATTATTATGATGGAGGCAAGTTAAATATTGCAAGTAAATATTGCGCGTAATTCGCTTTTTCATGGTTCATAATAATTTACCTTGACAAGAGTTTTAAACATTTTAAAGATTGAAATCCCTTAGCTCCAACCTCTTTCAATTTGTCCATGGATGATTGAAGGTGTCGGTTAATTTAATGAAACCAATTATATATACAAACATAGATATATAATGGTAGTTTGTTGCTGCACTTATAAGCAGATGCTTAAGATAGTTGGGTCAAAGTAGTCGCCAAATAACTTATAATGTCCAATATATTTAAAAACAATATATATTGAATATAAATAAATTTATATTGAATGCAAGTTTTGATATCTCTATATATAAAACTGTTTGTCCTGACTGACTGACTGACTGACTGACTGACTGATTGGTGATCAACGCACAGCCCAAACCGTAAGAGTTAGGAAGCTGAAATTTTCACTGTAGCTACCTTATGTGATGTAGGTGCACGTTAAGACGGGGTTTCGGGAAATTCCACCCGCAAGTGTGGAAAAATCGCGAAAAACGTTTGTATGTAACTTTTTTGTTTACCATCCGATCGGCCTCAAATTTATTTTCAAAGGTCTTTGTTCAAATTCATTTGAGGGGTGTTTCCCACTTTTTGGAAAATGCATGCCTCCTTGGTGGAAATGGGGGTCAAAAATTTGGTGGGTGACGTTTCGCCCTCAAATTCATTTCCAAGTATCTATATGAAAATTCATTTGAGACGTGTTTTTCACTTTTCGCAGAATTCAAACTTCTTCGGGGGGAATGCGATTCAAAGATTTTTTGGGCGAAGTTTTAAGTTGTGTCCGATTTGCTTCAAACTTATTTTCAAAGCTCTCCATAAGAACTTAATGAACACGTATTTCAGCGATTTGGGAAATTCCACCCGCAACAGTGGTAAATTGGCGGAAAACGGTTGTATGAAAGTTTTTTGTTTACCATCGGATCGGCCTCAAACTTATTTTCAAAGATCTTTGTTCAAATTTATTTGAGGGGTGTTTCACACTTTTCGAAAAATCCGTTCCTCCTTGGTGGAAATGGAGGTCAAAGATTTGGTGGGTGACGTTTCGCGCTCAAATTCATTTCCAAAGATCTATAAGAAAAATCATTTGAGACGTGTTTCACACTTTTCGCAGAATCCAAACTTTCTCGGGTGGAATGCGACTCAAAGATTTTTTGTGCGAAGTTTTAAGTTGTGTCCGATTTGCTTCGAGCTTATTTTCAAAGCTCTCCATAAGAACTTAATGAATACGTATTTCAGCGAATTGGGAAATTCCACCCGCAACAGTAGTAAATTGGCGGAAAACGGTTGTATGAAAGTTTTTTGTTTACCATCCGATCGGCCCCAAACTCATTTTCAAAGATCTATGTTCAAATTCATTTGAGGGGTGCTTCACTCTTTTTGAAAAATCCATCCCTCCTTGGTGCAAATGGGGGTCGAAGATTTGGTGGATGACGTTTTGTGTTCAAATTTATTTCCAAAGATCTATAAGAAACATCATTTGAGACGCGTTTCACATTTTTCGAAAAAACCTAACCTCCTTCGGTGGAAAATGCATTTCAAAGTTTTTTTTGGTGAATTTTAAGTTTGTTTGATTCCCGTCCGATCAGTTTCAAAATCATTTTCAAAGCTTTTAGAAAACATTAATTTTATAACATACGTGCGACGGGCAAGGCCGGGTTATACCCGCTAGTATATATATATATATATATATGTATATATAGAAAAAGATTATGATACATTCTTGCTGCTTAGCTTACACCCTTTAAAAGTTATGAAATATATTAAAAATATGATTTAGTTTATTCAACAATGAGCCCTTATTACGATTTCGATTCCAAGATTTGAATTGGAAATAGTTCAAGAGATTCCATATAAACGAATCTCTTATTTGAATACATTTGGGACTAGCATGAACATTATTTTTATATTAATCATAAATAAATGTAAATAATTTTTTTGGCAAGATTTATTGGATCAACTTTGTTATAAATAAAAAAATAATAACAATAAATTAATTCCAGTTAAATATATTAACCTGTTCCTTCGTACTTTGTGTCACACTTAACTTGAGTACACTATATATAATTTAATATATTGACGCGGTTTTGTTTTTATTTAAAATTTTATTTTTGTTTTATTTCTTACTTTTTCCACACTTTCCACAAAACCAAACACAAAAAAAACTTTACTTTTGCGAAGGTATTTGATCGTTTGTTTAAACATGGCCTATTTATTGATATGCACACAACTACCGCTAATTAATTATGTTTTATGATTTTGTTGACAAAATCAAATGTATTATATTTTGCCAAACGCACTAAGAACAAATGAGAACCGATCTGATAAATATATATTAAGATGAAATATATAGTTGGTTGGAGAGCAGTTGGTGTGGGCGCAGGCTGAAGACAATTGATGCCGGTTAAGGATATGCACACACACACAGACACACAACAAACACACACCCACAACACAACAAGAAGAAATAATCTCGAAATATTTGTAACAACAAAAAATACACAACAAATTACAAACAAAAAAATACTTTAAACAAGTATAAAACATAATAAAAACAGAAATATTATATAAAAACTATGTTGCATGACAAACTTATTTTTTATATATGCAAACTAACATTTTGGTTGATGTGCTGAAATATTTAATTTATTAATTAATATATCTTTAACTTTCAATTTGAAAAATACAAAAACAAATACGCTTTAAATTAAAAAAAAATTATACAAAAATCACGATCAAAATGAAAAATTTGCACACGCTGCCTTAAACTATGCAACACTTTTTTTTCGCGCTGGGCAGAGGATCAGCCGCCGCCGCCGCATCAGCAGCAAGCGCAGGACGAATATCGCAGATTCTACGATAATGCCTTGGAATGTAAATATGCGAGAATATTCGAAGATTTACCTCGTTCTTAGCTTTTTTTATCTGCTTGCCATCGCTCACATATTCGATGCATTCAAAATTAAAACGATTACAAAACTGCATTAATCGCTCATTGTTAAAACATTAATTTTATCACACAAATAAATACATCCTTCTAAATGAATGCAGCTATGCGTGACATATTACCTTAGAATCGAAAATTGGCTTTGAATCGCATTATTAACCGTAACAGCTAAGTTTCTTATCGATAACATCAAATATCGTGTTCATAATCGATAACACATCAAATTCCACACCATCAAACTGCATAACTAATAAAATTAACGCCATGGAAATTGTTGTGGACATGTCGTCTTCGTTAAAACATTTAAGTATCTGCCCGGGTAGCAATAAAGCGACTATAATTATGTGTTAGGAGCATTTTAATTGTTATCGATATCGATAACTTATTACTATTAATTAAATTTCATTGACAGCTCTGAAGATCTTCAAGCGATACAAATAATGCTATTGAGAGTAGTTCATCCTTTTTTAGATTTATAAAGTATATAGTATCCCTTGAGTCAACATTATTCCTTTATTCCAACTTCAACAACGTCTCTTGAAATCTCTGAGGAACTATTTATAATTCAATTAAGCGAGCAAAATCGTGTAACTAAGGTTATTTGTTGTTTATGATTTTAATTGGTTCTAATTGAATCAATCTACCATTTCTCAGGTAGCTGATGATTGATTGATTTTGAATAGAATTTCAATTAGTTTCCATACGTTTGAAAGTCTTTTGTCTCCCCACACATACATTAAATACATACACATATACATACATATACTTCACACACATGTGACGCTCCCCTTCGCCCCTGTCACCTGTCCACTCTGCCCACTGCTTGCTGAATGCCTCGTTCTCGTTTTCGCTATCGTTTGCTCCACTATTTTTATACACATCGACACACACATACTATATAACGCATACGCAATGTTGACCGACCTTCCATTGAATGCCGCATCACAACTAATGGCCACCCGCCGCCTCCTCTTCCTCTCTGCTTTCCACAGCCTATGACCTGGCTACACAGAGCGAGTCGCGACGCGCCTCCGCCCGCCGTCACACCATCGTTGGCTGCCAGAGCAACCTGGACGAGACGCACTCGATGCCGCCCACGCGTCCCGAGTCCCGTCAGTCGGATGACGTCAGCAGCTCCTCGAAAGAGGTGAGTTGAGCAGAACCTGGTTGTAATTAATCTTATGACGCATCCGTTAAACTTATTTCACCTTCTCTGCTTGCACAGCCGTTGAAGAAGACACCTGAAGCGCCACAGTCACTGGAGCAGCAGCAGCAGCAGCAGCAGACACGTGGAATGTCTGGAACTGGAGCTGACGAGACGGCGTCGCATTCAACATCCTCGCTTGGCCCATGGAACAAGTCCTTTATGGACAAACAGACCTGGATGGAACGTGGTGATGATCGGCTGTCTGTCACGCTAGCAGAGATCGTTCACATACGTTCCGTCATGACCAAGGCTGAGCTAGAGGGCCTGCCCATGGATGTGCGCGTCAAGGAGGATGTTGAAAAGCGTCGTGTCTGCTTTCTCTGCCTGCGCACACGCTTCTCCTTCTTTGGGCCATGGGGCATCCAGTGCAAGCTGTGCCAGCGCACCGTCTGCGCCAAGTGCTATACCAAGATGCGCATACCCTCGGAGCATTTTCGCAATGTGCCGCTGGTGCTGATCTCACCCTCGCTGCTGTCCAGCCCGGCCAGCTCGAGCACGCCATCGCCATCGCACCATGCCGCCCACCACGCGCACTCCTCATCGACGGGCAACATCATGGACGATCAGTTTCCCAAATCGCTGATCGAGCGCCTCCTGCGTTCCGAGTCAGATCGCAAGGTGAGTCCAAGAGCTCTTCAAAGGGAACTGAACATTCATAATTAGCTATTTCATTGACCATTCGCAGACTCGCAGCACAGTGGGAAGTGCACCCTCATCGCCCAAGCACCAAAGATCAAACATGAGTACGCCGGGCATCAGTGTTGGCCCAGGCTCTGCGGCTGCAGCAGCCGCTGCCACTGGCCAAGCCGTGGAGGCGTTGCACGATCAGGCATCCATGTCCGCCTCCTACTCCGGGGCCATGCGGCCGTCGGGCGTGCATCAGTACCAGCAAAAGCAGCAGCACTACAACAACGCCATGTCCCGCAGCATGGAGGGACCGCGCAGTCTGCCCGTGCACAGTCCGGCCCATCGGCCACTGTCCAACAGCAGCACTCTGGAGCGCAAGTAAGTATTGGGCTGAGTAGCACGACAAGCAGGATAGTAGCTTATATTTTTCTCTCTTTTGCTCTCCCAACAGATCCCGTTTCTCGCGCGGTTTTGCCCTCTTCTCCTCGGGCAGCCATTTGGCGCAGACGCAACAGGATCAGAAGGAGAATCTGCGCGGCGAGCAGGTGACCGTTTGCAACGATTGCCAGGGCCTGGTCAATGAGATCACCAGCTCCGTTAAACAAAAGCGCAGCTCGGCGCGTAATCGGACGATACAGAATCTCACGCTGGATCTGACGCCTGTCTGGAAATAAAACTCGTTACCCAGATGAAGGCAGCCAACAGCGCACTATTAACTACATAGCACACATTATATATAGCTATATAAATTTACATATGCATATTTTGGATGGACTGTTGTATACATAAGATGGAGAGGAAGACAAAGAGAGAGAGAGAGAGTTTGAGTTGAAGCCAGCGCCTGGATATCGTTGTAAATCGTTAGATCGTGTTAGCCTAATGATAAGTAAAAAATAACCCCTAGCAAAAAGAAGGCAACGCTGTATATTTCTTCTTCCGACTAGGAAATAGCTTGAGCGCGCACCCCACCATATACACACACTCGTAGATAGTCTACAGATACTACATAAACATATACATACATATATATATATATATACATATAGATAAAGACAAAGAAAAACGTGCGAAATACGATACGATGACGTTGTTTGTAATTGTTTAATTTATGTATAAATGTTGATTAAGTCTCGTATAACTCGTATCTACATATGACAAATGCACAGACCCTAACAAAACAGCCGAACAATACAATATATATATAACGAAACCACATTAGCAGTTATTCAAGTATATATAGGTTATCATTATTATCAAATCCAAAGCACTCTATAGCTTATGCCTTCGATTGCGCATGAGCCTTAACGATTGAATCCTTAAGTTGAATATAGACAAAGTTAAGGAACTACTGTTGTAAATTATCTGCTTGCACAGATCCATTTTGTTTGATTTCCCTGTTGGAAATGAAGAGAAAATTCGTTTTGTTTTTCATTTAAGTACCCACAACCTCCTTTCAAGCTGACTTTCGCTACTCTCATATTCTATATAAACCTATAAATAAATTTAAATTGTGACTAGTTTAAAGCTAAATATAATTTTACACCTAATTCCAATTAGATAATAGTTTAACTACAAGATGAAGAAAACAAATTTTGAAAATTTTATGTTTCTTTTTTTTGCGTATTGTAATTTGTAAATGCATTTAATAATTGTAATTTATGAAGTTTATATTAATTTTTTATTGTTTTTAAGTTGAATCATATGTATGTATATTGATATTGCTATCATTTAACAAACACACACACACACAACACACAAGAAAAGAACGAAAATACACAAACCAGCAATAAAAATAAAAACTACTAAAAAAAATAACTGAATTCTGTTTCATTCAATTAGGTTCGATTTCTGCGGTTAAAATGAGACGATTTAAAAAGTTTAAGGCAAAGTAAAAGAATCAACTGATACGATCAGCATATATCCCTGCAGTCCCTTCAATGATTCTCTGCTAATTTGTTTTAAACCAAGCAACAGACAACATCGAATATATACAAGATAGATTACAAACTGATATTTATTTTAATGTTTTTTAAGCAAAGAAAAAACAAAACATGTTCAGTAGTAAAAATAAATTAGAGTTCCTCTCAAATTATGTAAATTGTACATATTTCTCAGATATACGGATCTCAGACTTACGTATGCCTAATGTTACTGGAAAACTAGTAATAGTAGCAATTGGATGTCACAAAATGGTTGCTTAAAGCTAACAACTAGAACTAACATTTTCATCTGCATCTGGAGTCTAGCACAACTGAGTGTCTCGCTACTCTGAGCGCTGCTTCTTGTTGTTGTTCCTGTTGTCGTTGCCGCCGTGACGTTTGCGGCCGAAGCGCTTGTTGTTCTTGCCGCGTGTGAAGTCGCGACGCTTCTTCATGAATTCGATAGCCTTGTCCAAGAACTCTTTTTCCTCATCCTCGGTGGCCTTGCGCAGTGTGAGGGAGACTTCATCGTTAAACTTGAGCTGTAAAGTGGAGACATGAAAAATCAATATTAGTAATAGAAACGAGGAAGTGTCATAAGGAGATGTCACCTTGGCATCGTCCACTTTGGCAATGTATTTCTCGGCCGCATCCGCCTCTGTGAGACGTACGGAGCCCTTGGTATCGCCCTTGTTGAACTCAATGTACGCAATATCAAAGTCCTTGACTTTCTCAAAGGCTTCGCGTATCTCCTCGCGTGTGACAGTGTCTGGGGCACCCTCAAAGACAACAATCGCGTTTTTGGGCAATTCAATTTCTGGTTCAGGCTTGGGCTCCTTCTTGTTCTTGCGTTTCTCGTTCTTTTTTTGATATTCCTCCTGCTTCTCCTTTAAATATTCAATTTGCCACTTGCGCAGCAACTCACGCTCTTTGTAAACGATCTTCTCCTTCTCGAAAAACTCTTTGGCTTGTTCCTTCTTTTCGAAAGTGACAAAAATACTGCCCTTGAACTTGTACGACTTTGTGGGCTTGTCGTAATGTTTGCGCATTGTCACATTTACCACCTTTTCGTAGGCGCTGACAAAATCAAGTATTTCAGTCATTTGGGCGTCCAATGGGAACCCCTTAGCGTAAACGGTGCGTTCCTGAATCTCCTTGCGCCGCTCCTCATTGTGTTCCGGCACGGGTCGCTCGGTGTGACGGCGCAAGCTCTGTTTGTCCTCGCTGATCTCCACCAGGCCTTCGTCAGATTTGTTGAGTGCATTAACAATCTCATCGAAGTCTGTGGTAAGCGATGCCAAACGTTTGAATGTGACCAGCACTGAGAGCGGCACCCAGCCGCCCTCGTTCTTTGATATCTGCTCGCTGAGGAATTTGTCTCGATGCAGATTAGCATCACCAAAGTAGTATTCAACTTGGCGAATGATTGCGCGCTCTTGCTTACTGTATTCTTCAGCAGCGGGAGCCTCCGGATCCTCTTTCTTTACATCTCCGTTTTTGTCGGCCACTGACTCGACTACATCTTCTACCTTTTCAGCCTCCTTCACTTCAGCGCTCACCTCAGCGTTTGGTGTTTCTGCAACTGCGGCCATTGTATTTTCTTCCTTTTTTTTTTTTATCTATTTAGATATTTTCTCAAAGAAAATAATACGAGCGATGTGCTGCGATGCAAAACACGTGTGAGGCAGGCGGCAATAGAACTGTCAAGCCGATGGCATTATCGATACATTGGGGTAGACCAAAAAGTACAAAATTATCGATATATTGTAATTGAAATAACTAAGGCAATGTTAAACAACGCTGCAACGACACTGTTATGCATATGTATTGTTAGAACTGTTTAATTAAATGTTTGGTCAAACCATTTTTTTTCCGATATGTGAAATGTTTGGACTTTAGTTAGTCGCTGTGCGAAAGTGTAGCCAAAAAAAAAAAACCAAACATTTTGGACCCAAAGACTCATTTAATATTAAAGTTTCGGTATTGTGTGTAATGATAATTTAAAAAAAAAACTCATATTTTAATTAATCATAATTCTTCTACAAATCAGTCAAAAGGAATTCTATTGGAAAGCATGTTGACATGATTTCATTTGGGTAAACAAAAAGTATTGTTAATAATAATAAGTAAATTATAAAGCGGGTTTCATTAATATTAAGTATAAGTAATAGAAAACAAAAAAAATTCCAGGCACAAGTTTTCTATTTTTTGGCATATTTCAGATCAAGTTTTCGCATGACAATGCGCTCCTTCGATTCCAGTTTAAGACGCTCCAAACGCTCGTTTGCCCTGATGTCAAACATTTTTATGTCCAATTCCTTTTCCCGCAAACGAAGCTCCATTAGTCTGAAGTCAGTCTCGGTGGGTACGGTTCCTTGCTGAACAGTTATGGTAGGATTTGCGAGTACCATGGCTTCATCCGGGGATTCTCTCTCAGTTGATAGAGCAGCAGTTGAAGAAACATCAATCTCTGTAATCTCTCTTATGATGCAGTCGGCACACGTGTTACTTATATCGAGCCGAGCTTGTGGGGTCTCTTGTTCAGCGGGTGACTCGCTTGTTGTTGCTGCTTGCGAGGTCGTGGAATCAGTTAGCATTGGTTCTTCTCTCTGTGGAGGGGCGATTTGCTTGCTTGGTGCCTGAATGCTACTCAATGCAATTTCTGTTGGTTTTAAAACCGCCGGCGAGCTAGTGACCTGTTCTTTTTTGACACAAGCTGGTTTAACCACATTTCCGAGAGGAGCTTCAGCATTTGTTGGGGAGGGCAATTGCACCATAAATCTTGGGGAAATTGTCGAACATTCGGAGAGGTTTTCGTCAATGTCAGTTGCCGCTTCTTCGACAGCTAGCTTGGGATGTAGTGCAGATATTTGGCCCCCTGCACATATTGTGTTTCTCCGGCCCGGAAGGGATTTCTTGAACATTTCATGCAGCTGCCTGTAGTAGGGGCAGGCTTTCAAAACTTCCGACATGGGAAACTGTTTATTGGTAGCTATCAAAGCCTTCGCTCTCTTGTACGATGTTATCAGGTTTTTAACTTTGCAGCGCACCACAGTATGACGGGAATCTAGTTTTAGGTCTTGAGCCATCTTCTTATAATACACAGTACCGGTGGGTAATTCGAACGGATTCTTTCGAATGAATTTAAAGATCTTATCGACCTCTTCAGGGCTCCATCTTTTATTTTTTTTTGCATCTTCATTTGAAAGTCGTCTCGTCATTTTCAGGCAGCGCCCACAATTGCTCCTTGACTGATTTTATACTTGCCACTCAATTCCTTTCTATGATACGATGATGCATGGGATCTCTGGTGTGTCTTTTAGGCCGGCGTCGATTCTTGGACAGCGTTGTTTTGGGCTTCTCCGTGCTTTCCAAAACCCGTCGAATATGTTAATAGATTTTGTTATAAATTGAAAAAGCGTTTCCAGTTTCCAGGGCAGACTATTTAATCACTTTATCAATAAATAATGCATTTAGCATAATCATCAGAATTGAACGTAAAAAGGCGTTCGGCAAACAGAGGACATTTGTAATACCGATAAATATGAATATTTGCTATCGAGAAAACGTTGCGCCTTTTGCAGCACTGCGTGAAGCGAATGCCGCAATGTGGATGGATTGTAATTCAAAAAAGTTCGATAGCCTGTTGAATATTATTAAGGGTACTATTGCTACTAAAATATGTTTACGATAACAAATTTTGTTTTTGTTTTTATTTTTATCTAAAACAATTCAGATTTCCTCAACGAGGCGAAACCTCTGGTGCTGCTCTTCCGGAATAACATTGAAAAATTTCTTATAAATAGTTTGATCTTGTCGACCGGCATAGTTGCGCTGAACCCAGGTGTGGTCCCAGTTTGGTTCAATGGTCTCGCAGCTTACTATAACTCTGCCGTGTTCCAAGGCAAACAATGTGCCGTTGCGTCCGAAGCCAACCTATAGGAGAACTTCGGGTATAAAACAATTTCAGCATATTCAGCAGTTACTTACATTCAAGCCGGGATGAAAGCGGGTCGTTAACTGTGTTGCCAATATTGTTCCTTGGGAAACATAGTGCCCATCTAGCACTCGCCATCCACGATGTTTTGGGCGCGGATGGCCCTTCTTGTTGCGTGTGCTGCCACCGGTTTTTTTGCTGGCGTTTCGTATTGTTGCTACAAGGGTAAGAACAGATGTTAAGGTATTTATTTTGCATGGGATTGACAACTACTTACTCAAGAGTGGCTGATCAGCCTTAAGGCATTGTAAGGAGAGCTTTTGCATTATATTGAACGACATTTTATTTGTTTGGCGTTTTGCTCGACTGTTTATGCAACTGAGTAGCAGTGTGACCGCATGCGACAATCGAAAAAATATTCTTTAATTGAAAAATACCATTTTAACAATGTTATCGTAAATAACATATGTTAATACCACAGAACGATGGGAACAGTTGCCAGCGTTTCTCTACTAAGGCGCTTAGAATAATTGTCCAGCAACAGCTGGCGGTATAAATAAGTGTGAATTTGCCGGCTTAGTTTATTTAAAAAAATGGAGCTAACTGTGAAAACGTCTGAGCCACCTGCACAGGTGAATGACACTGCCCTTCGGCTTAGGACACGGGAGTACGCTCGACAACAACGCAAAGATTTACGTATGGATACAACGGATGCACTGCGCTTCGGTTTGGGGCAAATTAAGGATAAAATAAGCGAATTGGAAAATCTGGGAATCAAAGATGTGCAGGGTATGGCTAGTCGTATTAAGCGACGCAAACACGCAACCGTGGAGGACATGTACCGCCTGAGCCACGCCTTTTTGCAGGGCAACGCAAATATCAACGCCTTTGCTGAAGTTCAGGGCGCAACTCAAGTGATAATTAAGGAGCTGACAGGTAGCTAAAAGTAACCCAATAAACTTCTTCATTTCTGACTGTCGTGTCCTGAACAGGTACCCATATGCAGCGTCAGATTGAGGCTGCCGAATGCTTGTGCAACTTTTCACTGGGAGAAGCGCATGTTTGTGAGAAAATAACAGCGCTGGCTGGCAGCTACCTAGTTACGCTTTTGAATAGTCGAAAGCCGCGATTGAAGCGCAGTTGCCTTTGGACATTAGCCAACATTTTGGCCACATGCCGCAAGTCCGCTAGCATGTTGCTGCAGATGCAATTGGCGACCAAATTGTGGAAAATTTATACGCTACCGTCAGACGATCTCCAGGGCTACCAGGAAGATGCTGGCATTTGCTTGTATTTGATAGCCAGTCATGCAGCTTCCTCCATAACCGTCGACGATCGCCGACACATTGCCAAGAATCTGCACAAGAAGAAGCCAGCGGAACCGGCTGCCGAATATTACATGTTTATTGTATTTCAGTTGGAAATTGTAAGCAGAGAGCGGGATTTGTGCGCGCAGCATTTTCAGCATTTGTACAACTTTTTTATGGCCAATCGGAGTATTGGTTTTAACACTTCCGCCGATAAGCTACGCACCGTCTACGGAGTGCGCGTGCTAGCCAACATTTTTGCTGCACGCCCATCTGTTGGCCAATTGGAAATGCAGGTGGAGCATCTTGTGAACGCTTTAAATCAACTATTTGCCCTACGCGATACCAGTCTAACTATGAACTTGATGCAGCTGCTGAAAAATCTAATGGATACGCAACTGCTGGACAACGATCTCGTAATGAAACACGTTCGAGTCTATGCTTAGCCAGGTACAGTTAAGATATGTTGACATTTAAGTTAAGCATTAAAACACGGCTTTGAAGTTTCCTGTTACATATTAACCATAAAAACCGTTGAAGAAGAAGTGATCACAGCATAGAAATTATCGCGAATGTGTTAAGCATAGAGACATCTCCGACCCCATTAAGCTATCGTCTTGAAACTTTTCATATTGGCATCCTGCTGCACAAAGTGCGAAAGTTCCTTGAAATTTCAAAATATTTGAGAAATAAACAGAGGGCGAATTTGATTAGATAGTCTTAAAGAGCATATATAGCCCTGAAATAGCTGGTTTATTCGACATTTTATGGTTTATATAAATATAGAAATGGTTTAAAAATACTTTTAAGTTTCCTTAGGGATGTAGATGAAAACATTCAATGTTGATATACATACAAAGGACAGACAGTTGCCACATATAAAAAAAGGAACTAAAAATGAATAAAATAAAACAATGCACAAGATGAATACAATAAATTGTAAGGAAGTGATTCAGACTTAAATATGTTACGGAATAAAATGAAACTAAGCTAAAATAAATTAAATATCATCTTCGAATAGGGCAATTATTCGACGGCGTTGTGCGTCCTCGTCCTTAGCGTTGCTAACATTGCACTGTCCATTATGATGCATAACATTATGAATCTCCAGTTCGCTAACGGATTCGAATACCAAATTGCATTGGCTGCAACGCGCCGCTGAGAAAGGCGTAAACGTTGCACTTGTGGGCGTGGCTGGCACTGGCGACTGCTGCTGTGGCGTGACGTTGGCTCGCTGCAACTTCTCTAGAAATGTGGCACGTGCCCGCTCCTCATGCAACGGTGCAACCGCTGCAGCAACAGACGTAGGGCCTTTGCATCTTATAGGTATAGGCTTCTTTACCACTAGTTTGGGCGTGTTTTGCGAGTTGCGACTCTCAGAGCGCTCAATAGCATACAGTACATTGTTCTCAACAGTTATTGGGGTGTTAGTACCGCTCTTAAATTTAAGCAAGGAGTTGCTAAAGAGGGCATCATCATTTGATGGGGATGGGAAACTATCCCATCCGGTGGAACACTTCGGTGCGGCCTCTGGTGCTGGCTCACTTTTCTCCGTTTTGTCACAGCTGCCATTAGTTATTTTACTCTGATTTAGTTTATCGGCCAGATCGGTATCGATCGAGTGCTCCTGCAACCAGGTGCAGGTTTTGTGTAGAGCAAATATCATACGTCTGATGAACTCGTGTGGTGACACCATCTTTTGACGCTTTATCTCCAGCAGTTTGTTGACTTCCGAAACAAAACTGATGAACTGATATTCCACGCAATTGTCAAGATGCATTTGGTGCGAGTCTTCGTGCATATAGCGCTTGGAGCAGGCCGGGCACTTGCGCTCCTTCCACATAGGTTCGGGTATATTGACTTTGATGTCCCTGAGCTGAGCCTGCTCCATGGGATCATCCTCCTCGAAATTCGTTTCGGTGTAGTTATAGCAATTCTTGTGCTTGCGTGACAGCGCATTCTCCTCATTGTCATCGCTAGAGGTGACGGCTGCATAGTCTTCTTCCTCGCCATTTCCGCTGCCGCTGCCAGCGCTGGTCGATGGCAGCTCCACTGTTGCCTGTTAATCACATGTTATTTTGTTGCTTAATATAAGGTTGAGCTGCCTACCTGTGTAGCATTTCGATGCTTTTCGAATAAATCGTTCAAGTAGCGTATGCGTCGCTCGTTGTTGCCGCATTGTTGGGGCACAGTCTGATTAAGCAGTTTTTTGTGCACTTTATCCGTTCTTTCCAGCTTGGCGCTGTTATTGTTTAGCAGGAGATTGTGCACCGGTCTTTGCTCCACATAGCTCAGCTGCTCTGGCGTAAAGAGTGCAGTTTCCTTGTCACCTTTATTTTTGACTGACTTCTGTTGATATAGCTCGATTAGCTTAAGGCTAAGAGCGTTTTTAATGCACTGTTCGCGGAATGTTACAGCGTGTTTTAAATACGATATGCAGAGTGCACATATAAATGATGGCAGTCCATCATCTGGAGAGTTCTATAGAGCCAAATTAAAAATCAAAAAAACTTTAAAGCTGACACAAAATGTAATAAAAAATATTTACTTTCAGTCCGGATGTCTCTTCAAGCAATACGTTAATTGGTTTCTGATAATTCAGAAACTCATTAGTCGAGCCGTGCAAATATGTGGGTATTTTGGCAAAGATATTGTAGTCTGCGGGACTGCTACATATGCGGCAAATATTTCCCCACGTCGTCATAGTCTTTTATATTTATAAATATTGAAAATATCGACTAGACTAAACAAAACAACAGTATACAAAAAGGGCAAGTGTTACTCTATTGGAAAAAGGAAAAACTTTTGTCAGCTGTATGATGCATTTGAAATCTTTGGCAGCTCTGGCTTCAGAGTGCAATGGACGGTATTTAAATACCGACACGCACAACCAAAAAGGTATCGGTACTTTGATTGACTGCCATGTTTTGGCGCCATTGTAAAAAATTTGGGAAATTAAAGCTAGAAATTCGTTTTTTCATTATTATGTTATATCATTAGTGCATAAATTAATTCCCGTGACTTGTTATTAGTGCTATAATTTATTTTCGGTATCGATAGTTTGATGTTTCGATAACTTTTCATTTTAGTAGAGGCTGCGACGACTTTGCGCTGAAATGAATAATGATAATCCAAATATAATATTTAATCCACTAATTAGTTCCATACAAAAAGTGGTACTTTATGAAACACGATCGGTAAGTTGTTCGCACTCAACAAAACACACCAATTCTATTGTTTTCGTCCTTTCAGCGCTTGTACTTGGTGGGCAGCAACAACCGCGAGACCAGATTTCGCTTGCTCACCATCGATCGGCTGGCGCTTAATCGCTTGATCATCGAGGAGAATGCGAACGAGCTGAATAGTTTGGAGATTCGCAGGTTTGTGTCCTCCTTAACGGGATCGCCAAAAATAACCTCCGCCTACGGAGTATTGGGCTTCGTGCGTTTCCTGGAGGGGTATTACCTTATACTGGTAACCAAGAGAAAATGCTGCGCCCATATTGGCATGCATCTGGTGTATACCATCAAAGATACCGTGATGGTGCGTGTCAACGAGGTGACCTCACAGCGACCTCCGCATCCGCATGAGGAGCGCTACAAGAGGATGTTCCAAAATATTGATCTACGCAGCAACTTTTACTTTTCCTACTCGTATGACTTGACTCGCACGCTGCAGTACAATGAGTCGGCGCCACGATATGTGGGTGCCAAGGTGAATCTAGAGCGCGATGAGCCGCTGCCCGATTGGAATAAGCTTACCAACAATGTTGCGCAGGCGCACGAGCGTGTCGACTATGCCTTTCGCAGCGATTCACGCAAGCGTTTTGTGTGGAACGCTTATCTACTAAAGCCTATGGAGGTCATAATGCTTAAGGACTGGCTGTTGGAGGTCACACATGGCTATGTGAGCCAATCGTGCATCAGCATATTTGGCAGACATGTGAATGTTTGTCTAATAGCGCGTCGGAGCACGCGCTTTGCTGGCACGCGTTTTCTCAAACGAGGCGCCAATTTTCGGGTTTGTTTCCTGATTAATTATAGATATACAGTAAAAACAAATATTCCTATCTTGTAGGGCGACGTAGCTAATGAAGTCGAAACGGAACAGATTGTAAGCGACGGGCAGCGCCTATGCGCTTTCACGCAAATGCGTGGTTCGATACCATCGCATTGGTCCCAGGATATTAGCAAGATGGTGCCAAAGCCGCCCATACAGCTAGACATATGTGATCCCTATGCTCAAACACCGTCACGGCATTTCGAACGCCTTCTATTTCACTATGGTGCCCCGCTAATTATGCTGAATTTGGTAAAGAAGCGGGAGCGACGGAAACACGAGTCCATAATTTCCAAGGAACTGCAAAACAGCATTAAATATCTTAATCAGTTCTTGCCGCCGCAGCATCGCATGAAGCACATTCACTTTGACATGGCACGTCAGAGCCGTCTCAGCGGGGGCAATGTCATGGAACAACTGGCGGTGCACGCGGCGAGTATTATACAGATGACGGGCATGTTTTATAAGGCTCATCGGGGCAGTGAGCTCAGCTTCCAGACGGGCATTGTGCGTACAAATTGCGTGGACTGCTTGGATCGCACCAACTCAGCGCAGTTTGCTATTGGAAAATGCGCACTGGGGCATCAGTTAGAGCGGCTGGGTTTTGTAAAATCAGCCAAACTGGAGTTTGACTCGGATTGTGTGACCATGCTGGAGCATCTGTACGAGGAGCACGGTGATACTTTGGCTCTGCAGTATGGCGGATCACAGCTAGTGCACCGCATTAAGACCTATCGTAAGACGGCCGCCTGGGCCTCTCAGGGTAACGACGTTATGCAGACGCTGAGCCGCTACTACAGCAATACATTCAGCGACACGGAGAAGCAACAGAGCATTAATTTGTTTCTGGGCCTCTACAAGCCGAGTTTCACCAAGTGTAAGAAACAAAACCGCCTTATTCTAATATTTTACTTAAAAGCTTTATTTTTGCAGTAAACCAACCAATTTGGGAGCTTCAAACGGATTACGATATGCATAATGCCTTTGTGCCGAGCACTTCGATCGCTCCTATTACGGATTGGGTGCGGCACAAGGTGCGTGAGTGCTTACCCTTTCCCTGCGCCGACACCAACAAGCTAGTCAAGGAGCTGTTTCGTGTGCATAGCAATGGATTAGAGATGATTGATGCCTTTTCGAATTACCACCAATCCTTTAAGTGGACGGACTTGAGCGAGCACATTGAATTTGAGATCAGCCAACTCGCCACCCGATATATGCCCACATTCCGCACTAACTACAGTCCCTTCCAGCGTCAGATACAGCCATCGCGTAAGGGACGACAAAATCCATCGATGACTGGCCAAAGTTCTACCGGTTCGACCAACAGCAACTCCTCTAGTTCCAGCGAGGGCGAGGGCAGCTCCAGCGATGAGGAACTTAGTGCCAGCTTTGCAGAAAAAGAGTCGAACCAAACGGAAACAGCCGAACCGGTCCCTTTTAGGCTGGCTTCCATGCTACCTCCCATGGAAGAGGTATATGGCTGCACCATCAGTCCGCCATCCAAACAGAGCATGGCTATTTACAAGAAGTACGTTCAAATGGGCAAACTATCTAGCGGTGGCGCACAGCCGGGCCAAACGGCTGTAGCTCAACGCGAACAAGAGCAGGCCCAGATGATGCGTGGCATCACACTACGTCCATTAGGTGATTACGGCACAGATTCTTATCTGAGGGTGTGGCCGCCAACAGTACCTGCTAAAAGTCTCCTCGTTTATGCGGAATACTGCAAAACGCCACGAAACTTTAATGCGGTGCCTAAATTTGAAGAAAGTGATTTATTATATAGTTATTTTCAAAAGCTTGAAAATACCCAGGGAAACTTAACGGGTGATGCTTCAATATTGATGAAGGCTAAAATCGTTGACAGGGCAATTAAAGTCGTATAAAAATCGTTTATGGGCCGTTAAGGCTGTTCAAATTCATCATAGGAGTTGGGGTGAGTACAAAACAATTATTGGCTGTTTACCATATACAACAAGAGTATATTATTTTGTCTTTCTGTATTTATACTCGTTCACAGAGTGAATGGGAAAATTGTTTTTAATTTTTATTATCAGTTTGCCTTTCTGTTTTTATACTCGTGCACCAAGTGCAAAGAGAAGTATATTGATTTTGGGCAATGCCTGAAATTTGAAAAAGATTTTATTTTTAAATATATTATTTTGGCTGTTTATATTATAATTTGGTGCCATAGAGGCAAGAGTTTAGGTTGTCTTTCTGTTATACTCGTTCACAGAGTGCATAAAATTAGTATATTGGTTTTGTGCGATATCACCTTTTTGAAGTTAGACTTAAATTTGAATTATATATGTTCATGTATTCCATCGTCAGAAAAGTATTAAGATTATATGGGGCGTGGCAAATCGAAAAAGTCAGTATCTTTCTTCTAGATCAACTAAATTTAGACAGAGGACTACAATTGAACTCCCCCAACTATCGACAACAATATAAAAATAGTTTGTATGTCTGCGTTTTAGATCTTGCATTGAACAGAGTATTGTGTAGTCGGGAAATTTAGTACCGATATTTTTGTTTTGACTTGGTATCTTGATGTATGGCATGGTATTACAACTGGTCTAAGGCAAAAACCATTAAATATTGAACTATGATCCAGTAAAATAACAAAGTGTCAATAAATTATTGTGTAAAGTACTCAAACAGGTATTCAAAGTTTCGTCTAAGCTATCATTTAAAGCTTTAAGTAGCTTTATTGTATTTAAACAATACATTCAAGCTATGCGGAAAATTATGAACAAACAACTTTCGTTCGGTTTTAAGTTATCCACGGTCATAAATAACGTTAAGTTAATAATTCCATATAAATTTAATTAATATTATTGCATTTATTGAAAATTAAAACAAATTATGTATTAAAAATACTCAGAGAAATTGCTAACAATTGAACAGGAAAAGATACCTCCACGTTTGACAGGACTACTTGACACTGTGCTGGTCTGTCGTTGGAAGCGTTGCTTGCTCCTCCTTGGATTGATACGTGTATTCAGTGTGAACGCCATGGGGCGCTGTATTGGATGCATGCATTGCATTGTAACCCGGCTGGCCTTGATGCATCATGCTTGGCTTTGTTGCTGGTTTGTAGATGTTGCCCAATTCCTGAGCCAACATATATTGCTCCTGCTCAGGATAGTCGTGTTCGCAGTGATGCTCGCCACAAATCTTACACTCGTAAATATTGGGACGCAGTGTAACTTTAATGCGCTGTAAACGTGGCACATATTGTTTAAATCGATTAAGGCTAAATTTATGGAGGCTCACCTCCCAGAAGTTGTCTCCGCTGGCACGCATAAAGTTGATGAGTGCATAGCCTGGTATGCAGATAAGTGAAAATGAGGCAAACATCCAGCCAATGCCGTAGGCCCAGTCCGGATAGGTGTAGCGTCCATTGTGATACGTGGGCTCCTTGTAGTTAATTAAACTCAGTACCCAAATAGCCTGGAATACACACACAATTACATATTACTTCATATTTCGACATATCCCATTTTACACTTACAAAGAGTAAACAGGGTCCCAGTACCAGCCAGCAGGACCTCAAATATAACGACGGCGCCTTGCCGGTCATTTGCTTAACATTCTTTGAGAGTCGCCCGGTGCCGTAGAACCAGGCTATGGCAATCATCTGGCAGAAGGCCAGAAACATAATCGTCACGGAAGCAGCATAATGATCCATTAGCTGGAAATAGTAGATGCCGCCCTGTATGATGTTTGGCAATCCAAAGAGGCATGAAATAACGCAGACAAAGAGCACCACAATCTCATGGTAGCCCAGATGCCGTCTGATCCAGCGCGGAAAGCCATCCTGAATGGATGTGACCACCACCTCGACTATGGCAAACTGTGAATTGAGGCCCAGACACAGCAACATGAAGAAGAACATGACTGCCCACAGCTGGGCATACGGCATCTTGGCCATGGCCTGCGGATACACCACAAATATCATGCCCGGCCCATCGCCGATGACATCGCGCACATTGGTATTCTGCTCCAGTGCAAGGTTGCCCAGCGTGGAGAAGGCAAATATGCCCACCAGTAAACTGGTTACCATATTCACTAGACTCACTGAAATTGTATCTCGCAGTATGTTATTGTTGTACTTGTTGTAGCTGGCGAAGGAGATCATAGAACCAAACGTAATGCCCAGTGAATTAAAGTTCTGTGAGGCAGCATTGATCCACACGTTCGCATTCTTCAGCTCGGACCAATTGGGCCGGAAAAAGAAGCGCAAACCCTCGTCAGCGCCCTCTAGCGTGACCGCCCGAAACATGAGGATGATGATGAGTACAAAGGGAAATGTGGCCGTAAAGTAGCGCACCTTGGCCGATGACTTTATGGATTTCCAGGTGGCAAAGTACACCATTAGCCAGGCACATACGAGGCAGGCAAATAGCTCCCAGCGCATCATACCTGGATACTCCAAGCCAGCGCTAATCTGTAGCACTTTATTTCTGAAAAGAGGAAATATGATATGACATTTAAGCACTTGGTCGAATTCATTTAGAGCATACTCAAAGAACTCCTCGGAGGGTGTCCGAGATGTGTTGGGCGCAGTGTAATTTACCTCCTTGCGCTGTGGCACCCAACAGTCGGGAGTGTTCCATCTATCACAAAATAATATATTGATGTTATTTCCTCGAATGCTGTTTTGCATATTCACCTGTTGCTGCAGTCAATCCACGGCATTTCCGTTTTGAACGATGTGAAAAAGTAGTAAATTGAATAACCTATTATGACGCTATAGTAGGTGGACATGAGAAACGAGACAACTACACTGGCCAGTCCAGCTCCTTCAAAGAAAAATAGCCACAACATTTAATTATGTATTTATTATGCATTCTTAAATATGTTCTAATGATGGGTTTTCAGAACAAATCTACTCAATCTGCCTGATACTTAAATGTATGACTATTTGAGTCTTAAACTCAAACTCACCTTTGCCTTATACTCACAAATAACTTTGCTTTTATGATTCTAGTCAGTTAAATGAACATTTCACTTCTTATTTATGTATCTGACTAAAAGACTAAAAGAGTTCTTTAATAAAACTATTTTCTAGTTTTTTTTCTGATATAATTAAAGTTGTATGAAAATACGTAAGATCGCGAATCTTTGACAGCTAAAATCAAACTTCAATCTTGTTAAAAATAAGTTTGGTTTTGTTTTGAATTCGGTCCCTTTCTCGTTTTGGAACCATTTAGAGATTTAGAAAATTCAGTTCTTATTTCTTTTTAGTTGTAGCTCCTCCGAAATTGGTTTGGAACACTTTTAAATCAGGTTTAAAGATAGGACGTTAACATTCATGGTACAATTTATAAGAATTCTTCGACCTTTTTAAAGTTTCCATACTTTGATCAAATAAATTTGTTAAACTAAGAAATACTACACGTTTGTCAAAACTGTACCGAGAGAAGTAAAAAATATTCCGCTTTTTTTTTGCTTTACAAATTTAGTTAACTGAATAACGTTTTTAAATTTTGAGCAACTAACGGCTTGTCGGTTAAAGAGTTGTCTTAGTGCCAGGCTACTCTACCTCGATATTCCGTTTCCAATCCTAAGCTAGATTATATTGTTCTTTGAGAGCTATTTGTAGGTTGGGTTATTGTATAGTTTATAAGTTAGCTACGCATTAAAATAATACAATGATTAATGGCGGTATCACTGCCTTTTTTATAGGGCGTACAACTATAATAGGTTATACAATTATATTCCGTTTAAGGATCTGTCGCAAAAATGCGGGTAGAGTTTATCAGGTCGGTTGTAATTTAGACCGGTTCGTTTGAATCACATGTCTAGACTTGTACTCATCTGCATAATTTTAATTGGCCGCGTGCCGTTGAGGCCAATTAAAGCCATTTGCTTGGATCTTGGCTTAAAATTGTCTATTAATATTTATTAGTTCGCTTCTGGTTGCAGCATTAACGTTTGGGCGTGGGCGTGCCAAGGCTGTTCTATTGGCAAAATATTGTAAACATTTAAACGCTTTGCAAATATGTCAAAGTAATGTTGTTTTTTTAAGATTTATGACTGCGGCCTTTGACTGCTTTAGTATGTAGGCGGCGGTGAGGGTGGGGAAGAGAGAACGCTTTCTGGGTCTCACGATCACTCGTGAGACGCGTACGTAAATCGCTCAAAACATTTCCGTTTCGGTTCTCAGTTGCATTTCGCGTTTTCACGCTATCCCCAGAAAAATGATACTAACTAATTAGCAAGTGCCGCTGCTCGTATGAATATGTATTTGAGCTTTTTCGCTGTAACTTGATCCAATTTTTTCAAGACAAGTGCAAGGTTTTCGTATACCCAGCATTTGTTAAAATGAGTCAAAAGGGTTTCATAAAATAGCGGGGCTATTTCTGGATTTTGATTATACAGCCTAAAAGTAGGCCAGAAAATCCGATACTATTTATAAGTTCGTTTGAAACCTTTAGAAAAGATATACGCATATACTGTTTGTTAAAATAATATTATTAGTGAATGTTTTATATAAAAAAGTAGTAACCAGTGTGTAACACTTTCTCGTGGATACAGGGTATCTTTGAATCGACCACCGTGAAGTCAAGTATCTACTGACTTTGGGTTAGTTTTCGGCGGCTTTGTGTCTTTTTGTAAACTGAAACTACAACGCGCTGCTAACAAACTATTTACCCGGTATACTAATTATGTGTATTCCGACATTGGCAATGAACTTTGGCAAGCAGCGCCTATGTTTGCCTGTCATGGATCCGTAGCCAACCCTCATTTGGAGTTATGCATTGTTCTCACTATATTCATATATCGTATTCATATATTTTTTTTTTTAATTTCTAATTCACTGGGCGGAAAGAACATTTCTAAAATTAGTTTCTCTAAGCGTGTCACTGTGACGCATTCGCACTTAACTATAAAGCGTGTAAATATCTCAAAAAAATGACGCAATAAGACTACGATCTAAATTATGAATTTGTAAATTATTAAATGGGCACAACTCGTCGTTTGTGTGTGTGTGTGTTTGTCTTCTCAAAACTTTGAGAGATCACCACAAAGGGACAGTCAGTCGACGTCTGTGACAAAGATTAGCCATACGTAAGATTTTGCAATCAAAACAAATATAGCTCTTTGCAGCAGAATTAAAGTTTTTGGTACTGATTTTGATGAACTTTTTTTTGATAGATTTTGGGCCCCTAAAATAATAAAATTTTTATAAAATTTTTTCATATACGAGCATTTTTTTGACATTTCTCCTAATAACCTATTTATTTACCCCAAATATGCCAAAATAAATTTTTAATACAGTTTTCGGCACTATTTTAGAAGATTAAATTCTGTTGAAGACGTTTGCAGATATGTGAGCTCGTGAATGCTGCATTTAGGGCTTCAAAACTATCACCAAAATCAGTATCGTTAAATTTAATTCTGTTGAATAGGGTAATTAAGGCGTAAACATATAAACAACGTTATTTCGGCTGACTACATTTCTTTTAAATACTATTTTAATAAGTATGTTTTATTATATAAACTCTTTTTATACCCTTAAAGAGAAGATTATAATTTTACCATAAATTATGTAGTAGCCAGAGAAAGACATCTCCAACCCCATAAAGTATACACATTATTGAACAATATCAGCAGAAAAGTCGATATAGCCATATATGCCCATCTCTTTCTATGTTTATCAGTTTTAAAGCTGTCGTGTTTCTGTTTCAGGAAATACATATAGCTACTTTAGTAACGATCGGTCGATTAATTTTTTGTTTTTCACGATATCGTGACTAGTTTCACTATGACCCTTACATGTACATATTTATCCGCAATATTTGATCAACATCAGTCGACTATATAATAATGTTTACGAGAAAAATCGTGTCGAAAAGTGCGACAGGATAGTTTATGGTGCTACTTTCTAAACGTATTTAACTCACATCCATCATTTCAATTCAAACAAGAATGAATTTATATCTTCCGGGTTTCGATCACTAAATACTCTTGCAGACATATAACAAAGCACGAAACCATATTCAAGCCTTAGCCGCAAACGACTGATTGTTTGGTGGTAGTTTTATGTTTAAACATTATTGCTTAAATGTTATTGGCCAATTTGGTAGTTTTTACTTTCAAACTTTCAAGATGGTTTAAAACGGAGGGGAAATTTTGACATCAGACTGACATCACTAAAAAACTGCAAAGCTCTTATGGCTTTATCTTATACTAAGTTTGGAACTTACCCTTAAATAAAGGACATAGCTGGCCCAGTGCTCCGATGGGACCTCGGCCCGTGTATTGGCCCACAGATAACTCCATAAACAGCAAGGGTATGCTGCATATGAAGAGTATTATGCAATAAGGTACCAAAAACACACCTGCAGTTGACGATAGAGTAATCAAGGAAAAGAAATTAGACTTAAGATACTCTAAATGGGAACAGCTAAATAAACAAATTAAATTAATTATAAATATTTGAGATCAACAATTGCAAATTGTATAAGACAAACAGTCACATATTCTCCAGTTGCCAGTTGGCTTGCTCATTATACTTATGTGTAATGTAAATGGGGCCTCTGGCTTCTGAGAGTGAGAGCGTGTAAATGAAGATGGACGTAGGCCGCCAAGTGGCTTGCGTGTTTCGTACTGGAGGGGGGCTGTGGGGGACTGTCGGACAGTCGAGATACTGTACAGATGACAGTGACCGCTTTATTTTCGTCGGGTTTTCATACTTTTGCGCTGAGCTTGAACAAATTTTAAATTATGACTTTGTAGCGCTTACAGCGGAAATGTCGCATAAAGCACAAAATTTAAAAAAATAAAAATTCCTTTCTAGAACAAAGCCACACGTCGAACGTCGCGTTGAAAGTTGTCGCATGGAATCAAAGTATTTGCCGTAATGCTCCACACGCCCTTGTGACTTCCGTTAAGATTTGATTGGACCTTTTAGGGGAATTTCACTTACCGCCGCCGCTTTTGTAGCACATGTAGGGAAAACGCCAGACATTGCCCAGGCCCACCGAATAGCCGATGCAAGCCAAGACAAACTGCATTTTGTTGGCCCAATGCTGTTGGCGCGGCTTCAAATGGGCCGCCTCGTCGGACATATCCATGAAGCTGTCATCGTCATCGATGCCCAGCGGCCTGCAAATACAAAGCATACACATAGTTTATACATAGGCATATCAAGAGGTGCTTTTCGCTTTTCATAGTCATTTGCATTTTAGTCAGCGAGCCGCATCTAATTGCTGTCAACACTCGCCCAATGCACGAGATGGCATTGTCTGGCCCGGCACCAAGCGGAACCCCAGACAGTATAGTCGCACTGATTACATGACCATCGCCACGACACGACCCCATCCAACATTTCTGGTGCGTCAAATAGTTTAATTGTAGTAATCACATGCCAAATGCAACAATAGCTCTGACCGAGGTGCCAAATGCCAGTTCATTGTTAGTGGTATGATTAGAGATTATGGGGGTGTTTGTTTATATTGGGGGACGGCTGGTTTGATGAGGTGTAAGGTTGTGCAAATTAAGTTTTATGAATTATGTAAACTGCAAAGAATAATAAAAGTGCTAAAGATACTTAGTTGACCGCAGTTAAACATTTCATTGTAACATTGCTTTGCATAGACGAAAATAATAATAGTTTCTTGAATTTAATGCATTATGCAAACCGTAAAAATAAGTAAGCAAGTAAGCAAGATGATAGTGCTAAATAACAGGTTTATGAAGTCAAACTAATTCGTTGCTAATTCGACTGTGAATGCTTATTCTGTGTGTTTTAAGCCGTAATGCTTTGGGGTGTTTCAAACTATCGCATGTTTATAAAATAAATTTTCCTACGAAGTATACGTATTTATGGTTAAATAACCAATCAATTCAAACATTTTGTTTATATTCACAAGAATCGACTCGACAGATATTTGCAAAATTCAAAGAAAAATAAAACAAGAATAAATAATTCTGTGGACACATGAATGAAAAGGGTTAATTTCCGACTTGATAATCCTTTGCAGATATTTAAGGAAAATTGGGATGCTCGTTATTGCTGAGTTTGGTCAAGACAGCTTTAGAAACAGCAAAATGTACATAATAAAACCTATCTTTCTCCTATTATTCCCATAGAGCTAGAAACTCCGTATCTCGTAAAATGTTTCACATATTTAAGGAGTATGCTAAACAAGTAAATACCAATTTTATTTATCTTGAAAAAAAAATTTTAGTCCATACTTGATCCGATTATATTTCGACATATATACTGCCTGTAACTAGAGGAAGGGCCTACAAAGAGATTCTTTAAAATAGGTTTTAAAATTGAGAGACATGACATTGGAACTGACAACCGGGCATAGCTTTATCGACTTGGCTGTTGATAGTGAGTAAGAATATATATATATTCCTTTACCTGGGTATAAAAATGAAGACATATAAAGAGATAAAATTGTATAAGTAATCCTAGAAATATATTCATCAAAACAACCGTGCCCATGTAGCCATATCTCCTCGTCCGCTTTTTTGCTTCTATGCAAACTTATCTCTTCATTTTTTTTAAAGCTATCTTTAAGAAAATATAAATAGAATTGCTTTTTTGCTGTTCGCAGTACATTTTTTGTTATAGTTTTTCAGATCGGACCATTTTCTGTCACACACATTTTTTGTCAAAGGCAATAATTCATTTCACAATGTTCCATCCATACAGCAAAATCTTATGTTTTGTAAAAAATATAACAATGTTAAAATTATTTGATATATTAAACTTTAAGTTTAACCAGTAAAACAAGTGAGACTACTCTAGACCGGAGTGTTCGACTAGGAGATTCTCTTAACCCATTACAAACCTTCCTGCTTTTTTATGTACACAAAAACTCGCTGACGATGCGTCTGTGCTTCTGCCCTTTTTCCCATATTCAGTCTTTTGTGCCAACGCACATTTCAATGCATACATATGGCATGCAAATTTTATAAATAGCCGACAAAAATCACCGATCTATCCAAAAATGCATTTTGGGGAATGGTGGGAGGTATTTAAAAAGTGAAATATTTGGACCCTATGTAGATAATACGAAAGTCAACACATCAAATAAGAGTTCTCTAGTTCTTGTATGTCCATAAAACAGGATTTCCATATCGATATTGAGCGATTTCGTGAAAAACAGATTCGTTCAGGCGCTTTTATAGGTTCCGAGATCAACGCTCATACGGAAAATACGATCGGATAGACAGACGGATATAGCTAGATCCGATCAGCTTGTGGTCCCGTGCTCATAAAGAATTTATATACATTTTTTTTTCTCGGAAATGCCGCCTACCGGCTGTTACATACATTTGCACAAAACCATAATTCGCTTTTGCCCATTTTCAATGGGTTTTGGGTACAAAAAATGTCTTTAACACGTGCCGCATTTGCATGATATACAGTGAACATAAATAAATTGTATAAATTATATAGTCAGCACAAGTTTGAACAGGCCACTTATCCATTAAATAAACGTTAATATTCAATCAGCGGCATTTCGCTAATGACCACAACAAACACGACAATCATAATGGGCCATCAAAATTCGAATTGAAAGCTATTAGTTTGGCACTTGGTCAAAATGAAATGGCACGATTTATTGGTTACATAAGAACGATGGCGCTGGGCTTACACTTTGGCCACGCGATTGAAGCGAAAAAAGGACTGCTCCGAGTGCCTTGAGGACTGCGCATCCGGATCGTTGCGATAGGGCATCTCGCTGAATTATTATAATGTACTCTCAGGATATAGGCGACTATATGCGAGCTAATAATTTAAGCTTGTTACACGTTATCCATGCGTCCATTGATGATTTGCACTTTGGTAAGGATTCGTTTCAATTCGGATCTGTGAAACAACTGCACCGATCGTAGGTCGCTGCTTTACTGACTACTGTCTGGCGCTTCGAGCTTGGGACTAATCTTGCGAATCGAACTGTTTGAGCACTGCGATAGGCGTAAATTGTAACAGTCAATAGTTATACTTGGCTACTTATGTAGATCTATTGATCTCGTTAAGGAGCATTGCTTAAAAATAGCTGCGATCGGTCCCAACTTATTCACGTTTCATGTCAAAGGCATCATGTGCCCCACGCCCAGATGGTGTTAAAATTTTATGTTTACCAACACGTAAATATGTGTGCGTGTGCGTGTGTGTGTGTGGTTGGGTCTGATAACATTTGCCTTTTATGCTCCGGCGTCAAATGGTGCCAAAATTTGCGATGAATATTTAAGCGTTTTATGAGGGTGTCAAATGGCTTGTCAAGGGGCGCGCTTTTGAAATGCTAATGGAGAGAGGAATAGAAATTGTATGAAGCGATGTGTGCTTTAATGATTTAAATAGACTAGAAACTGGAAGGTCTAGTATTAAGGAATATATCTTTTATTGAGCACAAAGCTGATGACTAAGCTAGCTTTATTATCTGCCTTATGGGGAAACCCTATTTTATTTTGTAATGAACCGAACATTTAACTAAGCCAGTTGTCCAACAAACAGCCGAACAGAAACTCAAACTCATTAATTTCGGAATGTAGGAAAATCAGAGCCACGGTACAACTAGAACCCCAACCGTTGGATTAATTAAATATTTTATCGTTTAATGCAAGTTTCGAAAATGTATATAGTGTGGAAGCCAACCTAAGGGCAGGGAGTTAGTATGGGTTTTCCAATCTGACCAACCTGTTATCTATATTGTTGAACTTACGGTGGCGTTTGTGGATTGACCATGTCGAACAGCTCGTTAGCTGTAGTCGGCACGCGTCGTATGACCAGCTTGCGTCCGTCGGTGGAGCCAATGCCAATTGAGGCCAGCGAACGCACCGATGTCACATCCGAGTAGATCTGATTGCTGGCCAGGTCGTGAAAGTGGGAGGAACTGCCGCTGAGCGAGGCCTGCGGCTGCATGTAGAGCGGATTGGGTAGCTGCAGTCCGGTTGTTGCGGCCGTGCTGCCGGCGAGATTGTAACTGCTATCGCTTAGGCCGGGCAGGTATGCTGTGGGCGTGGCATACAGAATAATGCCACATAACTATAGCAGCAACAATTCAACTCACCTGACACCACCGAGCGCATGCTGCTGTGATGGCTGCCCAAGCGCGAGCGCAGATCATAGCTGTATGGGGAGACGACCAATGCATCGAGACCAGACATTGTGGTGGTGGTGGTGCTGGTCAGCGATGCGGGCGTGTGGTGGACTACTGGAGCAGGTGCAGCCGCACTCGCACCCGCTGTATCGTAATCGTCAATGGTAAAGGTGACCGTTGATGTGGACGCCGCTGGCTGTTGTTGGAGCGGCTGCAGTTGCAGTTGCTGCTGCAGCTGCGCCGGCTGTATGACATCCGAGTTGGGACGCGACTTGACCGAGGGTTGGCGTGGCGGCTGCTTGTGCATTGCCGCTGCCATTGCCACCAGCGATGTGCTGGAGCTTGTCTGGCGAAAAGGCAGCTGTGGGGCTCCAGCCGTCGAGGTCACCGGCGCACCGGGCGTGGCTGGTATAATAATGTATTTGTGTGGCCGCACGGAAGGGCCGCGAATAAGTCGCGTCTGCTCGTCACCATCGCCGCAGCTCTCTGCACCGCTGTCCGACAACTGACTAAGCCGCAGCGGCGACAAAGTTGTTGCCGTGGTGCGCTTCGGCACGAGATTAAGGGCAGTGGGCGAGGAGGCTGTCTTGGCCAGTGGCTGGTCTTCGCCTTTTGGGGCCTTGGCGCTTGCATCTTGGGCAATTTTATCTGCCATTTTAGTTTAGATTGTGCGGCTTTTGCTGTGTTGCTTGCTCTGCTGCTGAAATTCGTTTTATTTTTGGTTGTTGTTGCTATTGTTGGCTCAATCATAAAATCATGTTTGCCTTATGTGGTTGTTGTGTGCACTTGTTTGTTATGACTGCTGTTGTTGTTGTTGTGGTTGATGCTGCTTTCATATGCGTATTTATCATTTTAATGCTCATAATTTGTAGCCGGTGCCGCGAAACTTGTTGTTGATTAAGAACGTTGTTGTTGTTGTTGTTGTTGCTACGGCTACTGCTGATGCTGCGGTTGTCATATTTTTAAATCACATTAAAGCCTTGAACATCACAATGCCATTATTATTGTTATTATGATTGTTGTTGTGGCTGTGTGCGCGTTGAAGCTTTTAAATCATAATAAAATGAAATTAAGAGAATCCCAAGAGATGATATTTCGTTTTGTTTATTATCATTGTATTTTATATGCTCTATCTAATTTTAAGTGTTCAACCATTTTTGGCGACAACGCTACAAGGGAGATGTCCCCGTTCCCGAAAATTTCTTGATCGGGACGATAACAATCAAAAATGTTGGACTAACTTTCGATAGAACTTTGCCTGCATAAGCGCAATGATCCTGAAGACTATACAATTTAGAGACTTCAGTTTCTATCTCGATAATTCTTGACCTAAAATCGATAAATATGTGTGTTTGCTTTTAAAGAGATTATCCTCTTTGTGCATTCCTTAAAATACATAATTAACTATAAGGTAAATTCTTTATGAACCTATTAAATTTTTCTGATTGATTGAAAACTAAAGACTGCGCTTATTTCTACGGTCGGGGACAGCTTTGTTTTGTATTTTTTTTTGGTAACAACAATTATGACGGAATTCCCTAGAATCCGATTTTTCATTAATCATGCATTGAAATGCCAAATTGTATGTGCTTGTAAAAAATGTAATTATTTTAATGAATATTAAAAAAGTCAAGCTTTTTCAATTATTAATCAAAACTGTTTTTAGATTCCTTGAAAAGCTGCTACCTACATATATTACCTGCTATGCCATACCATTCTTAACCATGTTATTAAAATGTATTTGGATATAAAATATCGTATTTTGTTGGGTCTTTAATTTTTGATAAACGACTGCACAAATTATCACTCATAATTAATTTTGCGCTTTGCTTTGTATCTCATCTCAACAATTAATAAACTTTTCTCATGCTATTTACTTTTGAATTTTTATATAAATAAACAAGCACATGTTCCATTTACCGTGCTTCGTTTTCTTTTTATTTTATCATTGTGACAGAGAGATAAACACTCATATCTGACCGACTCACACTTCAGACACCATCAAAGTCACTCGCAATTCACTTACAAAACTGTATCTTATCGGGTTGTGCTACACTTTAAAGGTTAGCCCCCTCCACATTTCATTGTTAGCTTTCATTTTTTATGGCTGTGAGTGTCTTGCTTATTTTCGGCTGAAACCCCCCTCGCACCGCTCAAAGTTTTCATAGATTCCGGCAGTACGTCATAATGTTTGCGATGATCAATGCCGATGGCGCTATGCTCTAGTGACTCTTTGAGCGGGCGCAAAGGTCATTGAAATGGGTTCAAAATTATTAATTACGCATCTTATAACGACATACTACTACCGACTACAGACAACAAGTAACTTGTATGCATTGCACATGTCATTTTATGCGGCTTCATTGTAATAGAACAGCCCCATTTCCCGACCATGTGATATGTAAATTTCTATACGCTTTTAATGAGCGCGACTTTTAGAGAATTGCGTGAGCTAAGTTATGAAAATTGTGTACCTATTTTAAATTTCGTTAATACAACAAATTTTTATTTTTAACGAATATCGTAAAAAGACAGAAATGCTAGAAAAACAAAATAAAATTGTAACTATGCCAAATAAACGGTTGTTAACACTCGCACAATTTAGTAAAAATTATTTCTAAGGGTATTTTAACTTCGCCACCTTAAAGCGATCGGTTTTCTTTTTGTTTTTATCGAATTGTAAGGTATGATGCATGGGTAAGAAATGCATTCCCAGGTCTTGAGCTCCATATTACCATAAACTTCTGATAAGATTAGTTCAGTTCTAAGGCATTTTATAAGCTGGCAATACCTTTCATATAACGTATTGCATTGAAAACTTTCAAATTATTTATATAAAAATATTAAAAATGCATCTAGTAAAAACATTTTGCGGTTATTATATTCTACATATAAGGATTCTAATTTAATGAAATATTTAATGCTTCATTTTAAGCAAACGACTTTCGCGTTAATGAAACCAGCGTCCATACTTAGCAAATACTCAAGGGAAACGAAAATAAATATAAAATTTGCCATTATACAACGTAACGTGTTTTTCATGTACGCGTTTTGTGTGTTTTCTCAGTTGTTGTTTATCAGCGGCAAACACAAACAATAACAATGAAATATAAAATTTAATTTGTTGAACTTTTAGTTGCACTTTCTGACATTGATTATCCGCGCGAACAGCCAAAAAAATTTCACGTACACAAAAACGACAACAATAATTGTCAGTGTTATAATGACAGCGGTTTTTTAAATCATTTTGTTCGTTTTGTAATATTTTATTAATATAATCAGCAATTTGCATTGATTTGGTGACACTTTATTTGTTCTTTAAATTGAACTTTGTTTGCAGTTGGCCTAATTCACTTTCGCTCATTGCAGTGGTTATCCCTAACAATGGCCCAAGCTCTATTTCAATTTTAATCATAATTCATAATCGTAATAACATAATCAACACTTGGCACGCAATTGCTATATCAATTACACGGAGGCACAGATAACGCTACGTATACGCAATGCGTGGGCGAAAGGCGCCTTTCGCCAAATTGAATAATTTAAATTTTATGCAGTTTTACAAAAACAAGCATTTCTGTGTAAAACATGTTTTTAATGAGCGCACCAAATCCACGATTTATGTTTGCCAGCGTTTCTCCACGTTTCTCCAATCGTCAAGCCGTCGAACTTTAATGCCGCCAGAGCTGTAGGCCGTTTAGCCCCCTGAGAAACGTGCAAGCACGCGCGCTGTCAAATGTCAACTGATCCACGTTTGCGAATATCGTTTACACTTGACGTCGCTTTGGGGCTTTAGAGCTTGGACGCCTGCGGCTCACGGCTTGCTCGACCGCTGCCCCACTCGCTCTCTTTCTCTTTCTCTCTCTCTCTCGTTCGCTCAACCCGGCGTTTAGTCGTTCGTTTCGTGTGAGCATTTGCGGGTTTTAGTTTTTTTTTGTACGCTCGCTTGGGCTTTCCGGCGCGGCATCTGATAGCAGTTCGCGGCAATCACCATAACCGCAGACTCGTATGCTACATGATGATAGACTGCTTAATACCCTATGGCCGCTTTAAAATAAGATTACGCGTTTTCCGAAATTTTTTGGGAAATATTTGCCGAGTTTTGTGAATATGTCTTGAACACATATATGATATAGCAAATAGAAGTTGATAAGATATGGCTCATGTGTGGGATTCTGTTTTAACTCGTATATTAAGATCTTTTGACCAGACCGTTTTTCATTCAAGACCATTTTGACCAAGATATCTTCACAAACAAAAACAGTTTTCGTGTCAGAAAATAATTTTAGACCGCTCTTGTTATTTAATAAATTAGATTCGATAAATTCTTATAAATGCCTTCTACAAAAATACGGGCTTGTGAAGGTAGCCTTAAGACTGAAAGACTGTTCAAGCAATTCTAACTTCTACTTTTTAGTTTTTTTAAATATTTTAAAGTTCAAAGGGGAATACGATTAGAATGGGTTAACCATTCTGAACTTTTTAAAGTTTGGTTTAAGCTACTATTTCCTAACTTCCAGTCTGTCTCCTTATATATTTGATTGTCACTTACGTTTTCATATTGAACATACCCTTCAGCCATGGTTCACAGGGCATGAGAAGAGAACCCGAAATCAAATGCGGCTTGATATACGGAGCTGTCCTCTAACTGCTGTCATATTGTTTTTTATAATATGACAAAAAAGAAGATACTACAATTTTTGAGCTGTTTATGTTAAGTTTTCCTTTTTTTTGTGATCGCTTTAAGATGATTACATTTTTTATTACTTAGCGGGGCAGACGCTGCGATAAGCTGATTGATAATGACGACGGGGAATAGATTTGCAGCGGCATATGTCAAGGTAAACGGGCAATATATGAGACATTTTTTATTTGATCATCAAACAAAATATAAATGTGTGAATGTTAATCTTGCCACCTGTTTCAATTTAAAATTGGATTTTAATGTACACATACTGTCGTTAGGGTTCGCTTGATTTGAACATAAGCAAGAATAAATACAAATGCAGGAGTTCTTAACTTTTGGTGATTCATTTGATTTGATGATTTGATTATCTTTAAGTTAATTTCGGAGTTCAGTTGGTTATCAAAATAGTTCATAGATAGATGCTGCAATCTGGTCCGCTTCGTGTTAACAAATAACAATATTTTTTTACATTTTCTTTATTTATATTCATTTAATTTTTATTAGTTTACAATAAGCGATTAAAATTATATGTTTTTTTCGTGTTTCGATTTAAATACAATTTATTATAATTACAATTTAACTATTGTTTTCTTTTTACAATTCTTTTTGTTTTCTTTATCAATATTTGCTGCCAGTGCAAAAAGTTTTGTCAACTTAATTCTAGTTGTTTGCGGGATACTTGTTAAACTAAGCGGTTTCATAAAGAAAAAATAAAAGTTTTTAATTTTATTTGTGAGCAAAATAGTGTCCAAGTTATAATATTTTTTTTTTTGTTTTTTAATTGAAATCAGAAAATAATTTTATTTCTGGCATGTTACTATTGCTGGACAGAAGTGTCTGGAAGCTTAGAAACCTATACACAAAAATGCGCTATTAAAAATATCGTCGATTTTTTGCCTGTATTGTATTATTTACAAGTGGTCTCTTACTGTGGGTGTGTGTGTAAGTTGTGCGAGTTCTCATGGTATTTCCACTGTAAAAAAGTGATTTCACATTCGGCTTAAAGTAGTGACTATACATTTTGTTTATGTTTAATAATATTAATTTAAAACTTCATTTTAGATAATTTAAATATAGCGAAGTGTATCTCGCATCCCCCCAAGCGACAGTTGCGCACTGTGAACAGGCGCCAGAAACAAAAACTTCGCTGCATAATTTCAGGCGCGTTAACAGCTGCGTTCTGTGCTTGGATGGATGCGCTGGTTAGATAACACGTCGATTCGTTGCCTTTTTAAAGTACTTGCTATACTTTTCGCGTTATTAGTTATTTAGTGGAAGTATTTCATTTGCATTTTAAAACAATCACAACAATTTAATATTAATTGACTAAAAAACTACAAAAATAATTGGTTAATCATAGTAGTATGTAGTAGAGTTATAGTTATAGTCATAGTTCAAATCCTCCATTAGTCGTCGTTGCATTTAAAATTAAAACAAACCTTAAATATTTCTCCTATGCATTAATCTTTTGTGCGCTTTTGACGCCTCAGTGGCAGTTTTTTTTTGTTTTTCGCTTCTTTAGGTTTTATATATTAATTTTTTTTTTTTGGAGCAGCATTAACTATGCCCAAGTTCATTTATTTTTTTTTCCGTGGTCTGTCTGTGTGTGTGTGAATGTGCTGAACTCTGTTGTTTCAATATAATCCGTGAAAGACAATCGCTGATATATTGTCCTGTGATTATATTTTGCTCGGCTGTGGAAATTCACTGCTCCATTTTAAGCTTACGTACTGCTAAGGAGTATTTTTTGTTTTGTTTTTGGGTGCATTGTTCGTTTAGTGTAGTGGAAAATTAAGGCAGTTTTCAATTTTAAAGGCGAGCTCAATTCCTAAAATACACAGGAAGTAGTAGTGTGTGTGTGTGTTTGTGATTACGTGTGTATTTGTGCTATAATACAAAGTGTTGTTGCTACTACCCACACCCTAAACATTTATAGGAAGTCTTTAGCTATATATATATATATGTGTGTATATGTATGTATATAACAAAATATCAATATGTAATTATAATCGACTAATGAAGAAGTTGTCGTTAGAGGACGAGAATTCGTTTGTAGCTGCTCTTTTAATCTAAATCTTCTCTCTGTATTGATCTGTTTCTCATATTTACTTTTGGCAGTTTCGGTTCTAAAAATCTGTTGTATTCAATAAAAAAAATTACTGTTGTCGTGCAACTACGCAAAATTCTCATATTAGTAAGGAAAAATACTAAAATGTTAATACAAAATAATAAAATTATTTTCTCAAGTTATTAAATAAATGTCTGCAATGCGTTTTGTGGCATTGATCTTATTGTCGTTTTGCTTTTTACAATTCATTTAAGGCTTCGTTTTTCGTCAACGTTTCATAAACGCCAACGAATATATTTTCTGCTCACAACTTTACTTTTTTTTTTTCTTTTATTTCATTGCATTTTTTGCGCGAAATTTAATTTCGTTTCTAGCTTTTTGCACGTGCTTTTCAAATATTCATCTTTTTTGTTTTTAAATACTAATATTATAGCTAGGTGTTTTTGTTTTGATTTGTCTGTGGGTGTTTTGTTTTTAGTTACTTAACGGTTCAGGAGATATAGTCCGGCGTTGGTTCGGGTGCAGCGTCTGCATTGGCGAACAGTGGATTGGGGAACTCTGGCGGATGTGGCAATGGCGCCAATGTTTTGGGCCTTCTTCTGTAGGCCATGAGCCAACAGGAGACTGCCACGGCGACGGCGACAAGTGCAAGCAGCGCCGTGATAACCAGAGCTATAATCAAGCCCACCATTGAGACACAAATATCCTCAACACGCTGGGCCGCCGGTTTGACTGCATTTGAATAAAAAAATGTCATATTAGAAAATGGGCCTTCTGACTGGATGACTGGGTAGGGGTACTCACTGTTGGCATCATTCAGGCCTGAACCGCTGCGTTTCTCAAATGTCAATATGGCATTGGAAGAGATAGTTATCTCCTCACGCAGCTGACCTTCGACACCAGTACTGGTGGCAATGGCAGTCGTATCGCTGGAGTTGTCCGCAATAGAGCGACGTCTGCGTCCAAAGGCATTGTATCCGCCACAATTGACTGGCTGACATTTTCCAAAGCATACGCGTATGTTACACTGGAAACGTATGTTGTCACTGGAAGGGAACTTAAAGGCATTGAAGCTGGCCAGCAGACTGTTGGTATCCGGATTGTACTCCCAGTTGCCAAAGATGCTTGTGTCTGTGGCGCAGCCGTTCTCATCGGTTACAAGATATTCGTTTTGCACATTATCCTCCATGGTTTTGGCTATGCAAGAACGCGCGAAGCCGCCATAAATAGCTGATGAAGAGAATGTAGAAGAATTAAGAATTAGGGTCTAGATTACAGTCATAACTTTACGTTACTTACTGGCTGGCTCAACGTCCACTTGCAGACGTAGATTGTCACCAATCTCGGCGGAGTTGATCTCCTCACCCTCATTGGTGATGATTCGCATTTGACAGATAGGCGGTGGTCCAGTATTGGCAATTGTTCCGGCAGTTGTTAGCATGGATACGTTAAAGCCTAGGGTTACATTCTTCTCGCCAGTCTGGTAGACGCACTTGATGTTGTAAGCCTGTGCCTTATAGGTAACTAGCTTGGGATGCTTCTGTATGACCAGCACAAAACTGGCCACATCCTTTACGGCTTGCATGCCGCAGCTGCCAAAGTGGACGCGGAAGATTTCGGTGCGTGGCACCGTCTCGCCAGCCAAATTGACAACGCGACGGCAATTCTCATCCTTGCTGTGTCCCTTTACATATAACACGCCATTGAAGCCCGGCTCGGTGATATGAATCTCAACTTGAACGCCATCAGCTAAGCAACTGACAACCATGTCGGGTCGGGGGAAGTCGGTACGGAAATTGGTGTGATTGCAATGCAGCTCCGGATTACCTGTATAGCCGGTGATGCACTGGCACTGGGCCCGGTGATTCACCGCATTACAGAAGGCATTGACACCACACGTTTTGGTTAGGCATGGATCCTCGCAGGTCTTTGTTTCTGGATTGCAGTAGCGATTATCCGCACACTGCTCATTACTCACACACTCAGGCTGCTCCACGGGCTGGCACTCACCCAGAGGTGTCAGGCGATAGCCCAGCTCGATTGGACAAGTGCAGCTACCACGCTCATCAATTACCATACCGCGCTCCAATGCGCACACGCAGTGGCCGCTTTCATCGATGCGATAGCCCTGCTCCACCAGGCATGGTGTGCAGTACTCATAGATGTCAAGGGCGCTGCCCGGCGGGCATACGCACTGACCATCGACATCGCGCACAAATCCTTTCTCGATGACGCAGAGCGAGCGCTTGTCGCACTGCACAGCCGCATTGCCGGTATAGCCCTCCAGGCATTCGCAGATCATGGTACGCACGGGCAGCGTGTCTAGGACTCGGCATTCGGCATTTACTCCGCAGGGTTGCGTAGAATTGCAGGGATTCACACACTCGCCGCGCAGACAGGCGCGTTGAGTTGGGCAATCGGCATCGCTGATGCAGATGGGCACCACTCGTTCCTGTTCGCAGCCGTTGCGACCAGGCACAGTTCCAGGCGCGCAAGCGCATTGAGGCTTATGTTGATAGACCTTGCAAAGCTCATCGTTGGCGCAAATGGCTGTAGTCTCGCAAGGATTTGCGCATTTGCCATTAACACAAGCCTTATCCGAAGGACATTCATCGTCGTTGCGACAGCCAAGCGGTGTGCAGCCCAGGCGTGCGTTTCCACCATGTCCAGGGGCGCACTCACAAACGGCTCGATGGTTAATAGCTAGGCATTCGGCATTGGGTCCACAGAGCTCGCCCTGGCAGGCGGGCACGCAGAGCTGGTTACGGCAGGCATGTGTGGCTGGACATTCCGAATTGATGGTGCATTCGATCTTACCGCACTCGAATTCGGGATTGCCCTCGTAGCCCTGACGACAGGTACAAACTGGCTTATGGTCCTTAATGCGACACTCGGCATTCAGACCACAGTTGCAGGGATCTCGGCAAATGCCGTTCACGCAGGACTTATCAGCGGCACAGTCGGTATCTGAGATGCAACCGCCCACCTTGACAACGCTAGTGGTAGGCTTGCAGCTGCCGCTGCCACTACTAATGTAACCATCGGGACAAATGCAGATCATGGTGCGCACAGGAGCCGTTGGTGTCACCTGGCACTGGGCAGGTCTTTGACAGGGCTCCAATACTAAGCAGGGATCGACGCATTGCTCGTTAATGCAGGCCAGGCGCGCAGGGCAGTCCGTATCCAGTTTGCAAACGGGCTGTGGCTGTGGGCGACAGTCCACATAGGGATTACCCAGGAAGTTCGACGGACAGCGGCACACGGCCATATGATTCTGTGGGCGACACTCAGCGCGCGGCGCACAGACATTGTGATAGACGCATGGGTTGACGCATTGTTCATTCTGGCAAGTCTTATCCGTGGGGCAGTCATTGTTACTACTGCAACCAATGACGCGGCAGCGCTCGTATGGATTGCCTCGATAGCCGCTTAGGCAGCGGCACTGGGCGCGACTGGACTGCACATAGCACTCGGCGTTGGGGCCGCACGGATCGTTGAGTAGACAAGGATTGATACAATTGCCATTAATGCAGGCCTTTCCAGAGTCGCATTCGCCATCGACACGACAGCCAATGGAGCGGCAGGCGGCATAAGGATTGCCCTCGAAGCCATCCTGGCAGCTGCACACGGCGCGATGCTGTTGAACATGACAAATAGCGTTGGTACCGCAGTTGCAAGGATTGCGACATTGACGATTAACACAGGCCTCCTGTTCGTTACAATCCAGATCGCTTTCGCAGCCGGGAGGACTCTGTAGCACCAGCTGGCGGCACTCACCGCTGGCATCCGGCACTTGCGACTCAGGACACTCACAAACCATGGTGCGCACAGGCACACTGTCCAGCACGCTGCAGTGGGCACTGCGTGCACAGGGTGAAAGTTCGGTGCATGGGTTCTTGCATTTAGCATCGATGCAGGCCAATCCGCTGGGGCAGTCACCATCGTCGCGGCACACTGGTTCAATGGGTCGGCGTTCGCAGAAGGCATATGGATTGCCTAGTGGCATTTGCTCTGGGCAGCGACAGACAGCGCGATGCTGAAGCGCCTGACAGATAGCATTTTGAGCGCATGGACTCTGAGCGCAAGGATTCACACACTGGTTAGCAACGCAGGCCAAGTTGGAGGCGCAATCGTGATCGGAGTGACATTCTAGGCGCACACAACGCACAAATGGATCACCCTCGAGGCCGGCGGGACAGCGGCAGCTAGCTCGATGATTGCGGCCATAACATTCCGCGTTCAGAGCACAAGGATCGGAAATGAGGCATGGATTGATACACTCACGATTAACGCACTGCTTGTCGCCCGTACACTCATCATCCGACTGACAGCCAATAGGTACGCAGCCGAACTGCGCATTGCCTGAATAGCCGGGCTTGCAGTAGCAGATTGGATGATGGTTCTTAACAGTGCACTCGGCATTGGGTCCACAATTGCAAGGATTGATGCACTGCGCATTGATGCACGACTCCGAAGCAGGGCAGTCGGAATTCGACTTGCAACCTACTGTTATGACATCCGAAGCTGCAATTAATTGAGAATTAAACATTTGTTAAAGGTAATAGGCTGCTGCATCGACTTACGTGGCTGACACCGTACGCGTGCATCACCAGTATAGCCAGGCGGGCAACGGCAGACGGCGGCCCGATTTTGTACATGACAGTAGGCGCCCTGACCGCAGGCATCCGCCGCGCATGGGTTAACACAGCGTTCGTTTTGGCAGTTCTTATCACGAGGACAGTCATCGTTGCGTGTACACTCGGCGCCCGGAATTTTCGGGATGGCAATGTCCGTTGTGTAGCATTCGATGCGTGGATTACCCTGGTAACCAGCCGGACAACTGCATTGCGCGTAATGATCACGCGCGTTGCATTGAGCGTTAACGCCGCACCGTTCCAGGCGACAGGCATCCAGGCAGCTGCCATGCAAACATATCTCGGAGCTGGCGCACTCTGCATTATGCTGACAGCCGCCGGGGACGATGACAGGTTGGATGGGCACACAGTTGCCAGAGTTATCGGAGACAGTGTCGCTGGGACACTTGCAGATCATGGTGCGCAGTGGCAGTGTGTCCAGGACCGCACAGCTTTGTTGTGGACTGCAGACATGTGGCGTGGCGCATGGATTTTCGCAGCGCTGATTAATGCAAGCCAATTTCGATGGGCAGTCGGCGTCCTGTGTGCACTGCGGCTGTGGATCACGCTTGGGCTCCTGGCACAGCACGAAGGGATTACCCTGGTAGCCTGTGCGGCATTCGCATTGTGGCTGATGACGACGTCCCACACAAAGGGCATTCACGGCGCAGGTGTCCTGCTCACAAACTGGACGGCAAACGCGATTTAGGCGATCGCAGGCCTCGTTATCGGCACAATCCTCGTTGTACTGACAGTGTCCAGTGATGCAAGCGATGAAGGGACTGCCCTGCGTGCCGGCGGGACAGCGGCAGACAGCCTGGTGATTCTGTGGTAGGCATTCGGCACCGCTGCCGCAACGCACCTGACCATGAGTACACGGATTGACACAGTTCTCATTAAGGCAAGCCTTATCATAGGGACAATCAGCATTGATCTTGCACTCGGCTGAAAATTTATAGAGACGATTAGACAGGCTCAGTAAGTATAGCTCGACAGTATTTACGTTTGAAACATTGAACTTGGGGATCACCACCCCATCCAGGGGGACAGTAGCAGATAGGTCGGGAATTTTGCACGCGACACTCGGCATTTCCAGCGCAAGGATTGGCCTCGGCACAAGGATCCTGGCAGCGTTTATTGATGCATGCCGTTGTGGGCGTACATTCCGAGTCGTGGGCGCAACCAGCTGTAATTTGTGCTGTAAGAAATGCGTAAGCAAGTGGCTTATAACAGAGCTATGTGGGATAGTGTGAAAGGGACATACGTGGTTGATAGCAGTTGGTGAATGGATCTCCTTGGGTGCCCTGTGGACAGCTGCAGATGGCGCGGTGCTGTTGCGCTAAGCATTGAGCGTTGCGCGCACAGGGTGATGCGTCCAGGCAAGGATTGACACAGTTGCCAGCGCGGCAGGCCTCTGTATTTTGGCACTGATCATGTGACACGCAGCCTTGGTCACGTACCGGTTCTAAATTAAATGAAAACGATGAATTACATTTGAGTTTAATTGAAATGAATAGGACGATTTAGCGTGAGAGTGCTATAGTTTTATAAAGGTTATAGAGTGCATATACAATATACGGTGTAAAGGTATAATATGTGCAACTCTGTAAACGGATGAAAGGAGGGAGCATATTGAACAAAATTTTTAAATTAAACTATTAAGAACTTGGCTGCAATGAAATAAGCAAACTCGACATAAAATATAAATAGGAACAATCCTAAATGGGATTCTTTGTTGTTACCCACCTTTCCGACATCCAATGTCAGCATCACCAACGTAACCGGGCTCACAGCGACAGATCATAGTGCGCAAGGGCAGTGTATCTACGACCTCACAGATGGCATTGGCGCCACATGGATGGGTCACATCGCAAGGGTTCTTGCATTCGCCATTGAAGCATGCCAATTTGCTGGGGCATTCGGCATCCATAGTGCAGCCTTCAGGCTTGACGGGCAGCAATTCACAACTAACTGCTGGATTGCCGCTATAGCCGGCCGGGCATCGGCACTGGGCGCGGTGGTTATCTACGCGGCACTGAGCGCCAATACCACAATTACAGGGATCTTCACAGCGCTCGTTGCGGCAGGCCAAACGGAAGGCGCACTCGTCATCGCTTCGACACTCGGGTCGCTCGCAGCGCAGCAGAGGATTGCCGCGGTAGCCATCGGGGCAGTGGCAGCGGGCACGATGATTGAAGTCGGTGCGACAGATGGCTCCGGTGCCGCACTGGGTAAAAGTGCACGGGTCCACACACTGCTCATTGATGCATGCCTCGGTTGGCGGGCACTCACTATCGGAGCGACAGCCCAGGAGGTAACAGTGTTGCAGAGCGTTGCCAGTGTAGCCCTCATTGCATACGCAGAGCGGACGATGGAGCTGCACATGGCAGCGTGCCTGCTGTGCGCAGAGATTGGATTGCTCGCAGGGGTTGCGGCAGACCTGATTGATACATGCTTTGTCGTTGCTGCATTCGCCATCACTGGTGCATTCGGGTTTTGGTGGATCGAGTTGAGGCACTTGGCGCACGCACTGCGCGTACGGTGAGCCATAAAAGTCTGGAGGACAACTGCACACGGACTTGTGATTGATAACACGACAAATAGCGTTGAGACCACAGGCGTGCAGACATGGATCATGGCATTTCTGACTGACGCAAGCGCGATCCCGGGAGCAGTCTTCATTAGTAACACACTCCGGATAGCTGCAGGTGGCAGCGCCATTTTGTACGCGGCAGATACCATTGCTGCGACAGGGCGATGGTTGGCAGGGATCAACATCGACGGTACGAGGCGCTTCGCATTGCACGAACGGATTACCAACCATGTTGTCAGGACAAGAGCAAATAGGACTGTGATTGATGGTCTGGCAGACGGCGCCGTAGCCGCAAACTCCTGCACAGGCGTCAACGCACTTGTTGTTCACACACGCACGATCCTTGGCACAGTCTGAGCTGAGTGTGCACTCAGGTCGACAGCCCTGACCCAATGGATTGCCAAAGAAGCCGGGCAGACATTCGCAGACAGCCTGATCCCGCTGCACACGACACACTGAGTTGAGGCCACAGGGCGATGGATAGCATGGATCCGAGGGCGGCAGGGGTGTCACCTGTCGCGTGCATTGAATAAAGGCATTACCCGTGTAACCTTCTGGGCAGGAACAGATTGGTATATGGTTGTTGACGTTGCACAGCGCATCTTGGCCGCAGGTACCCGGGCAGGGATTGGCGCACTTGTTGCGTATGCAGGCGCGATTGGCTGGGCACTCAGAATTACCAACGCATTCCGGACGGCAGCCTTCATAAGGATTGCCAATATACTCCTGAATGCACTCGCATACAAAGCTTTCGCCACGCAGACGGCACTCGGTGTTACTGCCACAAGGTGATGGATTGCAGGGATTCTTTGGTGTAGGCAATGGTGTTGGCAATGCTGTAAATGAATATGTAAGATTAAGATTATATATAGTTGTTGCGATGGGTGGGGGAGAGAGGTTGCCCTGCCTATATACAATATGCAAACTTGTTGGGTTGGACGATTTGTTCTTACTTTGGGTCACTTGCTGGCAAAGACGGAACGGATCACCCGTCATGCCCGCTTGACAAAGACAGTTGGGTGTGTGCAGGGTAACTTGGCACTGGGCATTTTGGCCACAGCTACCGGGGCATGGATCGCGACACTTCTGACCGATACAGGCTAAATTATTTGCACACTCATCATTGTAGGAACACTCAGGTCGGCAATTGGGCGGCGTCCCCTGGAATTCATCCAGGCAAGTACAGCGCGCCTGACCATTATCGTTGTTGCACTGCGCATTTGATCCACATGGCGATGGGTGGCATGGATCGCGGGCTGTTTCTGGTTTGCGCTCCACAACGATGGGATTGCACAAGTTGTAGGCGTTGCCAGTGTAGCCAGCGATGCACTCGCAGTGGGCACGATGCTGCACAGCCTGACAAACAGCGTTGAGGCCGCATTGTCCAGGACAGGGATCCACACACTTGTTGTTGATGCATGCGTGTTGTTGGGAACAGTCCGAGCTGGTGTAGCACTCTAAACGGCAGTTGGGCGGCTGACCCAAATATCCAGTGATGCAGGAGCAAATCGCATTTCCATTGCGCTCAATACACTGTGCATTGGCTCCACATGGCGATGGTTGACAAGGATTAATTGGGGGCTCATCGCGCACAGGTGTGCAGGCAACAAATGCGTTGCCCGTCATGCGCTCTGGACAGCGACACATGGCAATGTGATTGATCGCATCGCAAAGAGCATTCTGGGCACAGGTTCCGGGACAAGGATCAATGCATTTGTTGCGTACACAAGCGCGATTTCTTGGACACTCGGAGTTTAGCACGCATTCCGGACGACAACCAATGTAGGGGTCACCCTGATATTCCGGCAGGCATGAGCATTGGCCACTGCGGCACTGCGCATTGCTTCCACATGGTGAGGGATTGCAGGGATCGGCTGGTGCTGTGAAATAATTGGGGCCATGGTTAGGAGAAAGCAACACCTTTTGTAATAGAGGGAGCATACTCGATGGTGTTGGTGGCGGTGTGGGTGGCAACAGACGACAGCTACTGAAGGGATCGCCTGTATAGCCAGCGGGGCAAGAGCAACTAGGCGTATGGTTGATTACATTACATTGTGCTGCAAAGCCGCAGGCACCTGGACAGGGATCACGACATTTCTCATTGATACACGCCAAATTGCTGCCGCACTCTGCATTAATGGTGCACTCGGGCCGGCAGTTGGGCGCTGCACCAATAAAGTTTGGCAGGCAACTGCAACTGGCACCGCCATTCACTTCACGGCACTGGGAATTGGGTCCACATGGTGACGGCACACACGGCATGGCTGGCTGCGTAGGTGGCTCTGCCTGTTTGGGTGGTAGCGGCAAGCAGCGGATAAAGGCGTCGCCTGTGTAACCAGATTGGCAAGAGCACAACGGACTATGGTTGCGCACATGACATTGGGCATTGACTCCACACGTGCCTGGGCATGGATCTTGACACTTTTGATTGATGCAGGCCTTATCCGCGCTACACTCTGCACTTATAACACACTCGGGACGACAGGCAGGCGGGGTGCCTATAAACTGTGGCAAGCAACTGCAAATTGCCTGACCCTGCGATTCTCGGCACTGTGAATTGGCGCCGCACGGTGTTGGCTCACAGGGATTTACATAAACAGGGGGCGTGGCTAAACGGGGTGAAAATTAAGATTAGTTTCTATACATGTTTGAGGGTAATAGCGAAGCAAAGCGTTTTCTAAAAGTACAAAGCAATTTAAAAGCGTTTTTAACTAGTTCAAGCAATCGTATGCGTTTACGTGTTGGATAATGTGGTGGTTAGCTATAGTTTATTACTGTCATGTGGTTGCAACTCCTGTATAAGTTTGGTGACGCAATAGTTGTAAAAAGACAACTCGAGAGAAGAACACAGAAGAACACCAGAGTTTAGATTGCAATATTGAATAATGAGATAGTTGTAGAGTCGATTTGTAACAAGGTAGGAGAAAAGAAAACCTGTCGTAAATTTGTCGATCAAAGAGCGAAAATATCAGGAGCATATGTAATGTGAGTTTTGATGGACATCTTAAGTTTTTAATAATGAGACACTTTTAAGGAGACACCTTAAAAATATAACTCAGAGGAAAGAGTAAGTCGTGGAATTGAGTACTGCATTGTTGCTGATGACTAAGCAAAGAACTCGCAGAAGGGTATTTGGTTTTAGTGGCATGAATTTAGTTTGCATGTTCTTATAGTTTTTCTTACGTTCTTGCATCATTAGATGACAGCTGTGATAGGGATTGCCCACATAATGTGTTAGGCATTCGCAGATGGGCGCATGATTGATAACTTGACAGTAAGAATTAATGCCACAGACGCCTGGACAAGGATCGCGACATTTCTCGTTCACACAAGCTCGATCGCTTGTGCAGTCCGAATTGCGAGTGCACTCGGGCCGACAAATCTCGTAGGGATTGCCATAATAGTTGGGCAGACACTGACATACGCTTTGGGTATATTGCGGGTGACAAACGGCATTCGCACCACAGGGATTCGGATTACATGGTATGGGCTTGGGTAAAACTGGTGCCGGAGGTGGCGTGGATCGCACGCACGTGGTATACGCATCGCCCATATAACCATCCGGGCAGTAGCAGTTCGGACTGTGAGCTATGACGCGACACAAGGCCAGCTGACCGCAGCTACCGGGACAAGGGTCGATGCATTTGTGATTATTGCAGGTCTTGTCATTCGCACAATCGGCGCTGCTAACACACTCGGGACGGCAGTGCGGTGGTGTGCCTATGAATTCTCTGAGACAGTTGCACTGGGCGCCTTGTGGTGTGGCCACACACTTTGTGTGGGGACCGCAAGGTGATGGGTGACAGGGATTCACTTCGATGGGGTCTTTTGCGGGTGCTGGTGGTAAAACTGAAAGAACTGCATTAGAGATTGCAAAGGCTTTGAGGTTTAGCGGCATACCTATGGGTTGACAGGCTACTAGGGGATTACCCGTCAGCGGGGGTGGACACACGCATATGGGACTGTGGTTCTGCGCATGGCATACAGCGCGTAAGCCACAAGCGCCTGGACAGGGATTTCGACATCTGAGATTCAAGCAGTACTTGTCAAGATCACAATCTGAGTTACTGCTACACTCCGGACGGCAAGAGGGGGGTGTGCCCTGATATCCAGGCAGACAGTAGCAAATGGCTTGCTGCTGATATGTGCGGCATTGTGCATTAAAGCCGCACGGCGAGGGCTGGCAGGGATTTATTGGTATGCGTGGTGGTATAATGGCAGGAAGTGTGCCGGGTGTTGAGGAAGGTGTTGTCGTTGCCGGTTTCGGCACTGGCATTGGGTCACAGCGCACAAAGGCGTCACCGTGCATTTGAGCTGGACATGTGCATGAGGGAATATGATTGTAAGTATTGCACACAGCATTTGATCCACAAGTGCCCGGGCATGGATCTTCGCACTTTTGCCTCCTACACGCCTTATCCTTTGAACAGTCCGTGTTCAGCACGCATTCAGGACGACAGCTCACATAAGGATTTCCATGATATTCGTCCAGACAACTGCAGATACCATTGTTGCATAAAGCATTTGCTCCACAAGGTGACGGATAACAAGGATCCTTCGTTGCAGGTGGTTCGCGTTCCACGATCGCCGGCTCCGGCGTCCGTTGGCATGAAACGAAGGGATCGCCGGTGTAGCCAGCCGGGCAAAAACAGTTGGGCACATGATTGTGCACCCGGCATAGAGCGTTGTAGGCACAAGAGCCTGGACAAGGATCGCGACACTTTTCATTTACACATGCCAAGTGAGCAGGACAATCGGAGTGCACGACGCATTCTGGACGGCAATTTGGAGGGGTTCCAATGTAATTGGGTAGACAAATACATGCGGCTACTCCAAAACGATTGTGGCATTGCGAGTATGGGCCACATGGAGATGGATAACACGGATTGACCTCTGCACTTGGTGTCAAAATATTATTGACCGGACGTGGGGTGTTAGATGTTGGCTGTGCAACTGATGGATTGTTGATGATTCCTGGCGCGTAATCTGGTTGTTTTACTGGGTAGTTAGCATCATACGTCGGAGGTATAGGTGTAACTTCCACTGGAGTTGGAACGAATATAGGAGGCTGTTGAGCTGGAATCACTGGCTGCGGATCTGAAGGAATATTCAAAACTTCAGGTATCGGAGGTGTTGGGTATGCTTGTTGGAGTACAGATGGTATATGGATAACTCCCGGTTTTGGTGTAGGTGTCAATGACACTGCAGATGGAATGAATATAGGTGGTTGAGAAACTGGTGGTACTGGTTGTAGGACGGACGGAATGTTCACAGCTCCTGGTATCTGAGACGGTTCTGGTGTTGGATGGTTCACATCGTAATTCGCAGGCAGTACTGTTGGATACGTAGGCTGAGCTACTGAAGGAATGTTTATTACTGCTGGTTGAGGAGCATGTGCTACAGTTACTGGAGGAGATGGAACGAATATAGGAGGCTGCGGTACTGGTGTCGGATAAGTTGGTTTTGGTATAGATGGTACATAGATAACTATTGGTTGTGGTGCAGGCGTTGAAGTTGAGATTGCAGGTGACGGAATATGAGCAGGAGGTGTTGGTGTTGGTATAATTGGCCGTGGTAAAGATGGAATATTTATAACTCCTGGTATTTGTGGTGGCGGTGGATAGTATACATCGTAGATAGCTGGATTCGTTAGCTCAGGGGCTGGGACTGGTTGAGGTGCAGAATGAATGTTGATAACTCCAGGAACTGCTGGTTGCGTAGGTTGCGTTGGGTAGGTAATATCAAAATCTGGACTCGGTTGTTGAACAGAAGGAATATTGATCACTTCTGGCTTATGAGTCGGTTGCGGTGCTGGGTAGTTCACATCGTAGGTTGGTGGCTGAGGTGATGGATAAGTTGGTTGTGGTATGGATGGTATGTTGGTAGTTTCTGCCTGTGGTGCAGGTGTTGAAGAGGCGGGATTTGAAGGCAAGAATATAGGAGGCTGCGGAGCTGGTGGTACTGGTTGTGGGACAGAGGGAATATTCACAATTCCAGGAGCTGGCTGTGGTCTTGGCAAGTTTACATCATATATCGGTTGTTGAGGTGACGGATATGTAGGTTGGGGTACTGATGGAATGTTAATTACTCCAGGTTGTGTTGCAGGTGTTGAAGGCACTGAAGGTGATGGTACAAATATGGGCGGCTGAGACGCTGGTGGCACCGGTTGTGGGAACGATGGAATATTCACTACTCCTGGCATATGTGTGGGCTGTGACGTTGGGTAGTTTACATCGTAGACTGGAGGCTGAGATGATGGATAAGTTGGCCGAGGTATGGATGGTATGTTGATAGTTCCCGGCTGTGGTGCAGGGGATGTTGCACTTGACGACTGTACAAAAATGGGCGTCTGTGTTGTCGGATAAATCGGTTGAGGCACTGACGGAATATTAATGACTCCTGGTTCGGGAATTTGTGGCGGCTGTGGTGGGTGGCTTATATCATGTATCATTTGTTGAGGTGGCGGATATGTAGGTTGGGGTACTGATGGAATGTTAATTACTCCTGGTTGTGTTGCAGGTGTCGAAGGTACTGAAGGTGATGGTACGAATATGGGCGGCTGAGACGCTGGTGGCACCGGTTGTGGGAACGATGGAATATTCACTACTCCTGGCATATGAGTGGGTTGTGACGTTGGGTAGTTCACATCGTAGACTGGAGGCTGAGATGATGGATAAGTTGGCCGAGGTATGGATGGTATGTTGATAGTTCCCGGCTGTGGTGCAGGGGATGTTGGACTTAACGACTGTACAAAAATGGGCGTCTGTGTTGTCGGATAAATCGGTTGAGGCACTGATGGAATATTAATGACTCCTGGTTCGGGAATTTGTGGCGGCTGTGGTGGGTGGCTTATATCATGTATCACTTGTTGAGGTGGCGCATATGTAGGTTGGGGTACTGATGGAATGTTAATTACTCCTGGTTGTGTTGCAGGTGTCGAAGGTACTGAAGGTGATGGTAAGAATATGGGCGGCTGAGACGCTGGTGGCACCGGTTGTGGGAACGATGGAATATTCACTACTCCTGGCATATGAGTGGGTTGTGACGTTGGGTAGTTTACATCGTAGACTGGAGGCTGAGATGATGGGTAAGTTGGCCGTGGTATGGATGGTATGTTGATAGTTCCCGGCTGTGGTGCAGTAGATGTTGGACTTGATGACTGTACAATAATGGGTGCCTGTGTTGTCGGATTAATCGGTTGAGGCACTGACGGAATATTAATGACTCCTGGTTCGGGAATTTGTGGCGGCTGTGGTGGGTGGCTTATATCATGTATCGCTTGTTGAGGTGGCGGATATGTAGGTTGGGGTACTGAAGGAATGTTAATTAATCCTGGTTGTGTTGCAGGTGTTGAAGGTACTGAAGGTGATGGTACGAATATGGGCGGCTGAGAAGCTGGTGGCACCGGTTGTAGGAACGAAGGAGTATTCACTATTCCTGGCTTATGAGTGGCTTGTGGTGTTGACGATGGTATATTGATAACACCCGGTTTCGGTTCATATATTGTTGGCACTTGGGAAGTTGTGGTATATGTTGTAGCTGGGTACGATGGGGATACCGGCTGTTGCCCAGAGAAAATATAAACCACACCGGGTATGACAATTGGATAGGGTGGTGCTGGTGTATCATAAATTAAAGGTCTCACAATTGGGGGAGCTACATTTGCTGAAAAAGGATTATTAAATGGACTGTTGCAATTGATAGCTGTATCACATTGGATCTTACGTCTTTGACTCTCGTAACAACGAGTAAATGGATTTCCAGTGTGCGTTGGCTTGCAGAAGCAAATGGGGCTATGGTAATGAACTCGGCATTCCGCGTTAAAACCACAGGCTCCTAAACATGGATCGGTACACCTGTACTGCACACAGGCCCTATCGAAGGCGCACTCAGAGTTTAATGTACACTCGGGTCGGCAATAAGGTGGGCTACCAAAAAAGTCAGGGAGACAAGAGCAAATCGCTTGCTTATTGCTTTCAAAACACTGTGCATTAGGACCACAAGGGGATGGCTCGCAAGGATTGATTTGATCTATAGGTGCTACAAGGTTAGAAAAAAATATGTAATGTTGACACATGATATAGGCATTTCTTGGGATTTTTCGCTTACATTGCTGTACCGCCGGCAGAGGAGCGCAGTGTTTCAATGGGTTGCCGTTGTAGCCGCTGAAGCAGCTGCATTGTGGCAGGTGGTCGACTACATTACACACTGCATTTAAACCACATGTGCCAGGGCAAGGATCGCGGCACTTCTGCTGCACACAAGCTCTGTGCGAGAGACAATCGCTGTTGAGTACACATTCTGGACGGCAGGCTTCATAAGGATTGCCATAATAATCAGGCAAACATATACAAGAGCCAATGCCGTTATGCTGACTACAGAGCGCATTGGCGCCGCAGGGATTCGGCTCGCAAGGATTAATCGCAGTCTGCTCATATTGCGGTGTTTGTATAACAGTCATTGTAGGAGGCGGTGTGGGTGGGGGCGGAAGTTGACAGGCAGTAAACGGATTACCAATTAGACCTGGTGCACACACACAAATTGGCTGGTGGTTGCTGGTGCGGCATATGGCGTTGAAGCCGCACAGACCAGGGCAAGGATCCTGGCACTTCCGATTAATGCATGCACGATCGGTGGCACAGTCGCTGTTGGAAATGCACTCAGGACGACAATAAGGGGGCACGCCTACATGCTCTGGTTGGCAACGACAAGTTGCTACACTTCGATCACTGCTGCACTCGGAGTGAGGGCCGCAGGGCGAGGGGATGCAAGGATCTAGTGGTTCACGTTGGACTAGAACCGGAGCTGGTCTAATGGGCTGGCATTGTGTGTATGGACTACCCGTGTAGCCAGTGGGGCAAACACATTGAGGTCGGTGGTTTATCACATGACACTCAGCCTGATGGCCGCAGACGCCCGGACACGGATCACGACAGTTTTGATTCATGCATGCCAGGCTCAGAGGACATTCTTGGTTGGTGGTGCACTCGGGACGACAGGTTGGTGGACTGCCATAATAACCTGGCAAACAACTGCAGATCGCTTGATCTCCAACTGGGCGACAAAGCGCGTTTGCGCCACAAGGCGATGGCTGGCAGGGTTGCACTGGTGGTGCTGGCAATGTCTGCAACGGTGATGTTTGGCACAAAACAAATGGATTGCCCTGCAGACTGCCGGGGCAATGGCACATGGCCACATGGTTGTGCACTTCACATATGGCGCTATAGCCACAAGTGCCAGGACAGGGATCAATGCAGCGATTGCGCACACATGATTTGTCTAAGGCGCACTCTGTGCTTAAAATACATTCAGGCCGACAACCCACGTACGGATCACCATTGTATAGTGGCAGGCAACTGCAAATGCCGCCCGCACATTGGGCATTAGCACCACAAGGCGCTGGCTGGCAGGGATCATCAGCAATTGGAGCGGGAACAGGCGGTGCTGGATAACAGCGATGGAATGGATCGCCAATATAGCCGCTGGGACATATACAGCTGGGCACGTGATTTAAAACATTGCATTGAGCGTAAAGGCCACAAGCGCCTGGACACGGATCTCGACACTTCTCATTAATGCAGGAACGATGAGCGGGGCAATCGGAGTTGAGTATACATTCGGGTTGACAGTGTGGTGGCGTGCCATAATACTCAGACAGACAACTGCAGATCGCTTGGTCATTGACCACACGGCATTGCGCGTATTGTCCGCAAGGTGTGGGAACGCAGGAATTACGATATGGTTCGCGTGCCACAACGGGCTGAGGTATGGGTTGACATCGCACCAAGGCATCACCAGTGTGGCCGGTGATGCAAGAGCAATGGACTCGGTGATGTATTGTTTGGCAGATGGCATTGTATCCACAACTACCAGGACAGGGATCTCGACATTTCTGATTGACACAGGCCTTATTGATAGGACACTCAGAATTGGTAGTACATTCGGGTCGACAGGCGGGTGGCGTACCAAAGTAATCGGGCAAGCAACTGCAAATTGCTTGATTATGAGATTCCTTACACTGAGCATTAGGACCGCAGGGCGAGGGCTCACAGGGGTTGACGTAAACCACTTTAATGGCTGTGGGAGATGTGCAAATGGGTGCAAATAATATATTGTTGGTTGGGTTAGTGCAAGTGTCTGATAACGGCTGGGAAGAATGCTTACGTTCTGACTGGTGCAGCCTGCAATGGCGATAGGGATCGCCAATGTGGCCGGGATAACAGCTGCATATGGGAACATGGTTGACGACTTGGCATTGGGCGTTGGGTGCACAGCTGCCAGGACAGGGATCACGGCAATATTGATTAAGGCACGCCAAATGGCTCGAGCAATCGGAGTTAAGGACACATTCGGGTCGGCAGCCTTCATAAGGATTGCCATAGTAGTTGGGCAAGCACTGGCAGGAGCCAACTCTACCTTGTTGCCTGCAGACGGCATTGCCGCCGCAGGGACTAGGTGCACATGGATTAATTTGATCCCGCTCGAGTATCGGGCGCGGATAACACTTAGTGAATGGATCTCCAATATAATCAGCTATGCAAACGCAGGATGGCACATGACTGATCACCTGGCAGATGGCGGCCTGGCCGCACACACCAGGACAAGGATCGCGACACTTTTGTCCAATACAGGCCAATTGGTTGGAGCATTCTGATGAAGTAATACATTCAGGCCGGCAGTTTGGCGGAGTTCCAATGTAGTTTTCCAGGCACTTGCACTGCGCTTGGCTGCCATCTGGTGTGGAAGTGCACTGTGCATTGGCACCGCACGGTGAGGGCTGGCAGGGATTGACTGGATCACGTTGCAATATTTGAGGCGGTGGTAGAAGTTGGCACAACGCATATGCATTTCCGGTGTAGCCAGGCGGGCAGCTGCAATGTGGTGTGTGACGTATAACCTGACAGAGCGATTGTTGGCCGCAGGCGCCAGGGCAGGGATCGCGGCAGTGCTGATTCTGGCAGGCTAAATGGGGCGCACAGTCTGAGTTGATGCTGCATTCCGGTCGACAAAGCGGTGGTGTGCCAAAGAAGCCGGCCAGGCAGGAACATACTGCCTGATCATTTGTCACAAGGCACTGAGCATTGCTTCCACAGGGTGTTGGATGGCATGGGTTAATGGGCACGATGGGATCAGCTAAATTTTTGGGTATACAATTAAGTATTGTAAATTTTGAGGTATTATAGCAAAACCTACGTTGTAATAAAGCACACTGTACAAATGCATTGCCGGATGTGCCCGGGGGACAGTGGCACATGGGCACATGGTTGCGAACCTCGCAAATAGCGCCCACGCCACATGCGCCCGGACAGGGATCAACACATTTACTGCGCTGGCAAGCCTTGTCGCGTGCGCAATCCGTGTTAAGCACACATTCGGGTCGGCAGCCAATGTAGGGATTGCCATGGAACTCAGCAATACAAGTGCATTGCCCATTGTTGCAAATAGCATTTGAGCCACATGGCGAGGGATTGCAAGCATCGCGTGGTGGTGGGTCATTTGGTGGTGGTATTGGAGCGCAATTAACGAAGGGATTCCCTCCATAGCCCACGGGACAACTGCAAATGGGCGTATGATTGATGGCGTTACATCGTGCTAAAATACCACAGGAACCAGGACAGGGATCGCGACACTTTTCACCTATACAGGCCAAGTGAGAAGCGCAATCGGAGTTTATTACACACTCCGGTTGACAGTTGGGCGGAGCACCATAGTAACCAGACAGACAGCGACACACGGCTTGACCACTTTGAGCATGACACTGTCCAAAAGTGCCGCAGGGTGACGGAACACAGGGATCATGGATTGTATCCTTTGGATAGTCGTAGCTGATGACGTGTGCTAAAAATATTGTTGTGTAAAGTTGGGTTAAGATAGTTGTAAGACAAATTCACACTGGCGGCAGGATCTTACTTATTGTTCGACAACCACTGAAGGCATCACCCGTAAAACCTGGCAAACAGCTGCAGTGGGGACTGTGATTAATCGGATGACACGCGGCATTGCGGCCACAGACTCCTGGACAGGGATCAACACAATGGTGATTTTTGCAGGCTTTGTCAAGAGAGCACTCGCTGGAGATGGTACATTCGGGTCGACAAGCTGGTGGAGTGCCTATAAAGTCTGGCAGGCAGCTGCAAACCGCCTGTTGATTCGCTTCGTGGCATTGGGAGTTAGATCCGCAGGGTGAGGGCTGGCAGGGATGCATCGGAGCAGGTTCATGCAGGGCTATTAGTAAAAACGCCGGGTAAATACGAAAGAGTGGAAGGTATGCCATTTTTGAGTTGCTTACGTTCGGGTATGACATTGCAGTAGCTATAGGGATTACCCTCATAGCCATTGAGGCAATTGCAATGCGGCAGATGATGGCGCACATGGCATATGGCATTGGGACCGCAGATACCCGCGCATGGATCGCGGCAGTGTTGATTGACACAGGCCAAATTGCTTGGGCAATCTGAATTCAAAATACATTCTGGTCGGCAGCCGTCGTAGGGATTGCCAAAGAATTCAGGCAGGCACTCACAGGCGCCAGCGCCATTCAATTCGCTACAGATCGCATTTGAGCCACAAGGACTTGGTACACAGGGCGTAAGTGATTCAATAACATCACGCTGCACAGCGCAATTGATGAAGGGATTGCCACTGTACCCGCTGAAGCAAACGCACATGGGGGTATGGTTGATGACGTAGCATTCGGCGTTGTTGCCACACACGCCCGGACAAGGATTATGGCATTTTTGGTTAAAGCATGCCAGATTTGTAGGGCAGTCAGCGTTGCTAACGCATTCAGGTCGACAGTTGGGCGGTATTCCCATGAACCCAACAAGGCAGTTGCATTGGGCATTGTTTCCAACGTTGCGGCATTCAGAATTCGGTCCACAAGGCGATGGCTTGCAGGGATCAAGCACATCGTGTGTTATAGGTGGTGGCGGCTGTGGATGGCATACAATGAAGGGATTCCCCGTGAAGGAGCTAATGCAACGACAGTTCGGGCTGTGATTAAGTACTCGGCACTCAGCGTTCTGACCGCAGGCACCCGGACAAGGATCGTTGCAACGCTGCTGCAGACAAGCCAAGTGTAGTGGACACTCTGCATTGCTAATACATTCCGGACGACATGATGGTGGCACACCCACAAATTGTGGCAGGCAGGAGCAGACAGCTTGTCCATTGATGCTGCGACACTGTGCATTGGGTCCGCAAGGTGATGGTTGACAGGGATCGGAAACAACACGTGGAGGTGGCGGAGGCAATGGCAAGCATTGTACAAAAGCATTGCCCGTCATTTCAGCTGGGCAGTGGCACAAGGCCACATGGTTGTGTACCTCACATATTGCGTTCGAGCCGCATGTGCCTGGGCAGGGATCAATGCATTTTTGGCGCACGCAGGCGAGATTCTGGGCACACTCCGTGCTCAATATGCATTCCGGACGACAGCCAACCGATGGGTTCCCATGGAATTCGGCTAGACAGCTGCACTGTCCCTGGCTACAAACAGTATTGGGACCACACCTTACATGGAGGCATGGATCGTCATTCAGTACAGGTGGTCGTGGTGCTGTTGGTGCTTGACACGACGCAAACGGATTGCCAGTTAATCCGGGTACACACTGACAAACGGGGATATGATTTATGACCAGGCACTGAGCATTAAAGCCGCAGGCGCCTGGACAAGGATCACGGCAGCGCTGGTTTTGACAGGCCAGGTGAGCTGGGCAGTCGGCATTGATACTACACTCGGGTCGACAGTTAGGTGGGCTGCCAAAATAGTTGGGTAAGCAACTGCAAATAGCAGTGCCATGAGTATCGTGACACTCAGCATATTGACCACACGGCGATGGAACACAAGGATTCGTATATGTATTCAACTGGACAATAGATGGGGCTGTAAACAAGGTAAGAAAATATGATTTGGAGCTTATATCGACCACAGGGTAGCTCTTACGTGGTGCAGGGTAGCAGCGCGTGAAAGCATCCCCCTGGAAGTTTGGACGGCAGCTGCAAATGGGCGCATGGTGGTAAACACGACAGTCGGCATTGGTGCCACAGACGCCAGGACATGGATCTCGACACTTTTGATTAATGCAGGCCTTATCTGAAACACACTCGCCACTGGTCACACATTCAGGTCGACAGTTGGGCGGTGTGCCCACATACTCCGGCAAACAGGAGCAGACAGCCTGGTCGTTCTTCTCGCGGCACTGGGAGTTGGGGCCACAGGGTGAGGGCTGACAGGGATTTACATACTCTTTCACAATTGCTAAAGGACAATAGGGCTTGTTTAGGATTTTTATATGGGATTTCTGTTAGCTTTACACTTACGTTTCTCGGGCAGCTGACAGTATCGATAGGGATCACCAACGAATGAGTTTAGACAATGGCATGTGGGTAGGTGGTTAAGAACGCGACAAGCAGCATTTAGACCGCACACACCCGGGCAAGGATCGTGACATTTCAACTGCTGACAGGATTTGTCTGACGGACAGTCGCTATTGGAGACGCACTCAGGTCGACAAGCTTCATAAGGATTGCCATAGTAGTCGGGTAGGCATTGACAGGTGCCTGCATTGCCCTCCTGACGGCATTGCGCATTCGCACCACATGGATTTGGATAACAGGGCTGCATATTTTCCTCTTTTTGATTAATAGGCGCTTGGTGGCAGTTGGTGAAAGGATCGCCTGTATACCCAGGAGCACAATAGCACATGGCCACATGGCTAAGTACATGACAAACGGCATTGACAGCACAAGCACCCGCGCAGGGATCCACACATTTTTGATTAACACACGCTTTATCAAAGCTGCACTCCGAGTTGGTGACGCATTCCGGTCGACAATTGGGCGGTGTTCCAATGTAATTGGTTAGACAGCTGCATTGAGCTTGGTCACCCACAGCTCGACATTCGGCGTAGGGTCCACATGGCGAGGGTTGACAAGCGTGCTTTACAGGAATGACATCTCTCTGCGGTGGGGTAGGCAAACAGCCAAGGAAGGGATTGCCAATGTGTCGTGATGGACAACTGCATATAGGTGCATGGTTGACCACATGGCAAAGTGCATTGTATCCACAGGTGCCTGGACAGGGATCGATGCATTTTTGCTGCTGGCACGCCAGACTAGGGAGGCAATCCGAGTTGCGAGTACATTCCGGACGACAGCTGGGTGGGCTACCCACATAATCTTCAATGCAGGAGCAAACGGCGTTACCATTCAGCTCACGACAGCGACTGTTGGGACCACATGGTGAAGGTGCACAAGGATTTGTAGGTGGCAGGGACTGCTTCGGCGGTGTTTCACACTGAATGAATGCATTGCCTATCATGCCTGTTGGACAGCGGCACATGGCAATGTGATTAAGTACATCACATATGGCGTTAGGAGCACAGGTTCCTGGACAGGGATTGGTGCACTTATTGCGGATACACGCACGATCACGAGGGCAGTCGGTGTTAAGCACGCATTCTGGACGGCAGCCCACATATGGGTCACCTTGGTATTCGGCTATACACGTGCAAACACCATTTTGACACTGGGCATTGGATCCACAGGGTGAGGGATTGCAGGGATCGTCGGCTACAATGGGCTTGGCTATGGATAAGATATCAAAATGGATGAAAGTAAACCCAAACATTTGTGTTGTTTTTCTTACGTGGTTCAGGATGGCAGGATGTAAATGGATCCCCTACATAACTGACGGGACATTGACAGCTGGGCACGTGGTTGCGCACAGTGCAGATCGCATTGTAGGCACAGGAACCAGAGCAAGGATCAACGCAGCGCTGGTTTATGCATGCCAGGCTGGGTAGACACTCGGCACTCTGTGTGCATTCGGGTCGGCAACTCGGCGGTACCCCAAAATAACCAGACAGGCAGCTACATATGGCCTGACCATTTAACTGGCGACATTGAGCATTAGCTCCACATGGAGACGGCTGACAGGGATCACGTACAGGTTCATATAGCAGCTGGGTGGGTGGTGCTAAATTTACGGTATAATTGGGTCAGTAGATGTGGCACAGATCATAGACCAGGTGACTTACGAGGTGCAGGATAGCATCGCGTGAATGGATCTCCGGTATATCCTGACTGGCAAGCGCACAGCGGAGCATGATTTGTGGCATGACATAGCGCATTGCTGCCGCAAGCGCCAGGACAAGGATCAATGCACTTGTGCTGCACACAGGCCCTGTCAAAGTTACATTCTGATGACAGCGTACACTCAGGACGACAACCAGGAGGAGTGCCCACGTACTCGGGCAAGCATGAGCAAACAGCCTGTTCATTAAGCTCTTTGCACTGACTATTAGGACCGCAGGGTGATGGATGGCAGGGATTAACATACTCGCGAACGGCTGGAAAAAATTAAATGTGTCCAATAAGGGCGGAAAGCAAAGCCAAGAGATGCTTACGTTTCTCTTCAAGGCTGCAGTAGCGATAGGGGTCACCCACATAGCCGTTAAGGCAATTGCAAGTTGGCAAATGATTTCTCACATAACACTCGGCGTTGTGGCCACAGCTGCCAGGGCAAGGATCGCGGCACTTCTGATTAACACAGGCTCTATTAGATGGACAGTCTGAATCAAGCACACATTCGGGGCGACAGCCTTCATAGGGATTGCCATAGTACTCGGGTAGGCATTGGCAGGATCCAATGCCATTTCGTTGATGGCACTCGGCAAAAGTGCCGCAGGGATTGGGATTGCAAGGCTGTATTATCTCAGGTGGCTCATGTTGAATTGGTAAGCAGAGGACGAAAGGATCACCGCTATAGCCTTGCTGACAGTAGCACATGGCGCTGTGACTAAGCACATGGCATACAGCACCGATACCGCAAAGGCCTGGACAAGGATCCTTGCAACGATTGTTTCTGCAAATCCGGGATGAAGCGCAATCAGAGTTGGACAAGCACTCGGGTCGGCAGTTTGGTGGAGTTCCAAAGAAGGTCTCAAGACACGAACAGGATGGTATATCCCCATTACGGTGGCACTCACTGTTAGGACCGCAAGGGGACGGTTGGCATGGATTCCGGGTCACAATATCCCGCAGTGGTTCGACTGTAGTTTTGACAGTTGCATCAATTAAGTTGAATTATGTGGAAGTTTGAGAACTTACTAATTATATGGCACTGCACAAACGGATTACCCGTATAGCCAGGCTGACAGATACAGAAGGGACTGTGACTGACCACCCTGCATTCGGCGTATGCCCCACAGGCGCCTGGACAGGGATCAACGCAATGTTGATTCTGGCAAGCACGACTGGGGGCACAGTCATAATTGGTGGTGCACTCGGGTCGACAAAACGGTGGTACGCCATAATAATTTTGTAGACAGCTGCAGATGGCCTGACCTTGCCGTTCGCGGCATTCAGCGTTTGCACCACAGGGCGATGGTTGGCAGGGATTCTGATAGACGGCCACTGAAGAGCGGTTTCAGTAGATTAGTTATTTGTCTCAAGGGTGGAATTTTAAACCTACTTTGTACGGGACTGCATTGAATAAATGCATTGCCAGTCATGCCCACCGGACAGTGGCACATGGCAATGTGATTGAAAACCTCGCAAGTGGCTCCGGCGCCACATGTGCCCGGGCAGGGATCAACACATTTTTGCTGTACACAAGCTCGATTTCGAGGGCATTCAGAGCTGAGGACGCATTCTGGACGACAAGCGATGTAGGGGTCGCCCTGATATTCGGCAATGCACGTGCATTGGCCGTCTCCCGAACAGACTGCATTGCTGCCACAGGGACTGGGATTGCAAGGATCTCTGGGTTCTTCATAGACTCGTGGCGCTGTATAAATTTTAGAAGTGTTGATATACGGAAGGTCGATAGCTTTCACCCAATTGCTTACGTGGTGCAGGCTGGCAAGCCACAAAGGCATCCCCCACGTAGCCGTGTTGACAAACACAGCTAGGCGTATGATTGATCACACGACACTCAGTGAACTGCCCGCAGGCTCCAGGGCAGGGATCAAGACAGCGTTCGCCAATGCAAGCCAGATGACTGGCGCAATCAGCATTGATGGTACACTCAGGTCGACAATGCGGCGGTGAGCCGTAATAATTGGTCTGGCAGGAACAAATAGCTTGTTCATGATGACTACGACATATAGCGTACAGGCCACAAGGTGAGGGTTCGCAGGGATCCCTATAGGGCGCCACATCTCGAAGCGGCGGTGGTGGAGCTAATATTTCGACAAAATCGTGTTACGTAGACTGTTTATAGATATTTGCCGACAGTTTTCTTACGTGTTGGTCGGGGTAGGCAGCGCACGAAAGGATCGCCCATCAGGCCTGCAGGACACATGCAAACGGGACTGTGATTGTGCACCTGACAAATCGCTTGATGGCCGCAAACACCCGGACATGGATCAACGCACTTGCGATTAATGCATGCCCTGTTGGCTTGGCACTCAGCGTTCGAGGTACACTCAGGTCGACAATTGGGTGGCGCTCCCTTAAATTCGGGAAGACAGGAGCAGACCGCTTGACCCTGCACCTCCCGACATTGGGCATTCGAGCCACAGGGCGAGGGCAGACATGGATTAACATACTCTTGAACAAGTGCTAGAGTTATGGTTAGGCAAATAGATAATACGCTTGGAATTAGTAACTACAACAGCTACGTCAAGTTAGTTAAACGACTCTACTTAATAGATTGGAACTAGCTTACGTGCTGCAGGCTGGTTACAGTAGCGATATGGATCTCCAACATATCCCGCGACGCAGGAGCACATCGGCGTATGATTGACGACATTGCATTCGGCATTCTGTCCACAGCTACCTGGACAAGGATCGCGACACTTTTGCTGCTGACAGGCAAGATTCGATGGGCAGTCCGAATTAAGAATACACTCTGGTCGGCAACCCTCATAGGGGTTACCGAAGAAATCGGTCAGGCATTGACATGCTCCGGCACCATTGCGCTGTATGCACTCGGCGTTGGCCCCGCATGGCGATGGTTGGCAAGGATTAATAATCTCCGCATCCTTTTCAATTGGCTGACACTGTGTAAATGGATCCCCCGTCAGTCCAGCGTCACAAACACACATAGCTGTATGTGAGACAACGCGGCAAAGAGCGTTGGCGCCACAAAGGCCGGGACAAGGATCGCGACACTTTTGATTAATACACGCATGATTGCTAGGACACTCGGAATTCACGACACATTCCGGTTTGCAGTAAGGTGGCGACCCCACAAAGTCTGCAAGACACGAACAGGATGGCGTCTCCCCAATGGCGCGGCACTCAGCGTTGGCTCCACAAGGTGATGGACGACAAGGATCTTCGGACACAATGTCACGCTGTGGTGGGTCGATAATTACCTGGCAGCCCACAAATGGGTTGCCTGTATAGTGTGGAAAGCAGGTGCAGAACGGATTGTGATTGACTACACTACACTTCGCACTGCGACCACAGGCGCCGGGGCAGGGATCGACACACTTTTGATTCACACAGGCAAGCTGAGCGGAACACTCCGAGTTGCTGGTGCATTCTGGACGACATAATGGTGGTGTGCCTACATAGCCGGGCACACAGGAACAGACGGCCTGTTTATTGGCCTCTCGACATTGCGAATTCGGTCCGCATGGCGAAGGCTGGCAGGGCTGTATAACGTCAGCTGCTGTCAAGTGAAAGATTCAGAATGGTCATTCCAATTGGTCACTTTAGCATTGTTTCATATTTACGTTGTATAGGCTGACACTGCACGAATGCGTTGCCTGCATAGCCTTCGGGGCATGTACACATCGGTATGTGATTAAGCACGGTACACAAGGCGTTGGGTGCACATGTGCCTGGGCAGGGATCGAAACACTTGTGCAGAGCGCAAGCGCGATCTCGCGGGCAGTCCAAGCTAGTAAGACATTCGGGACGACAACCGCTGTAGGGATCACCTTGGTACTCAGGTAGACAGGTACAGATGCCAGCATTGCATATGGCATTCGGACCACACGGCGATGGATTGCAAGGATCGTCGGCTTCCACAGCTATAGTGCAAGAGATTATGCTACTGTTGGCATTGTTTTTAGTACTGAGCTTACGTTTTGGTGGTGGTTCCGGCTGACAATGGCTAAATGGATCGCCGGTATAACCTGCTGGGCATGTGCAGCTGGGTGTGTGATTGATGACATTGCAAATGGCACCAAAGCCGCAGGAACCAGGGCAGGGATCCCGACATTTTTCATTTATGCAGGCCTGACTGCTGGGACAGTCTGAGTTAATACGACACTCGGGACGGCAGTTGGGTGGCACGCCCAGATAACCATTTAAGCAAGAGCAAGATGGGGCCTCGCCATGTGGACGGCACTCGGAGTACGGACCGCAAGGTGAAGGTACACAAGGATCAATCGGTTGCTGCTGCACAATTGCTGTAGGCGGCGCGGCTTTACCCAGATCGGAATGGTTAAAATGATGTATTAGGAGACAAGTGAAGCACTTACGAGGTATAGGTAAGCAGCGATAGAAGGCATCGCCAGTATAACCGTTCCGACACGAACAAATAGGACTATGGTTGACCACTCGACATAGGGCATGCTCGCCGCAAGTACCTGGGCAGGGATCTACACACTTTTTGGCTACACACGCCTTGTCCACCACACACTCCGATGATATGGTGCATTCGGGTCGGCAGACTGGTGGTGCACCCACATACTCGGGCAGGCAAGAGCAAACAGCCTGCTCATTGCTTTCCCGGCACTGGGAGTTGGGGCCGCAGGGTGAGGGCTGGCAGGGATTCACATATTGCTTGATGGCTATAAAGGAAAGCAATAGACATCGATGTCTATATTGTTTCAATTGCTGATGTTTGAGTGGCCTTACGTTGACGATCCTGTTGACACAGACGATATGGGTCACCGCTGTAGCCAGTTAAACAGCTGCAGCTGGGCACATGGTTGAGCACATTGCATACTGCATTGGGGCCACAGGTACCGGGGCAGGGATCTTGACACTTCTGTTGTTGGCAGGCAAGGTTGGAGGGACAATCGGAGTCGAGCACACATTCCGGTCGGCATCCTTCGTAGGGATTTCCGAAAAATCCCTCAAGACACTGACATGAGCCAGCATCCTGTCGTGATGTGCAACGAGCATTTATTCCACAAGGACTAGGGTTGCATGGGTCCAACTGATCCAACTGCTGAATTCTCTTCTCCACACACTGCACGAAGGGATCACCCTCCAGGTGGTCGGGACAGAAACAGCTCGGAGTATGTGATAGCACGCGGCACACAGCTGCTTGTCCACACAGGCCAGGACATGGATCCCGACACTTCTGTTTTATGCAAGCCTGATGCGCTGGACACTCTGAACTAGTCACACACTCTGGACGGCAGTTGGGCGGTGTACCGCTATAGTCGGGCAAGCAAGTACATGAGGGTGTCTCGTTTATCTCGCGGCATTCGGCATAAGGTCCACAGGGTGAAGGTTGGCAGGCTTGCCGCGGTGGCGGCGCTGGGGCCTCGATGATCGGTTGACAGCTAACAAACGGATTGCCATTATAGTGATCCAGGCAACGACAGAATGGACTGTGGTTCGTCACATGGCATTGAGCATTGCGGCCGCAGACACCAGGACATGGATCACTGCACTTTTGATTGAGACACGCCAAATTCAAGGGGCATTCCGAGTTCGATGTGCATTCGGGTCGACAGAATGGTGGACTGCCGATGAAAGGCGTAATGCAAGAGCAGATGGCTTGTTGATTTATCACTCTACACTGAGAATTTGGACCACAAGGCGATGGCTGACATGGATTCTGCACGACGTCGAGTTCTGCAAAAGGTCAAACACGGTATAGTCGAACTGGAAACAGGTACAACCGTATATTGCTGATGGCTTACGTTTCACAGGGTTGCACGCTACAAAAGCATTGCCTTCCATGCCATCATTACAGCGGCAGTTGGGTATGTGGTTGAGCACTTCGCAAATGGCAGTAGACGCACAAGTGCCAGGACAAGGATCAACACACTTATGACGCACACAAGCGAGATTGTGGGCACAATCCGTGTGAAGAACACATTCCGGACGACAGCCGACGAAAGGATCTCCGTGGTATTCATATATGCAGGTGCATTGACCGTTATGGCACTGAGCATTAGCACCACATGGCGAGGGATTGCATGGGTCTTGAGGTGCAGGCGGGGTTTCAACTATTAGGTAAACTAAGGATAAGTTTTTGCTATTGAGTTCGATCTAAGAATAGTTCTTACTTTTTTGAGGCGGCTCTGGATTGCAAACAATAAATGGATCACCAGTATAACCCACTAAACAACTACAAATTGGAGTGTGGTTGATTACATTGCACTGTGTGTTAAGCCCGCAGGAGCCGGGGCAGGGATCGCGACACTTTTGATTGATGCACGCCTGATGACTCGGACATTCAGCATTGATGGAACACTCGGGTCGGCAGCTAGGTGGGGTGCCCAGATAATTGGGCAGGCAGGAACACGATGGTGTCCCATAAATGTCACGACATTGCGAATTGGCACCACAAGGTGAGGGGACACAAGGATCAAGAGGCTCACGTTCAATTGCCACAACTGATGGAGCTAAAAATATCATTTAATAGTCAGTCAGACTTCCATTACGACTTAATTTAAATTCATTGGCTTACGCGGGATTTTATAGCAACGAGTAAAGGCATCGCCAGTAAATCCATTTAGGCAGGTGCAGATGGGACTGTGGTTTCGAACACGGCACTCAGCCTGTTGGCCACAGACATTGGGGCACGGGTCATCGCATTTGCGATTAATACAAGCCTTATCAGCTGCGCATTCGGAGCTAGTAGTGCATTCAGGCCGACAGGCGGGTGGACTGCCAATAAATTCCGTTAGACAGGAGCAGACCGCTTGCGTGTTAACTTCGCGGCAACGCGAATTGGGACCGCAGGGTGATGGTTGACAGGGATTCACATAGACAGGTTCGGCTATAAGAAATGTTGTGTAAGCATTTGGCTCCAAATTTTTGGTCATCAGGACAGTCTTACGTGGTTCGTTTTCTACAATACGGCAGGAACTATAGGGATCGCCAGTATACCCGTTTAGACAATTGCAGGTGGCCAAGTGGTTAATAACTTGGCACTCGGCATTCTGGCCACATGTGCCTGGGCAGGGATCACGGCACTTTTGCTGCTGACAAACTCTATTTGATGGACAGTCTGAGTTGAGCACGCACTCCGGTCGGCAGCCCTCGTAGGGATTGCCAAAGTGTTCAGGTAGACACTGACAAGAGCCAGCACCGCCACGTTCCTCACACTTTGCATTGACGCCGCAAGGACTCGGATTGCAGGGCTGTATCTGCTCGACTGGTGCTTCCATAATGGGATTGCACTGGGAAAATGGATCACCAGTGAACCCGCTAACACACAGGCACATGGCCGTATGGCTGAAAACGCGACAATTCGCGTTAAGACCACAAAGTCCTGGACAAGGGTCTACGCATTTTTGATTGACGCAGGCCTGGTTGGTGGCGCACTCCGAGTTAGATATGCATTCTGGTCGGCAATTTGGTGGAGCACCCGAAAATTCGGGCAGGCAAGAACAAGATGGGGAATCACCTGAGACACGGCACTCAGAGTTGGGGCCACAGGGTGACGGTTGACACGGATTTTGTGGCGTAACATCACGTTGCGGAACTACTGTAAAGAGTTGTTTTTGTATCTCTGGCAAGTTGCTTAAATTTAGAAGTGGCTTACTAATCTGTTCACATCGCACAAAAGGATTGCCCGACATACCCGTGGGGCAACTGCAGAAGGGGCTGTGATTTACTATATTGCATAGAGCATTAAAGCCGCAGGTGCCGGGACAGGGATCACGACACTTCATGTTTTGGCAAGCTTGATTGGCCGCGCAATCCGAGTTGGTAACACATTCTGGTCGACATTGTGGCGGACTGCCGACATAGTCCACCAAGCAAGAGCAGACTGCGGTCTGTTGCACCACACGGCACTGGCTGTTGGGTCCACATGGTGAAGGTTGGCAGGGATTCTGTGGCGCTGGTGATGGTACAGGGCGGCATTCAAAGAATGCATTGCCTGACATTTGATCTGGACAGCGACAAATAGGCACATGGTTGTTGACCTCGCAAATCGCATTTATCCCACAGGTACCAGGGCAGGGATCGATGCACTTATTTCGTATGCAAGCACGATTATGTGGACAGTCTGTATTGAGAACACATTCCGGGCGACAGCCGACATTCGGATCACCTTGGTATTCGGCTATGCATGTGCATATACCACCGTTGCATTGGGTATTAGCACCACACGGTGATGGGTTGCATGGATCGTCCCTTATAGGTGGCAAAGTTGCTGCAAAACGGTGCAAAGTGTCATGTTGGAATGTTTTTGGGTATATAACTAAACACCTACGTTCTGGTGGCCTAAGATTGCAGGCAGTGAATGGATTACCAATGTAACCCTCGCTGCAGGCACAGAGCGGCGTATGGTTTATTACGCTACAAATGGCATTTAAGCCACATGCACCTGGACAGGGATCGCGACATTTCTGATTAATGCATGCCTGCTGGCTGGGACATTCCGAATTAATGATACATTCAGGACGACAATTGGGTGCCTGACCAATAAACGTTGCTAGGCAGGAACACGCTGGAACTCCATTAATATTGCGGCACTCAGAGTGCGGGCCGCAGGGTGTGGGCACGCAGGGATCACGCAACGGTTCACGTTGCACTTCAATTGGCGGCGCTGTAGGACACGAATAGACTTGGGTAGAGTTCGGCTAACGAGTAGTAGATAACTTGGCTTACGTGGAATTGGGAAGCATTTTGTAAAGGCATCGCCAGTGAAGCCACTGACACAAGTGCAGATAGGACTGTGGTTGCGTACTCGGCACATCGCATTGCTGCCGCAGGTGTTGGCCACGCAGGGATTGACACATTTCTGATTCAGACAGGCCTTGTCCACAGTGCATTCCGATGAGATTGTGCACTCGGGTCGGCAGGCAGGTGGGGCGCCAATGAACTGGGGCAGACACGAGCAGACGGCCTGCTCATTTGTAACGCGACATTGTGAGTTAGGACCACACGGCGTGGGCTCACACGGATTCGAGTATTCGTTACGTACAGCTAAAGCAAATATATATGTGCAACGGTTAAGAATGCCAATTGGACAAGTAGGAGATTGCTTACGTTCGACAGGACGTGTACAAAGTTGATACGGATCGCCTATGTAGCCGGGTAGACAATTGCAGGATGGCAGATGGTTAATAACCTGACAAGCGGCGTTTTGCCCACAGGTACCGGGGCAAGGATCCTGACACTTTTGCTGCAAGCAGGCACGATTCGATGCGCAATCAGAGTCTAGCATACACTCGGGTCGACAACCATCGTAGGGATTTCCAAAGTATTCCGGCAGACATTGGCAAGATCCAGCTCCGTCACGCTCGCGACAAATGGCATTTGCTCCACAGGGACTGGGGCTGCAGGGTGTACGCACTTCGATTTCGCGTTCAATTTCTGAGCTGCACTGCACGAAGGGATCGCCAATGAAACCTTGCTGGCAGATGCATTGCACCACATGGCTGACTACGCGACAGTCAGCATTCAAGCCACAGCGCCCTGGACAAGGATCAGCACACTTCTGGTTGATACAGGCCAGTTGACTGCTGCAGTCTGAGCTGGTGACACATTCTGGTCGGCAGTTCGGTGGACGTCCTATATAGGTTTCGAGACAGGAACAAGCGGGCGCATCGCCAATGGTACGACATTGAGCGTAGGGGCCACAGGGCGATGGCTGGCATGGATCAGTTGGCTGAATGTCACGTACAGGTTCAACTAAGGATGGCTTATTATAGAAGTGTTTTTCAAAGATTTCTTAGAAAATGCCCTTACTTTGGGGTTGACAACGTATGAAGGGATTGCCGGTGAAGCGGGTCGGACAGGTGCAGAAGGGACTGTGATTGACAACATCACAGTTGGCGCCCACCCCGCAAGTACCAGGACATGGGTCTCCACAATGCTGATTGAGACACGCTTGGGTAGGCGCACATTCGGCATTAGAGGTACATTCGGGCCTACAGGTGGGCGGTGCACCAATGTAGCTTGGCAAACAGGAGCACACAGCTTGCTGGTTGACTTCGCGGCACTGAGAGTTTGGACCACAGGGCGACGGCTGGCAAGGATTGGTGGTGATAACATTTTCTGTAGACAAATGTCGAATATTAGTAAGGAAGACAGAAATAGATCTCCACATCGACGTACTCGGAACGGGCGTGCATCGTATAAAGGCGCTGCCAGCGGTACCATCAGGGCACCTGCACATGGGTATGTGATTAATGACATCGCAAATGGCATTCTCGCCACAAGTGCCCGGGCATGGATTAGAGCATTTGTTGCGCAGACAGGCCTTGTCACGCGGACATTCAGAGTTAAGCACACATTCCGGACGGCAACCGGTATAGGGATCACCATGGAACTCGGGCAAACAATTACAGATACCGTCATTGCAATGGGCATTTGGACCACACGGCGAAGGTTGACAACGGTCAACATATTCGTCTAGAGATTATAACCAGTTAGAGATACTTGACCTTTGGTATTTGAATGGGAAACTCACTTAGCACGGGCTCTGGTGGTGCCAGACGACAACTGCTAAACGGATCACCTGTATAGCCTAAAGGACAAGTACATATCGGTGTGTGACTGATGACACTGCATTCCGCTCCAAAGCCGCAAGACCCAGGGCAGGGATCTATACACTTTTCGCGTATACACGCCATGTTCGAGGCGCACTCTGCACTAATAGTACACTCTGGTCGGCAGTTTGGCGGTGTGCCTATGTATCCTAGTAGACATGTGCAGGATGGAACGCCTTGTACATTGCGGCACTGGCTATTAAGGCCACAGGGCGTCGGCACACAAGGATCACGTTCAACACGGTCAATGGCCGGGGTGGGTGCTGAGTTGGGAAAATCAATATCGCTATGATATACTCTACTTGGAATAGGATTAGTTTGCTTACGTGGCAGCGTATAACAACGAGTAAAAGGATCGCCCGTAAAACCGCGACGACACAGACAAAGCGGACTGTGATTATGAACGCGGCACTCGGCATTGATGCCGCATGTGCCCGGACAAGGATCCTGACAGCGTTGATTCACGCATGCTTTTTCGGTGGGGCACTCAGTGCTCAGCACACACTCGGGTCGACAGCTCGGTGGTAAACCGATGTAAAGCTCGAGACAGGAGCAAACCGCTTGGCCATTTAGCTCGCGGCATTGGGAATTGGGACCACATGGTGAGGGACGACAGGGTTGAGTGGGTTCGGCGAGACGTATAGCTGTAAAGGGTATCTTGTAGTTGTTGTTCAGGTGCTGAGTTTGGTGGGGCTTACGTTGAACTGGTTCCACATGGCAGTAACGATACGGATCACCAGTGTAACCGCTGCGACATGTGCACGTTGGAAGGTGGTTCGTTACCCGGCAGTCGGCATTTGTGCCACAGGTGCCAGGGCAGGGATCGCGACACTGCTGCTGTTGACACGCCTTATTCGATGGACAGTCGGAATTACGTACGCATTCAGGTCGACACGACTGATAGGGATCGCCAAAGTAATCGGGAAGGCACTGACAAGAGCCAATACCATTGCGCTCACGACAGACGGCGTTCGATCCACAAGGATTTGGCTCGCAGGGTGTGACCTGTTCATTTACTATCCGTTCTGTTCTCGGGAAAGATTGTTGCAGAGAGAGAGAGAGGTTGGAAGAGAAGAGAGTTTTGGCAAAAACTTTAATAGTTGTTCCTTAGTATTTCAATTTTAGTACCAACGAACACACCTGGCAGTGTCTTTAGCTTAAGCATTTTGCAATTTATTAGTCCAATCGGGGTTTTGGTTTTTGGCGGTGGGATTAGAGCACGGATTAGGTGTTGGTTTTCTTCAATTAATATTTTTAAGTTTTCACTTAAAGTGCTTTCGGCGCGTTAAGTTTAGTTTTTAGTGTTGTTAAACGCTGTGCGTTGCGTATTGTGGTGCAGTGCGCAGTGTTCTTGTGCAGTGTTGCATAACGTAAAATGCATTTTTTGTTTTCATACGTGGCATGACGTAATTAAAACAAGTGTTTCGTGTCATCTTATATCAATCGATTTATTGCATTTGTTAATTAAATTAAATATTTGGCACTACAGAGTTATAGATCTAAGTACTAATTCGTAATATAACTAATTGCTAATAATCATTATGCGCTTATTAGTTTCATGTTGTTTTTGGAATTGTTTATAGTCCTTTGGCGAACCGTTGTTACAATTAAGGTAAAAAAGGCAAAACACTTTGGTCGATAGCAACGCAGTACTCAATTTGGGAGATTTTTTTTGGTATTTTTAGAGTTTCCAATTGGGGTTAGGGTACAAAATTCGGAGGTTAGGTTGCGGATTTTAACGATTTTGGGCCAAGCAAAATAAATAAGTAAAAGCATTTCATGGGTTCAAAATTGAATCGCACAACTGGATCAAAATATTACTTTCCAAAGCATTAAAACAACAAAGTCAAGGGTTAGGTCTGCTCAAGGCGGTCGACTGAGGCAGATATATATAAGGCAACAAAAAGGCGAGGCAAGTTTGCATATTGTATTCAGGCGTTAAGGGCGTTTAAAAGCAAATATAATAAATTTCAAAATATAATCTTAAATTAATTAAATACGTTGGCTACTGCCGCACACAAACACTTCTAAAGCCAGCAACAGTTCAGACAACTCGTACAGAACTGTGTAGATTTAAATTTGCATTTTGCTCAAGTGTTGATAAACAGGTGGAATACTTTGAATATTTTGAAAACACTTATTTTGCAATGCATTGTGCGTGTGTGTGCGATAGCCAAAAATTGTAATGTAAATTCGTGTAAATTTTTTGTGTACATATCTCAATAACTAAGCGCATAAGAACAAGTTGGGGGTGTGTGAAGTGATTCGGTGCACGTTGGGTGAAATACACATAAGTAGTGCTAAAACATATAAAAATCGAGACTGCTCGATGCATGAGCTAGAACTATTCCTTACATATCGTACGTCAATTTATAGAAGCTTAATATTAGAAATATATTTTCGCAGATCAATTGAAAATTTTAAGAGAAACAAAAATCAGACGAAGCTACATATGTTATCCATTTAATGCCTATTTTAGTTTGGTATTGATATTTGATATTCTTTAGATACCTCTTACTTCCTAAATTCTTTTGATCATATAGGCGGACAGAAATAAGGACTGACGGACAAATTATATTTATATTATGGGCTCTGTAAAATTCTTTTATTTTATTTAAACAAAAACTGTCAGTGTAATTCAAACAACTCCAAGTGCATCACTAAACATAACAAAAACACCATTGTAAATAATTCGAATGCGCATTTAACGAATGTGAAACTGATGGGTCGTATGGGTATAATATGTATCACTTGAGATCAGGGGAGATTTATAATAACAATATTTATATAATAAGATACGATTTGTTTTAAGAAGCACTGGGTGTCAGTTTCACATTCAGATTTCTCTATTAAGGCGTAAACAGTTGCGAATACATGTAATTGCAGTGATTCTTCAGTAAAGCTGTGACTATTAAGCGGATATACAAGTAGGTGGGCGATGGACGTCCATTAAAGCAACCAAAACCAAGCAAGTTTACGCCTTGACCTAACAACTATATTGTGTGTGTAATAAATGAAAACGGTTTCCTACCTTGTTCCGGTTGGCAGCCCGTGAAAGGATCTCCAGTGTAGCCCACATCGCATGTGCAAATGGGTTGATGATTGGCCACGTTGCAGCGGGCATTAAATCCGCAGGCGCCCACACAAGGGTCGGCACACTTCTGCCGTATACATGCTTTAGTGGGTGAACATTCTGGGTTGATGGTGCACTCGGGTCGGCAGTTGGGCGGAGTGCCAATAAATGTAGCTGCGCACGAGCAAGCTGGATTTCCATTCAGCTCTTTGCACTCCGAATTCGGTCCACATGGTGATGGTACGCAAGGATTGCTTGGACCCACTGGCGTGGGCTTGCGTTCTTCCTGGTAGCAGCGAGTGAATGGATCACCGGTATAGCCCGTATTGCAAGAGCAAGATGGATTATGATTAATCACTTGACAGCGCGCAAACTGACCGCAAGCTCCTGGACAGGGATCAACGCACTTCTTCTGTATGCAAGCTGTTTGCAGCGAACACTCTGAGCTAACAATGCACTCGGGCTTGCACGCTGGTGGTGAGCCCAACATGCCTGGCTGGCAGGCACAGACAGCACCCTGGGCGGAGACATGGCATAAGCTATTAGGTCCACACGGATTTGGTTGGCATGGATCCTTGGCCACAGGGGTCTCTTGGCGACAGTGGACAAATGGATCGCCCGTGTACCCTTGCAAACAGCTACATATAGGTATGTGATTTGAGACATCACATTGTGAGTTCTGGCCACAGGTGCCGGGGCATGGATCGACGCATTTCTTGTTCAGGCAAGCTTTGTTTGGTGAGCAATCGGTGCTGAGTGTGCATTCTGGACGACAGCCGCTATAGGGATCACCCTGGTATTCAGGCAGGCAGTTGCAAATTCCGTTGCGGCATTCGGCGTTGGCACCGCATAGCTGCAGGTCACATGGATCCTGTGATGTAATTTGTGGTTCCGTTGTTTTTTCAACAATCTCAACACATTGCACAAACGGATCGCCAGTAAAGCCACCGCGGCACGTGCATATAGCCAGATGATTTTGTATCCGGCACTCGGAGTTAATGCCGCAGGAGCCTTCACAGGGATTGCGGCACTTTTCTGCAATGCAGGCACGGTCTGAGGCGCAATCTGTGTTCACAATGCACTCTGGGCGGCAGTTTGGAGGTGCTCCAATGTAGTTTGGTAGACAGGAGCAGGATGCCTGGTCGCCGCGCACACGGCACTCCGAATAGAGGCCACAGGGTGAAGGCTGGCATGGATTCTTTTCCTTGGGGGTGTCCTTGGGCTCGGCAACTTCGGGTGCTGGATAACATCGAGCGAACGGATCACCAGTCATGTCTTGCGGACAACTGCAGATGGGATTGTGGTTGATCACCTCACACTTGGCATTGGTGCCGCAAGTGCCGGCGCACGGATTGGCGCAGCGGAACTTATGGCACGCCTTATTCTGTGGACACTCGGCATTTACTGTACACTCCGGTTTACAATTGGGCGGTGCGCCAATGAATGTCTCCAAACAGGAACATACGGCTAAGCCATTGGACAAACGGCACTTGCTGTTAGGGCCGCATGGCGAAGGGCTGCACGGGTCACCGACTGGTGCTGGTATCGTTGGTTCGACGCGTCGACAATTGGAGAACGGATCGCCAGTGTATCCATCGTTGCAAACGCAATTTGGCACATGGTTGAGCGCATAGCATTGAGCATTTGAACCGCAAATGCCGGGGCAGGGATCTTGACATTTATTCCTTATGCAAGCCTTATCCGTGGGACAGTCTGAGCTAAGCACGCACTCTGGACGACAGCCATCATAGGGATTGCCCTGATACTCGTCAATACACTTGCAGGCTGCGGCGCCATTGCGCTCGATGCATTCGGCATTGGCACCACATGGTGAAGGCTCACATGGCTTGGGCTGCTCCTCACGCTGCAACACGCACTGTACAAAAGCATTGCCGGCATAGCCAGGCGGGCATGAGCAGGAAACGGAGTGGCTGATAACGCGGCACTCGGAATTAGTGCCACAGGAGCCTGGACAGGGATCGCGACACTTGTTGTTTATGCAGGCCTGTGTGGAGGGGCAATCTGGATTGATGATGCATTCTACACGGCAGTTGGGGGGCGATCCAAAATACTCGGGCAGACATTGGCAAACAGGTCCCTTATCATCGGCTTTACATATTGAGTTGGGTCCGCAGGGGGATGGCACGCATGGATCGCTTGGAGGTTGCTCTTGATCTACGTCCTTTGGCGTGGGTATTTCAGTGCAGCCCTTGAACGGATCACCAGTTGTGCCCGGTGGACAGCCACATATGGGACTGTGATTGATAACCTCACAGCGTGCTTCAATGCCACATGCTCCAGCGCAGGGATCCACGCACTTCCGGTTGACACACGCTTGCACTGCTGAGCACTCGCTAGACACGACGCATTCAGGTCGGCATTGAGGTGGTGCTCCAATGAAGCCTTCCAGGCATGAGCAGACCGCATGTCCATTAACATCGCGACACTGACTATTAGCACCACAGGGTGAGGGCGAGCAGGCCTTGATCTCAGGCGTAGTTTCAATCGTTTTTGGACGGCAGTTGGTGAACGGATCACCCTCATAGCCTTGTTGGCAGGAGCAGACGGGTATGTGATTCATAACCTCGCAGACAGCATTATTGCCGCAGGTTCCTGGGCAGGGATCCGTGCATTTGTTGCGCATGCAAGCCTTATCCCGGGAACAATCCGCAGACAATGTGCATTCGGGGCGACAACCCTCGTAGGGATTACCTTGATAGTTGTTCTGACAGCGACACTCACCGCCGAAGCAGTCGGCATTCGGTCCGCAGGGGTTGGGACTGCATGGATCATCGGGTCGCGGTACAACCTTTACCTCTGGCAGCTTACTGCAGCGTACAAACGGATCACCAGTGAAGCCGTCTATGCAGTTGCAAATTGGCAGATGGTTAAGTACATGACATTTGGCCTCAAATCCACAGGAGCCGGGGCAAGGGTCGCGACACTTCTGATTGATGCACGCCTCAGTGGATCCACATTCCGAGTTCAGCACACACTCAGGTCGACAACGCGGTGGAGCGCCAATAAAGTCTGGCAGGCAAGAGCAGGCCGGACTACCGCCAGCAATTTGGCACTTAGAGTTAGGGCCGCAAGGTGACGGCACACAGGAAGGTTTAGGCGGTTCAGGTGTGGTCACATCGTGCGTAATCGCTGCAAAGGATCAATTGTTAGTTTTAAGAATTTTCATCGGATTCCGTTAAATACTTACGTATCTTGGAACATTGCACGAAGGGATCACCAGTCATACCGCGTGGACATGTGCAAATAGGGCTGTGGTTTTTGGTGCTGCAGATGGCACGTATTCCGCATGTGTGGAGGCAGGGATCTACGCACTTATTGTTCACACAGGCACGCTCTGAGGCGCATTCTGCGCTGACAACGCACTCGGGTCGGCAGTTTGGTGGTTGGCTGATAAAGCCTGACTGGCAAGAGCAGACCGCTTGGTTGTTGATACTGCGGCAATTGCTGTTCGGTCCGCAAGGCGATGGCACGCAGGGATTTACTGGTGGCGGAGGTGTAACCGGTATCGGTCGACAGCTAAAGAACGGATCACCGCTATAGCCCGCCGGGCAATTGCAGGTGGGCACATGGTTATCTACGGTACATATGGCATACTCTCCGCACATGTTAGCGCACGGATCAATGCACTTAAAGCGCACGCACGCCAGTGCTAGACTACAGTCATCGTTGGTTTCGCATTCGCGACGGCACCCTCGCTGAGCATCGTAGGGATTGCCCTCGAAGCCATCGTGACAGTAGCAGGCGCCGGCACCATTGTGTTCTCGGCACTCTGCGTGTGGACCACAGGGCGAGGGCTCGCAGGGTGATGTGGGCGGTTGAGTAGGCAGTACTGGCGCCATGAGCTGACAACCGAAAAGAGGATCACCCTCGTAGCCATCGGCGCAGGAGCAAACCGCATTGTGTTGGACAACCTGACAGACGGCGTTGTTGCCGCATGAGCCGGGACAAGGATCAATGCAGCGTTCCTGTTGGCAAGACAGATGATTTTGACATTCATCGTTGTTGGTGCACTCTGGTCGACAGCTGGGCGGACGTCCAATATAGTTAGCCTGGCAGGAGCAGGCTGCCTGCTGTCCAATCTCACGGCAAATTGAGTTCGGACCACAAGGTGAGGGTACACACGGATTCTCGGTACTTTTGCCCACATCTGTTACACAGCCCGAGATTGGGTCACCGGTCATGCCTGGCACGCAGCTGCAGATGGGATTGTGGTTAACCACTTGGCACTTGGCATTATCTCCGCAAGCACCACGACAGGGATCGGCGCATTTCTGATTGATACAGGCACGATTTTGTGCGCACTCCGAGCTGGCCACACATTCGGGCTTACAGCTGGGTGGTGCTCCAATGTAACCTTCCAGACAGTTGCATACCGCATGGCTGTTAGTTTCATGACACTGACTATTGGGTCCACATGGTGAGGGCTGGCAAGGATTCTCCGGACGCCGGGTTACGACTTCAGTAAGTGCGCACGAACGGTGTGGATCGCCTGTGTAACCATCGAAGCACATGCAATTGGGTGCATGGTTTAATACGCGACATTCAGCATTGATGCCACAGGCACCGGGACAGGGATCCTGGCATTTGTTGTTGATGCAGGCACGTGAACGATCGCAATCGGCATTTTGTACACATTCCGGTCGACAACCACTGTACGGATCACCAAAGTACTCAGGCAAGCATGCGCAAGAGCCGGCGCCGTTGCGTTCACGACAGATAGCATTGGCACCGCATGGGCTTGGATTACATGGATTACGAGGAGCTTCCGTTGGCGTGACTGTAGTAAGTAAATGTGCAGGAGAAAATAATGCAAATATATATTAGAGATATGAGATGCATAAAGACTAGAATGATTTATACTTTGTTGTATAACAGCACAGCCTGAGAAGGGATCTCCGGTGTAACCAGGCTCGCATTGGCAGTTCGGATTATGCTTGATAACGGTACATTGTGAGTGTATCCCGCATGCACCGATACATGGGCTAGCACAGCGCTGATTAACACAGGCCAAGTTGGCTGGACAATCGGGACTAGACATGCACTCGGGTCGGCAGTTGGGAGGCCGTCCGAGATAGTCGGGTAGGCAGGAGCATGCAGGTGAACCGCGCACATCGACGCATTTGGAGTTTGGTCCGCAGGGTGAGGGCACACAGGGATTACCAGATTCTTTGGGTGCTGGTTCCACTACATAGCCAAGCCAAGCCAGACATGCCAGATAGTTGAAGTAGGTGGATACACAAACACATTTACACATATACATAGTATAGTTGGGAAATTCAGATAGTGTAGAGTAATTGGTAGAGTGTACATAAAATCAAAACATAAATTAGAAAAAATAAAGAACATTAAAGTGAAGGATTTATATACATGCAGGAAGGAAATAGATAGCCTCCGCCAGCTGGACAGGATTATACATAAATTCAACTCCAACCCTCTTCCTCTCTGTCCAACTGGCATCAGTTTGTGCTACTCATGCTTACGTAGAACGCGAGTGCATCGATTGAAGGGGTCTCCAGTATAACCTGGGGCACAGGAACATGCAGGATAGTGGTTAATAACCTGGCAACGCGCTTCAATGCCGCAAGTGCCTGGGCATGGATCAACGCACTTCTGATTCTGACAGTTAAGATCTTGTGCGCAATCCGAGCTAACAATGCATTCGGGCCTACAGTTGGGCGCAGAGCCAATCATACCGGGCTGACAGGAGCAGACGGCATGGTTGTTTATTTCGCGACATTGACTGTACGGACCGCAGGGTGAAGGCACGCAGGGATTTTCATTGATTATAGCTAGGAATGGTAAAGGGAAAGATGTCAGTTGTGTGCAAGATCCTTGGTTGGTTTGTAAACCTACGTGGTTCAGGTAGTTGTGGTATTTCGCGACATGCACTCGATGGGTTTCCAGTATAACCAGCTAAGCAGAGACAGCTGGGCAAGTGATTAGACACGCGACACTCTGCGTTTAAGCCACAAACACCCGGACAAGGGTCCACGCATTTCTGATTGATGCAAGATCTTTCACGTGAGCAGTCGCTGTTTACCACGCACTCTGGACGGCAGCCGCTATACGGATCACCAAAATATTCTGGTAGGCACGTACAGGAGCCAGCCCCATTACGTTCCCGACACTCGGCATTCGGACCGCAAGGCGAAGGTGAGCAGGGTGTTAGACGTTCTTCAGGCGTGGCAATAGCTAAGGGTCAAACATAGCAGGTAGAAATTAGATCTTCTCTTAGGGAGCACTGGACGGAGCTATAGGCTTACGTTGCGGATTGCAGCCAGCAAATGGATCGCCAGAGTAGCCGCTTTCGCAGGTGCAAACGGGTGAGTGATTGACCACGTTGCAAAAAGCATTAAAGCCGCACGAGCCGGGACATGGATCCTTGCAACGCTCGTTGATACAAGCCAGATTACTGGGGCATTCCGAGTTTTGTGTGCATTCCGGGCGACAATTTGGTGCACGTCCAATATAGTTGGGCAGGCATGAACATACGCCAGTTTCGCCAACCACGCGACATTGCGAGTTTGGACCGCAGGGACTTGGTACGCAAGGATTCTCATTGGATTTGGGAGCTTCGGGCTCTTGCTGCCAGGGTGCGCAACGCACAAACGGATCGCCACTATAGCCAGCTGGGCAGGAGCAAATGGGATTGTGATTGGTCACCTTACAAACGGCTTCATTACCGCAAGTGCCTGGACATGGGTCTACACAGCGCAGATTGATGCACGCCTTATCTTGCGAGCACTCAGAGCTAACCGAGCACTCGGGACGACAGGCAGGCGGCGCACCAATATAGTTAGTAATGCACGAGCAGACTGCATGTCCATTCACCTCGCGGCACTGGCTATAGGGACCGCATGGTGATGGTTGACATGGTTGCACAGGTGGCGCCACTACAAAATTGGGATGAAATATTACTAGACCGATTTTAGCCGTTTTTTTTAAGAAGTACTCTACATTTGGGTATTTCACGGCAGTACTGTGACGGATTGCCCGTATAACCGGATGGACAACTACAGCTGGGCGAGTGATTGATGACGTGACACTCGGCGGCAATGCCGCATACGCCTGGACAGGGATCTCGGCACTTGTTGTTAAGGCAGGCACGATTTTTAGAACAGTCGCTGTTGAGCACACACTCCGGGCGGCACTCTGTGTATGGATCGCCACTATATTCAGGTAGGCAGGTGCAGGAGCCGACGCCGTTCCGTTCTTTACAAAGAGCATTGACACCACAAGGACTGGGATTACAGGGCTCGGCAATTTCGGGTGGTACAATAACTGGGAAAAATGCAAAGATTTAACATAGGGAATTGGGTCTTCACAGAGCTTTAAACTCTTACTTTGTGGACTACACTCAGAGAATGGATCGCCGATGTAGCCATCGAGGCAACGGCAAATTGGTCTATGATTATTTACAAGGCAGGTTGTTTGAATGCCACAGGTGCCCACGCAGGGGTCCTGGCAGCGTAGATTGATGCAGGCTAAGTTGCCAGCACACTCGGAGTTCGAGGTACACTCGGGCCGACAATTTGGCGCCCTACCCACATAATGTTGCAAGCATGAGCAGACGGGCTGCTCATTAGCCGCCGACACCCTACACTGCGAGTTGGGTCCGCATGGTGAAGGCACACACGGGTCGATGCGATTGCTTACGATGGGGCGTTCTACATTTACCAATACACCATATATGATAACAGCATGCACCAAAAAAGCCATATAAAATTGTACATAAAGGAAAGAAAGATATATATATATATTGTATGGTTGATAGATATGATTTTTGGCATGGGATGAAATGAGGCAAGCGAGCCGAAGCAAGCTTGTATTTTATGAATGGATGTAACGATGTTTTCTTACTTTCTTCGAGTAGACAGCGTACGAAAGGATCACCACTGTAGCCAGGGCTGCAGGAGCAAATGGGATTGTGATTTACGACGCGACAGAGCGCATTGTTGCCGCATGTGCCGGGGCAAGGATCTTTGCAGCGCTCGTTAATGCAGGACTTGTCCTGGCTGCATTCCGAACTGCTCATGCATTCGGGCCGGCAGTTAGGTGGTGCGCCCACATAATTTGGAATGCATGAGCAGACTGCATGACCGTTGAGTGCGCGGCAGTTGCTATATAAGCCGCATGGTGAGGGTTGACATGGATTTTCGGGCACAATAGGATCGGGATCTAGACACATTAAAGAGTGTGCTATTAATTGGGATTGGTTTAAACGTGCTTCTATCTAGTAGGTCAGTCTTACAGCGTGGCGATTCGGGTATTAAATGGCAGCCCACTATGGGATTTCCTGTATAGCCTGGCAGGCATTCGCAGTTGGGCGCGTGATTAAATACGGCACATAGCGCTCTATGGCCGCACATACCAGGACATGGATCGACGCACTTCTGGTTGACACAGGCACGTGTTTTGGGGCAATCCGAGTTGATTACACACTCGGGTCGGCATTCGACGTACGGATCGCCAAAGTATTCTGGCAAACATTTGCAGGCTGCGGCTTGATTACGCTCTTCACATAGAGCGTTCAGACCACAAGGGCTGGGTCGACAGGGTTGTGTGGTTTCTACGGGTGCTGTGTAGTTAACAGACAACATGATTGAGTGCATTGACATAAAAGGTTCGGGAAGAGTGAGTTTAAAGAACGGGACCTACTTTCTAAGATCTTGTAGCAGCCGGAAAATGGATCTCCTGTGTAGCCTTGCTGGCACATGCACACGGGCGCGTGGAAGCTGACATGGCAGACCGCGTTATTGCCACAGGAGCCAATGCATGGATCGGCGCAGCGTGCATTCATGCAGGCCATACGAGCCGGGCACTCAGAATTAATGCTGCATTCGGGCCGGCAAGCAGGAGGACGTCCTATGTAGTTGTTGAGGCAGGCGCAGACGGCACCGCTACTTGCGACTTGGCACTGTGAGTTAGGGCCGCAGGGCGAAGGCACGCAGGGATTAACTGGTTGTATGGGATCGGGTATGGGTGCTGGTTCTACAATCATGGCAAGGTTGAATTATTTAAATTGATGCTGTCTAACAAGGGGGGACTATGGAAGACATACTTTGCTCGGGCACGCACTGATGGAATGGATCACCAGTATAACCATCAAAGCAGCTGCAGATGGGCGAATGATTCGTCGTCCGACAGCGCGCATTGTAGCCACAGGTGCCGGGGCAGGGATCGCGGCATCTCTGATTAATGCAGGCCCTATCTGAGGTACACTCTGCACTTGTCAAACACTCCGGCTTGCAGTTGGGTGGATTGCCCATATAATCTGGCAAGCAAGCGCAGACTGGACGACTCCCAACAACATGACAGGTGCTAAAGAGGCCGCAGGGGGACGGTCTGCATGGATCTTTGGGCAGTGGCAGGTACATATCTACAATCAGGCATGTGGGATCATAGTTTAATCAGAGACTCTATATCGCTCAATTGGGAGTGCATACTTGTGGGTCGCTCCACGCAGGCGCGTAATGGATTTCCTGTGAAACCTGGCTCACAACTGCACACGGGTTGATGATGAGCAACGCGACAAACCGCATTAAAACCGCACGCATTCGCGCAGGGATCGCGACACTTCATATTGATGCAAGCCTTGCTACCGGGACAGTCGCTGTTTTGCACACACTCGGGTTGGCAATTTATGTATGGATCACCAAAATAATTTTGAATGCAGCTGCATGAGCCAGCACCGTTGCGTTCGCGACAAATGGCATTTGCACCACATGGCGATGGATAGCATGGATCAGTGGGTACATCGAGCACCACAACTGGTATAAACATGGACATAGGCATAGGAATAGCAAGCAGGTCGATGATGAATATAATAAATTAAAGATATAGATAAATATACAGAATAGGCTTACAAGCTAGACATTGACATACATAACAAATAGCTAAAAATTATCTTGTCGAGAGTGTTGAACTGAAAATAATACCCTGTACCGAGGTCTACGAATTTAATCTATACTTAAAAAAATGCAACATATTAATAATATATTGCATTTTTTTTTTAATAACCATTTCAAAGAATCTTTATCATATGATGTATGCTTTGAATTTTCATTTAAAAAAACTTCTATCAGCATGCATGATACATTTTTGATTCTTTGTCATAAGCGCATTCAAATCTCTCAAATTCTTTATAGCATTGAAAATGACTAGTAGTGCTTCTAAGTTTCATTTGCGCAACTCTTCGTGGGTACAAGGTAAAGGTAGATGATAGAGTGATGAAAGGATATGTACACAATACAAAGAACATGCATGAAATGAGAACCATAAGCCCTTAGTCTATAATACCACTGAAAAAAACATTTAACATTAACCAGGCAAATAGGCGGTTGAGGTGCATCACAGTTATGCAACTGACCGCGTTGACGAGATTGCAAATGGTCAAATAAGATGTACTCACTTTGATGCATGTTGCAACCCGTGTACGGATCACCTTCGTAACCTTCAAGACAACTGCACTTGGGCTGATGATGCTGTGTATTACACAATGCATTGAAGCCACAAGTGCCAATGCAGGGATCTTCGCAGCGCTGGCGTATGCAGGCGCGATTCGAAGGGCAGTCCTGGTTAATAACGCATTCGGGTCGGCAGCTGGGTGGTGCACCGAACATGCCCTCCAAGCAAGAGCACTCTGCACGATTGTTCACATCGCGGCACATGGCATTTGGCCCACAGGGATTGGGTAGGCAGGGATTGACAGCGGGTCGTGATTCAGGCGCTGAAGTAAGAATCAAAAGTTGAGAAAAAGTTGACTTATTTGTTTTGTTGCCGTTACTTACGTTTAGGAACACATTGTTCGAATGGATCTCCTACATATTCACTTGGGCAAGTACAGATGGGATTGTGATTGTTCACTTGACACTTGGCATTGAAGCCGCATGTGCCACTGCATGGATCGGCGCACTTTTGATTAATACATGCCAAATGCTGAGCACACTCTGAGCTAACTACACACTCTGGGCGGCATGTGGGTGGTGCGCCAAAGTAACCAACCTGACAGCTGCATGTTGGATGACCCTCAACTGTGCGGCATATACTATTCGGTCCACAAGGATTGGGCTCACACACGCTGATGGGTCCAATGGAAGTGCGTTTGCAGCCTACGAAGGGATCGCCCTCGAAGCCACGCGTGCAACTGCAAGTGGGTAAATGGTTGATCACTCCGCACTCGGCATTGGGACCGCATGCGCCAGTGCAAGGATTTCGGCAGTGCTGCTTAATGCAGGCCAATGACGATGGACATTCCGAATTGTATATACATTCTGGTCGACAGCCGGTGTTGTATGGATCCCCGAAATAGGGCTCAATGCAGCTGCACCGAGCGGCGTCATTATGCGGTGTGCACACTGCATTCTCTGCGCACGGATTTGGATAACAGGGATTGATGTGATCGTGTGGTTCTGTGGTAGATTAATAAAGATAGTAACGTATATCCATTCAAAATACAATTTTCAACTTACTCTGTTCTATGACCTTTGAGCAGCCCACGAAGGCGTCGCCCTCGTATCCTGCGTCGCAGCTGCAATGAGCTGAGTGCGCAACTACCGTGCAGCGGGCATTGTGTCCACAAGTGTTCGCGCATGGATTCTGACATTTTTCCTGTATGCATGCCTTATCGGTGGGGCATTCACTGCTTAGCGTGCACTCGGGTCGGCAGTAAGGGGGACTGCCTATATAATTGGCAACACACGAGCACACTGGTCGATTCTGTTTGATCTGGCATATGGAGTTGGGACCGCACGGCGATGGTACGCAAGGATTTGCTGGTGATTTGCCATCTGGTGGCGGTTCAGGCACGCGCGAGCAAGACACGAATGGATCACCCTCAAACAGTGCCTCACATGAGCAAATCGGATTGTGATTCAGAACCTCACACCGCGCACCAATGCCGCAAGTACCTGGGCAAGGATCGGCGCAGCGTTGATTGATGCACGCCTGGTTGGGCGCACACTCTGTGCTAACAACGCACTCTGGCTGGCAAACTGGTGGAGCACCCTTGAAATTGGGTAGACAGGAGCAAGCGGCATAACCGTCAGCTGAAGCCAAGCAACGCGAGTTCGGGCCACAAGGCGAGGGCTCGCACGGATTACGACGATCGGTAGGCGGTGACACTGGCGGCAAGTAATAAGGATTGCATGCCACGAAAGCATCACCACTGTAACCCTCGGCGCACACACAAACTGGTGCATGGTTAACGACACGACACACGGCATTGACGCCACAGACACCGACACAAGCGTCCACACACTTGGAATTCACACAAGATTTGTCCGCAGAACAGTCACTGTTGAGCACGCATTCCGGTCGACAGCCAAAGTAGGGATTCCCAAAGTAACCCTTGCGGCAGACGCATGCCAAACCTCCACTCTGGCGTTTGCAATCGGCATTGGGTCCGCACTGCAGCTTAGCACAGCTAGCCGAAGGTGTTGGTACAATTGGCGAGGGTGGTGCACATTGTTCGTAGGGATTGCCATAGAGTCCGTTAGGGCAAGCACATACTGGGTTATGCTCGTACACGTTGCAAATAGCGTTGCGTCCACAGGAGCCGGGGCAGGGATCCAAACAACGTTGACCCAAGCATGCACGATCAAAGGGACAGTCGGAGTTTGCAATACATTCTGGTCTACAGCGCGGATTCTGCTGGGCATTGGGTCCAAAGCAAGGATCACATAGTGCTACACCATCGCCAAATACGGAGCATACATCATTTGGTCCACAAGGGGAAGGTGCACAAGGATCACGTGAGATGTTCTTCAAAATGCCAACAGGCACACACTGGAGGAAGGCATCTCCAGCGAAGCCATCGAGACAATGGCAAACAGGTGTATGCTGACGCACATTGCAAATAGCATTAATACCGCAGATGGTGCCAGCACAAGGATCCACGCACTTGTGATTTATGCAGGATTGTAACTCTCCGCAGTCCGAGTTAATATCGCATTCCGGCTTACAGCCGGCCTGAGGATCGCCCAGATATCCAGGTAGGCATGAGCAGACAGCGCGGTTATTTAGCAATTTGCACTCGCTGTTCAAACCGCATGGACTAGGCACACAGGGGTTGGCCTTTGGTAAATCCAACGCAAAGCAGCGCACGCCAGGATTGCCGGTTAAGCCAGCATTGCAAGAACAAACGGGATGATGTTGTTCCACGCGGCAATTGGCCCCTTGGCCGCAGGCACCAGGGCAGGGATCGTAGCAACGGAAGCCCATACAAGCCTTGTTCTGAGGACAGTCGGCATCCACTTGACATTCGTAGCCATGGCAGCCGGCGACGGATGTCGGATCGCCAGACAGACCTTCAGGGCACACACAAGCTGTTTGACCATCACCAGCAACAACGCAGTTGGCATTGGGTCCGCAGGGATTGGGATCACACACAGTGCGACTTGGTTCCGTACAGCCCTGGTATGCATCTCCAACGTAGCCCGAACGGCAGAAGCATTCCTCTCGATTTCCGGCCACATAGCAGTCAGCATTGCGACCACATGGACCGGGCTGACACAGTTCAACAGAGACCGCTGGCTTCTCGCAAATTCTGAAAGGATTTCCAATCTTGTTGTCCGGACAGTAGCAGACAGGCTGGCGGGATGAGTCGCAGATGGCACCTGTGCCACAAGGATTAGGTTCACAGGGATTGATTGGCTCCACGCAGCCGCGTATGGTGTTGGGACTCTCCACATAGCCTGGGAGGCAGGTGCATTTGGAGAATCCATTGCTCAGCACTGCACACTGCGTATTGGGCCCGCACGGCGAGGGTTCGCATGGATTCGAGGGCAACTCACAAGCTATGAGTGGAGGTTGACCTTCATATTCAGGCAAACAGAAGCAAACCGGAGCACCGTTGACGCGCCGACAGCCGGAGTTGGGACCACAAGGATTGGGTATGCATTCATCGCCCTCAGGAACTGCGATTAAGCGATGGCTTACATTTGTATTTAATTAAAAAACTCAAGAGATACTTACTGCAATTCTTGAACGGATTACCCGTAAGTCCTTTGGGGCAGAAGCATATGGGATTTCCGTTGTCCAACTCACACTGCGCATTCACACCGCATGGGTTGGGGTCGCATGGATTCTGCGGTGGACTGCAACCCACTTCTGGATTACCATTGTATCCAGGTGGGCACTTGCAAACGCCACGATGATTGATGACATCACACAGGGCATAGGCACCACACTGACAAGGCGATATACACTTGCCATTTATGCATGCCTGGCTGACATCACACTCGGAATTGGAGCGACAACCCTGGGATTGCTGGCACAGAACGTACGCATTGCCTAGGTATCCGGGCAAGCAGCGACAATCGATGCCATGGTTGACCGGAACACACTCGGCGTTCTCACCGCACGAATCCTCTTGGCAAGGATTAATACAGCGTCGATTAAGGCGATCGCATAGCTTATTGGGTGGACAATCCTCGTTGTATTGACAGACGTGGGTGCGTGCTATGGTTTGGGTTAAGGTTACGGTGCGGTTTGTTTCGTGTATTTATAATTCGATTCGTGTTGTTTTTGTACGTGAGTCAGGGCGGTACAATTTTATACATGTGTTGACAGGTGTACAGGGATTTTGTACAGTGTATGAAAGAGAGAGACATTTTAGGAAATTAAATATTTTGTGTCATATTAGCATTGAATATCTTGAGGAAAGCAAAAGTGCACCAAGTGCTGGTTATAGCTACTAACCTGGCTGGCAACCGACGAAACCGTTGCCCTGATAGCCGTCCAGGCAACTGCAATCAGCTGCATGATTGGCATTGATACAAACCGCGTTCTGGGCACATGGATCATGCACGTCGCAAGGGTGCTGGCAATGCTCATTGATGCAGGCTTCCGTAATTCCGCAATCTGAGTTGTCCGTACATTCCACTGTGAAAGATAAGAGACAAGATGAGTAATTGACCTTGTCAGTCTCAAAAGGCCGCACTAACTGTTCTTAGTTGTATTAAATTTGATGTATTTGATGAAATTGTTGGTTAATTAATTAGTTGCTTACTTGAAGTTTGAGTTGGCACACACTTGACCATCGGGTTGCCTTCATGACCCTGCGGACAGCTGCAAATTGGTCGGTGACTCTTCGCTGTACACTTGGCACTCGAAGCACAAATTTTGGCAAATTCGCAGGGATCGTGACACAAACCCATGTAACAGGCCTCGCTTTCAATGCAATCATTGTTTGATTGGCATGGTTCAGGTGTTTTAGGCGTGCCAGGTGGCTCTACTTGTTAGAAATTATTGATTTGGTTAACATTTTTATTACTGATGTTGATTCATTAACTTATGTTTGAAATGTAAATATGTTAGGCTTATAATTTGGAGGGTTCTCATATGTACAAGGTATGTATATCATGTATTCGTTATATTATGTGCAGAATGTAAAGCAATTATTCAATTTGATTCTTTTGCAGATGGGTTGTCATAAAGTTTTCACTGTAAGACGTAAGCTCTTATAATAATTGACTATTATAAAGAGCTGAGTCCTGAAAGGCTGTTCTAATTTATTTGCCAGAGTCGGTTCTATAGCTGTTATAATACTGATATAATTTGTAATATGTCCAAATGACGAAAGTTCTGGACATTTGTTATGGCATTTTGACCTAACTATACAAGAAAGAGTCATTAAAATGATGTATGGTTTAAGTAACTATTACATAGTTGAGATACACCAAAATATGTATTCTATGTTATATAGCAATTATAAGATTGGTGAAGTGAGTTAAAAAGGTAAAAACAATTTTGAAAACATAATAAAGCCTACATATACCAATGCAATTTGTCTGCAAAGGTATTTAAACTTCGGTGTTGGAAACTAACATATTGTAAATGTACGGAATGTGAAATGCACACTAGTCACTTTGGTACTTATACATGTGTATAGAAAATATTGAAATTTGTATATATATATTTACAAGAGGATACAAAAGGTATACAAATAAAATTAGAATATTACAACATTTTGGGTACCGAAAGTGACAGCATAGCCAATTGTATAGACGAATGTATATACCTTTGGGTTTGCAACGCCCCAGCTTACAGTGCTCGTTAGGAGCACAGTTAGTATCTACTGTACATGGGTTAATAACTGTAATATCTGTGGTGTTCGGTGTTGGCGTGGATGTTGTTGTGTACACCGTGATTAGATCGTTGATTTCCGTTGTTGTGCCTGCTCTAGTTGGTAGTTCCGTGGGCCAAGGCGTTGTGCTGGTCATAGTTGTCGTCTCTGGTATCTCATTTGAGGTATCAAGCCGAGTCGTCTTCATTTTTGGGGTTGTAGTGCGCCTGCCACCATCTTTGCTAGCCAGTGTGGTTGTTGTAATCACGGGCCTTGGTGTTGGCGTATCGGTTATATTGTTTTCACCATCCCGATAGCCTTTCGTGTGCCCCGACTTGATGGTTGTAGTCTCAATGGTGGATTTACTTGTGCTGGTTTTGTTAGTAGCACCTATGACTGTGCTCGTTTCAGTGCTAGTAGTGATGATGGTGGTGCTAGTGGTGTTACCCTTGCTTAAGGTTGGCAACATGTCATCACCAGTGTTTGGGTTAGCTGTTGTAGCTGTTGTTGTTGTTTGTGCTGTTGTTGTCGGTTTCACTGTGGTTTTCTTGGTAGTACTAGTTGTTATTGTTACATTAGCTAGGGAGAGAGACATATTTACATGGGTAAAGGGTTGTTATTTTATAATACAAATATGTACACAATATTATATTTACACTTGTTAGTGTTTAGGAGTTGCCTAGTATGATTAATGCTGTATACACCACTTAATTTTGGAAAAATCGAAAACCCGTACATACCTTTAATACAAGCACCAGTGGTGGGATCACACTTTGCGCCTGGCGGGCAGTGCTCACAGCCAGGAGTGCGACCTGTTGCTGTAATATCTAAATTTAATAACACAATCCAATTATTTGCACTAAATACCATTGTACTTACTGTCACGACAGTGACAACCATCACATTCAAAACCATTCCGACAGTCAGATTTGCGCTGACACTCGCAGGCTAAAAATCGAAAAATATAAATAAAAACATTGTTTTTATTGAATGGGACCAAAATTTGTGACAAAAACCCACCGTTGGCACAAACTGGTTGATGAGCAACAACGCGACAATCATCACTGCGACCGCATGGATTCTCATAGGCACAGGGATCCACGCAAAGCGCATTTACGCATGCTTGTTGAGTTGGGCATTCATCGCTGGAGGCACAACCGATTTCTGTTGTTGCGATTTGAGGTTCCATGGTAAAGTAAATTGTTTGCATTAATTGAGGTATAAGGTATGGCTTTCGGTTAAAACATTCGTTTAAACATGTTTAATTCATATTATCAGTGCTTATATTTTTTAAGAAACCTGTTTGATAGGTAGTTTTTCTTGACTTGTTTCAATACTGTTAGTAAATTATTATAAATCAAATATGTGTTCTTATGCTGCCACTTGAGGCACCTTCTAGCACATCTAATACTATTAAGCTTATAAGTACATAATATATAATGTTGTTACGTTTTTGTTTAGCTGCTGTTGTTGTTGTTGTTGTAGCAAAACAACATATACACATGCAGGCAAGCAAGCAAGAAAGATTTGAATATTTTGGGTTAGTGCACTTTTATAAAAGCCTTAGCATATACAACACCGATTAGTACAGCCACCAGGCATGCCATGCAATTAATTAATCATATTATATAAAGATAAGTAACTTACTGCACGCGATTATGTGAACTTTTCTATAAAGTATATTAATATATACAAACAAACATATGTACTAAATACAACAAAAATCAACACAAATTTTCTTATATAACACAAAGATGATGTGATCGCAACGCTGACATATAACATGCACATCGATCACTTTCCGTAAGGAATCAAAGGACATTCCACATTAAGTAATATGATATAGGGCTTGATGATACACGTAATTGCAGCAGGCAGGCAGGCAAACATGAAGCAGGCAACTAACATGATCGAGAACAAGAACTAGAAAGAGTGATCTCTACTTGATTGGCATTCAAACTTTGGTGAATACATTTATTACTCCATTGGCGAACACATACACAGGGTTCAAGAGCTAGTCCGATTGGTGTTTTCGTGATGGGTGATTGTGGTGAGTGCAGGCATATACATACATATACGAATAACAGCAGAGGAGCCAGTGATAAGAGCCGGGGGAAGAAGTACAAATGCAGTAGAGTTTGAAGCGTTTTGATGCCCTTCATATTGGCACACAGAAAACACTGGGATTGAATTGCTAGGGACAGAACGAAAAGAATAAAACATGCACGTGCCAGCAAACAAGTTCGGCTGGTCATTTATGGCATAAGTGGGAGGAGATATGATAAGAAGTCCATAAAAAAAGAAGAAGAAGACAATATGACATCAAATTGAAGTTGGCTGCTACGTATTGCCAGATGCATTGGCGATTAAAGTAGTTGGAGCCTCGGATGCCAATAAGATTCTTTACCGCAACCCTAGGGTTCTTTGCAACTCATTCACTTTTAAGGAACATGTGGATCGATATAAAGTCTTAACATTTACAAACACAGCTTTAGTTACCTGCATTAATAGAGCAACCGGGTTTATTTACATCTGCGTCGGTATCACAATAGCACATAGCGGTGTGGTTCAATGTACGACAAACAGAATAATTCTGAACATTACAAAGGTTTTCGTAATACTCGCAGGGTCTAATGCAGAATGCATTCAAACATATCTCATTGTCAGAACAATCGTTTGTTATGATGCAAGTTGGAAATAGTTGTGTTGTGTGTTCTTCTGTTCGAGTCATGTCTGTGGCATTTGGCTCACCAAAATAACTACGCGTACCTTCCGTTACCGGTGTCGTTTCTTGAAAACCTAAGCCTATCATAGTTGTTACTGTAACGCTCTGAGTACTTGTGCTGCGTGGATAACCCATTGATGTATAAAAGAAAGGCATCGTACTATTTGAAGGTCCTTCAGTTGTAGTCGGATAATGACTAATATTAAATTCGTCAACCAATGAAGTAATTCCGTAAGTAGGCCCCGGTGTAGTTCCCAGATCGGTCGGTGTAAATGTTATAGGTGTTTCTTTTAAGGCTGGAACTAAAGTGGAACTCTCCATAGGTATTTTTTTATTTGAAATGTTTTCTTGAGTATCTTGGGTAGTTTGTTCTGTTGAAGCTGGGGATTCTTTAGAGACAGTCGGTACAGGAGAACTTGGGAAAGTTATTTGGGTTGTTGTCGTGGTCTCAGGTGGAACTGGCGTTTGAGTAACAGCGGATAGAGTTCTTTCAGTTTGAAATGTTGTCAATGGAATTCTTTCAGTAGGATAAGTAGTCAGTCCTGGCACAGTTGTGTGCTCAGTAATTGTTGATGGCGTGGTACTTTCTCGAGATTCTGCCACCGAAGATGACGTTTGAGTAACAGCTGAAGTAATACTTTCAGTTGGTATAGTAAGTGCATAGTGCTGAGTAATTGTTGATGGAGTAGCATTTTCCCTGGATGCTGTCACTAAGGTGGAAGCCTCTGAAGGTATTCTCTCCGCTTGAGTCGTTTTTGAAGTGTCAAGAGACGTTGGTTCTGTTTGAGTTATTAGAACTGTGGATTCTTCAGAGACAGTTGGTACAGTAGTACCAGTGACAGCTGTTTGGGTAGTTGTCGTGATGTCATCTGAAGAGGAGGTTTGAGAAACAACTGATGGATATCTTTCTGTTGGAATGGTAGTCAGTCCAGGTATAGTACCATGCTGAGTAATTGTTGATGAAGAAGTAGTTTCCCTTGATGCAGTCACTAAGGTGGAAGCCTCTGAAAGTATTCTTTCCGTTTGAGTCGTTTTTGAAGTTTCAAGAGTAGTCGGTTCTGTTTGAGTTATTAGAACTGTGGATTCTTCAGAGATAGTTGGTACACTAGTACCAGTGACAGCTGTTTGGGTAGTTGTCGTAATGTCATCAGAAGAGAAGGTTTGAGAAACAACTGACGGATATCTCTCTATTGGAATGGTACTCAGTCCAGGCAGAGTACCTTGCTGAGTAATTGTTGATGGAGTCGTAGTTTCCCTGGATGCAGTCACTAAGGTGGAAGCCTCTGAAGGTATTCTTTCCGTTTGAGTCGTTTTTGAAGTTTCAAGAGTAGTCGGTTCTGTTTTAGTTATTAGAACTGTGGATTCTTCAGAGACAGTTGGTACAGTAGTACCAGTGACAGCTGTTTGGGTAGTTGTCGTGATGTCATCTGAAGAGGAGGTTTGAGAAACAACTGACGGATATCTCTCTGTTGGAATGATAGTCAGTCCAGGCATAGTACCATGCTGAGTAATTGTTGATGGAGAAGTAGTTTCCCTGGATGCAGTCACTGAGGTGGAAACCTCTGAAGGGATTCTTTCAGATTGAGTAGTGTTTGAAGTTTCAAGAGTAGTCGGTTCTGTTTTAGTTATTAGAACTGTGGATTCTTCAGAGGCAGTTGGTACAGTTGTTTGGGTAGTTGTCGTGATGTCTTCTAAAGAAGATGTTTGAGAAACAACTGACGGATGTCTCTCTGTTGAAATAGTAGTCAGTCTAGGCATAGTACCATGCTGAGTAATTGTTGATGGAGTCGTAGTTTCCCTGGACGCAGTCACTAAGGTGGAAGCCTCTGAAGGTATTCTTTCCGTTTGAGTCGTTTTTGAAGTGTCAAGAGTAGTCGGTTCTGTTTGAGTTATTAGAACTGTGGATTCTTCAGAGACAGTTGGTACAGTTGTTTGGGTAGTTGTCGTGATGTCTTCTGAAGAAGATGTTTGAGAAACAACTGACGGATATCTCTCTGTTGGTATGGTAGTCAGTCCAGGCATAGTACCATGCTGAGTAATAGTTGATGGAGTCATAGTTTCTCTGGATGCAGTCACTAAGGTGGAAGCCTCTGAAGGTATTCTTTCCGTTTGAGTCGTTTTTGAAGTTTCAAAAGAAGTCGGTTGCGTTTGAGTGATTAGAACTGTGGATTCTTCAGAGACAGTTGGTACAGTAGTACCAGTGACAGCTGTTTGGGTAGTTGTCGTGATGTCATCTGAAGATGAGGTTTGAGAAACAACTGACGGATATCTCTCTGTTGGAATGGTAGTCAGTCCGGGCATAGTACCATGCTGAGTAATTGTTGATGGAGTAGTAGTTTCCCTGGATGCAGTCACTAAGGTGGAAGCTTCTGAAGGTATTCTTTCCGTTTGAGTCGTTTTTGAAGTTTCAAGAGTAGTCGGTTCTGTTTTAGTTATTAGAACTGTGGATTCTTCAGAGATAGTTGGTGCAGTTGTTTGGGTAGTTGTCATGATGTCTTCTGAAGATGAGGTTTGAGAAACAACTGACGGATATCTCTCTGTTGGAATGGTAGTCAGTCCAGGCATAGTACCATGCTGAGTAATTGTTGATGGAGTAGTAGTTTCCCTGGATGCAGTCACTAAGGTGGAAGCCTCTGAAGGTATTCTTTCCGTTTGAGTCGTTTTTGAAGTTTCAAGAGTAGTCGGTTCTGTTTTAGTTATTAGAACTGTGGATTCTTCAGAGACAGTTGGTACAGTAGTACCAGTGACAGCTGTTTGGGTAGTTGTCGTGATGTCATCTGAAGAGGAGGTTTGAGAAACAACTGACGGATATCTCTCTGTTGGAATGGTAGTCAGTCCAGGCATAGTACCATGCTGAGTAATTGTTGATGGAGTAGTAGTTTCCCTGGATGCAGTCACTAAGGTGGAAGCCTCTGAAGGTATTCTTTCCGTTTGAGTCGTTTTTGAAGTTTCAAGAGTAGTCGGTTCTGTTTTAGTTATTAGAACTGTGGATTCTTCAGAGACAGTTGGTACAGTTGTTTGGGTAGTTGTCGTGATGTCTTCTGAAGAAGATGTTTGAGAAACAACTGACGGATATCTCTCTGTTGGAATGGTAGTCAGTCCAGGCATAGTACCATGCTGAGTAATTGTTGATGGAGTCGTAGTTTCCCTGGATGCAGTCACTAAGGTGGAAGCCTCTGAAGGTATTCTTTCCGTTTGAGTCGTTTTTGAAGTTTCAAGAGTAGTCGGTTCTGTTTGAGTTATTAGAACTGTGGATTCTTCAGAGACAGTTGGTACAGTTGTTTGGGTAGTTGTCGTGATGTCTTCTGAAGAAGATGTTTGAGAAACAACTGACGGATATCTCTCTGTTGGAATGGTAGTCAGTCCAGGCATAGTACCATGCTGAGTAATTGTTGATGGAGTCGTAGTTTCCCTGGATGCAGTCACTAAGGTGGAAGCC